CTCTCCTTACACTGGTCCTACTAGAGGTCTTACTGAGCGTCGTGAGCCTGCGTCTCGTCCCGCGTCGCCTGTCCGTGCTGCTCGCGCTAGTGGTCGCAGTTCGCGTCAGCGTCCTCCTCCTGTCCCTGGCACGCACCGGATGTCTCTGCGTCCGTCCACTGCTCCTCTGCGTGCCCCTTTGCCTTCTCCTCCTGAGTCCTCTCTTCCTGCGCTTGCCGACCCTGAGTCGGACTCTCTTCGTGCTGCCAGTCCTACTGTCACGCGTCTCCTTGCTACTGTCGTCACTGACCCCTCTTTTGAGTCCACTGCTGCGTCTGCTCTAGTCGCTGAGCTCGTCGACTTTGCTGCTCGCTGTCGTCTCGACTACGCTGCTAGTCTTGTTGCTGAGTCTGCGTCTGTCTGTCCTCCGTCCGTCGGGGGTGAGTGTGCTCTTGGCACGGACGTCCTAGAGGACAGGCAGGAGGAGTTACAGTGTCTAGCGGCTGCTTCACCTCATCTCGCGTCTGTACTGCTTGCCCCTGAGGGAGACCCGGATGCACTAGACATCCCGACTCCGCGTTCTTACGCGGAGGCCGTAGAGGGTCCCTACTCCTCTCAGTGGCAGGCAGCTATGGATGCAGAGATGGCTTCCTGGAAGTCCACAGGCACCTACGTTGACGCGGTTCCCCCTCCTGGGGCGAACATCGTCAGTGGCATGTGGATCTTCAGGGTGAAGCGGCCGCCGGGCTCTCCACCTGTCTTCAAGGCACGGTACGTTGCTCGTGGCTTCAGTCAGCGGCAGGGAGTTGACTACTTTCAGACCTTCTCTCCCACCCCGAAGATGACTACTCTTCGGGTGCTGCTGCACATAGCCGCTCAGCGCGACTACGAGCTTCACTCTCTCGACTTCAGCACTGCGTTCTTGCAGGGTAGCCTGCACGAGGAGATCTGGCTTCGCCGTCCACCTGGCTTCACTGGGACTTTCCCTCCTGGCACCCAGTGGAGCCTCCGACGGCCAGTCTACGGTCTCCGCCAGGCACCGCGTGAGTGGCACGACACACTGAGGACTACGCTTGCGGCTCTTGGGTTTGCTCCTTCTACTGCTGACCCGTCGCTGTTTCTTCGCACCGACACTTCCCTGCCGCCGTTCTACATCCTCGTGTACGTCGACGACTTGGTCTTTGCCACAGCGGACACTGCTGGACTCGCCTACGTGAAGTCCGAGCTGCTGAAGAGACACACGTGCACAGACCTGGGTGAACTGCGCAGCTACCTTGGCTTGCAGATCACTCGGGACAGAGCACGCCGCACCATTACCTTGACTCAGTCACACATGGTGCAGCAGGTCCTTCAGCGCTTCGGCTTCACGTACTCCTCGCCTCAGGCCACTCCTCTGCCTACTCGCCACTCACTCTCAGCTCTGCCTTCGGATGAGTCCGTAGAGTCGAGTGGTCCGTATGCAGAGCTTGTTGGCTGCCTCATGTACCTGATGACCTGCACACGACCTGACCTTGCATACCCTCTGAGCATTCTTGCACGCTATGTTGCTCCTGGGAGACACAGACCGGAGCACATGGCTGCAGCGAAGAGGGTATTGCGCTACCTGTGCAGTACGTCGGGCATGGGGCTAGTGCTTGGAGGGCGGAGTCCAGTGGTCCTTACCGGCCACGCGGACGCTTCTTGGGCTGACGACCAGGCTACGCAGCGGTCGTCACAGGGTTACACCTTCAGCCTTGGTTCCGGCTCTGTCTCGTGGCGGTCTACTCGCTCGTCTTCGGTTCTCGGCTCCAGTTGTGAGGCTGAGATCTACGCCGGGGCCATGGCTGCACAGGAGCTTCGCTGGCTCACCTACCTCCAGTTCTGTACGTAGACAACAAGGTCATGCTGGCCTTGTGTCCGGAGCAATGACTGGAGCACAGAACGAAGCACATTTCTCTCCGCTACTTCCTGGCTCGTGAGCTGCAGCAGCGTGGTCAGCTGCGCTTTGCTTACGTGTGAGGTGGCTCTCCTAGGTCAGTCAGCAGGTAGGTGAGCCAGCATAGCTCCTGTGCAGCCATGGCCCCTGCGTAGATCTCAGCCTCACAGCTGGAGCTGAGAACAGAAGACGAGCGGGTAGACCGCCACGAAACAGAGCCGGAGCCAAGGCTGAAGGTGTAACCCTGTAACGACCGCTGCATAGCCTGGTCGTCAGCCAAAGAAGCGTCAGCGTGACCTGTGAGGTGTCAGAATCCCAACCACTAGACCATTGGGATAAAAGGGCTTTTTTTCAGTAGCGGGTCAGTGCGCCCATAACCCCCCAGGCGAACGCGCCTGTAACCCTCTCCAGGATCAATCAGGCATCCACAGTGCAGATCTACTAACACCCCCCCACACTGGGAGGCCCACGACTAAGCACAGCGGCACCGGCCTACATGTGCATACATCGGGATTCGAACCCGAGACAGCTCTAATACCATGTCAGAATCCCAACCACTAGACCATTGGGATAAAAGGGTTTTTTTTCAGTAGCGGGTCAATGCGCCCATAACCCCCCAGGCGAACGCGCCTGTAACCCTCTCCAGGATCAATCGGGCATCCACAGTGCAGATCTACTGACATGAGGACCACTCGACGTCGCCCTCCAAGCACTAGCCCCATGCCCGACGTACTGCAGACGTAGAGCAACACCCTCTTGGCTGCAGCCATGTGCTCTGGTCGGTGTCTCCCAGGAGCAACATAGCGTGCCAAGATGCTAAGAGGGTATGCAAGGTCAGGTCGTGTGCAGGTCATCAGGTACATGAGGCAGCCAACAAGCTCTGGGTACGGGCCACTCGACTCTACGGACTCATCCAAAGGCAGAGCTGAGAGTGAGTGGCGAGTAGATAGAGGAGTGGCCTGAGGCGAGGAGTACGTGAAGCCGAAGCGCTGAAGGACCTGCTGCACCATGTGTGAGTGAGTCAGGGTAATGGTGCGGTGTTCTTTGTCCCGGGTGATCTGCAAGCCAAGGTAGCTGCGCAGTTCACCCAGGTCTATGCACGTGTGTCTCTTTTGCAGCTCGAACTTTACGTGGGCGAGTCCAGCAATGTCAGCAGTGGCAAAGACCAAGTCGTCGACGTACACGAGGATGTAGAACGGCGGCAAAGAGGTGTTGGTGCGCAGAAACAGCGACGGGTCGGCTGTAGAAGGAGCAAACCCAAGAGCCGCAAGTGTAGTCCTCAGTGTGTCGTGCCACTCACGGGGCGCCTGGCGGAGACCGTAGACTGGCCGCCGGAGGCTCCACTGGGTACCAGGAGGAAACGACCCAGTGAAGCCAGGAGGGTGACGCAGCCACATCTCCTCGTGCAGGTTGCCCTGCAGGAAAGCTGTGCTGAAGTCAAGAGAGTGAAGCTCGTAGTCGCGCTGAGCGGCTATGTGCAGCAGCACCTGAAGAGTGGTCATATTTGGGGTGGGAGAGAAGGTCTGAAAGTAGTCAACTCCCTGCCGCTGACTGAAGCCTCGAGCCACGTAACGCGCCTTGAAGAGAGGCGAAGAACCCGGCAGCCGCTTCACCCTGAAAATCCACATGCCACTGACGATGTTCGCCCCAGGTGGGGGAACCTCGTCGACGTAGGTGCCTGTGGACTTCCAGGAAGCCATCCCTGCGTCCATGGCCGACTGCCACTGAGAGGAGTAGGGACCGTCGATTGCCTCAGCGTACGATCGAGGAGTCAGGATGTCTGGTGCATTCGGGTCTCCCTCAGGGGCAATCAGCGTGGACACAAGATGGGGCAAAGCAGCAGCAAAGCACTGGAACTCCTCCTGCCTGTCCTCAAGGACGTCCGTGCTAAGAGCACACTCACCCCCGACGGAGGGAGGACAGAGAGACTCGGACTCAGCAACGAGACTGGCAGCGTAGTCTAGACAAGAGTGAGCAGCGAAGTCAACAAGCTCAGCAACTAGGGCAGACGCAGGCGTGGACTCAAAGGAAGGGTCAATGACGACAATAGCAAGGAGGCGCGTGACCGAAGGACTAGCAGCACGAAGGGAGTCAGACTCCGGGTCAGCAAGAGTAGGAAGAGAAGACTCTGGAGGAGACGGCAACGGGACACGCAGAGGAGCAGTGGAAGGACGCAGTGCCATCTGGTGTGTGCCGGGGACCGCAGGAAGCCGCGGACGCGCTGTACGACCACTAGTGCGAGCAGCACGAACAGGCGACGCAGGACGAGACGTAGGCTCACGACGCTCAGCAAGACCTCCAGTAGGAACAGTGTAGGGAGAAGGAGCAGGGAGAGGGGAGGCGGGCTGTAACTGTGATTGCAACTAGACAGGCTGTGTACACTCTAAGGGAGGAGCAGGACCAGGAGAGGGCGGGAGACCAAGAACCTGCTCAAGGAGCGGAATGAAGTACGGCCTCGGCCGCTCAGCGCCTCCAGAACCAGCAAGGACGGCACCAGTACCCCCAGTAGCAGCACCAGCGCCTGCACAACCTCCAGCTCCAACAGCACCAACACCAGTACCCTCAGAAGCACCAGCACGAGCAGCACCGCTAGCGCCAACACCCCCAGCAGCTCCAGCTCCAGCAGTACCAACTCCAGTGGGACCGTCAGCTCCAGCAGCCTCAACAGCACCCCCAGACGCACCAGCGCCAGTAGAAACACCAGCGCCAACACCCCCAGCAGCTCCTGCTCCATTAGCACCAGCACCGCCAGCAGCTCCAGAAGGACCAACTCCAGTAGCCCCAGTAGCACCCCCAATCGCAACAGCACGTCTCCAGCGGCGGGCAAACCACTCGCGCAGCTCCTGTGGAGAGAGCGGCTCTCGCCTCGAGGAAGCACCGCCGGCGGCCATAAGAGCAGACCCAGCGCCCCCAAGCTCCGCACCCCCAGGCTCAGCACCCCCAGGCTCAGCACCCCCAGGCTAAGCACCCCGAGACTCAGCACCCCCACGCTCAGCACCCCCAGTCTCACCACCCCCAGACTCAGCACCCCCAGACCCGGCACCTGCAGGCTCAGCACCTCTAGCAGCACCAGAGTCAACAGCTACCTTGACAGGCTCGACTGCGTCTACCTGGGACACACCTGACAGGGAAGGACCCTGAGGGGGGAGGGGGTCTACCGGGGGAGGACCTGGCATGAGGAAGAGCGGCGGCGGGGGGAGGGGTGCAGTGCGTTAGGGGAAGAGACGGTAGTAAGGCACCGACTCGTCAAAGGTGACGCCCTGGGAGGACAGAACACGGCGCGAGGTGGGGTGGTAAAGGAGACGCATCAGGGGGGAAGCCAAGGAAGACGCAGGGAATTGCACAGGGGGAAAGCTTGTCCGCAAACAAGTTGCGGACAAACGCCCGAGATCCCCAGACCCGAAACGAATACGCATCGCCAACCTTCCCGGTCCACCGCAAGGCGGGGGAGGTCTCTGGCAAGGAGACCCGGGGCTGAAGGTTGAGCTGATGCGCGGAGTACTGAACCGCAAACGGCCACAGAAAATGGGGGCCAGCCGCATGCATCATGGACGTACGAGCGACATCCATGACCATGCCAATGCGGCGCTCAGCAATCCCATTTTGCTGTGGAGAGGCTGGAAGCGTGAAGGTCTGGCGGATGCCCTGTGCACGACAAAAGGCTCCCAGACGGGCAGAGGAAAACTCCCCGCCTCTGTCCGAGTGCAGGCGCAGAGCAGGAAAGTCCGAACTAGAACTCTCTCTGAGCTGGAGACGAGCTGCGCGGATCCAGTCGATCAACACCTCAGTGATGTCACCCTTGCTGCGCAAGGGGAAAACTGTGGTGTAACGCGAGTAGTCGTCTACCACCAGCAGAAAGTAGTGCTCTCGCCCCTGCCCACTGACGTGGGCTGGGCCCCACACGTCCATGTGGAGAGTCTGCAGCGGAGCCTTTGTCGGAGGAAACTCGGAGGAGTGAGGGGCGGCGCGCTGTCGCCCCTCGACGCAGGGGACGCAGGTAGGGCCAGGTCCCGGAGGTAGGGGAGGGAGAGACCGAGGGAGACCAGAGACAAGGACACGGGAGGCCATGCCTTGGAGACGAGGCAAGGAGGGGTGACCAAGGCGGTGGTGCCAAAGGAGAGTCTGGTGGGACAGCAGACGACACGAGCAGGGAGCAGACTCAAGACCAGACCTGGACGCTGCAGCAAACACCTGACTCGACGCAGCTTCCTGGGCAGACTCAGTAGCCGGAGGAGACTCGGTAGTAAGGGTGTACAGGCTCGACCCTGGCCGACGGGTGAACGTGGCCAAGTGTCGGCCTGTCCGAGCACACGTGCAGTGGGTCACTCGCTGACTCGCAGGAGTGAACTGGTCAACCCCCCTATCGTGGAGGTCCACTCCACTCACCAAGTTCGTAGAGAACGAGGGGAGGTAGAGACCTGACAGGGTGCCAGAGGGGTCCACCAGGGAGACTGCAACTGGCCGACTGAGCGGCGTAAGAGTGGTGGGGTCTCGAAAGAAGGAGCGGGACGCACCCGAGTCAAGGGTGAAGGTGTGTGAGGCCTGAGCCGACGAAGTACCTGAGAGAGCAGACTCACCAGCACCTTGGGCAGCAGACGCACTAGCACCTGGGGTAGCAGACGCATTAGCACCTAGAGCAGCAGCCTCACGAGCATCTAGAGCAGCGGCCCCAATGCCCGGGTCAGGCGGTACACACAGGTAACAGTCACTCGCAACACTAGTATCAACAGCATACATGGCAGCAAGAATAGCATCAAAATCAAGATCAAAGATAGCAACCCCTGCCTTAGACAGATCTTCCCAGCGAGGGATCTCTGACGCCTCAGGGAACTGGCGACGCCACGCGTTCGTCAGGCGACCGAAGCAGCGCTGGGTGGAGTGCGGGCCTCCGCACTGCTCACCAGCTCGGTCGCCGGTACGGAGGACGTAAGTGCAGGGACCAAAAACCCCACCGCGCTGACGCGCAGTGTACCACTCACGAAGCTGCTGAGGGGACATGGTCACACCACTCCGCTGCTGCTGGCGCGGACCACCACCCGAGCCACTCCTCTGCGCTGAGTCGCGACCCACTCCACCACCGCCGCCGCCGCCTCCTCCACCTCTGCCTCCTCCGCCACCTCCGCCGCCTCTGCTCCCTCCGCCACCTCCACCGCCTCCGCCGCCTCCACTGCTGCCGCCGCCGCCGCCACCCCCGGCACCACTCCCACCACCACCCCCACTCCCTCCACTGCCTCCACCACCACCTCCACCGCCCCCTCCATCTCCTCCAGTGCCCTTACCCTCCTTGCCCTTGCTAGTGTGGCGTCTTCTGTTTGGGGCAGACGCAGCGTCGACCGACTCAAAACCAACGAGGTTGGCCGTAGCAGCAGAAGGAACAGAGGGCAAGAGAGGGGAGAGAGAACACCCCTCAAAGTCAGGGGTGCGAGGTTCACCACGAGAGGCTCCTACAGCGACTATGCTCTTCTCTGTCGCTAGGAGGGCTTTCTCGAGGAGGTCAACGGTGAGAGTGGTGGGGCAAACTGAGAGGAAGTGGTCCCTGACTACGTGAAGAGAGTCAGGGAGGCGGGTGACTATGTAGTAGAGGGTGATGTACATGGGGGGGGGGGGTTCTTGGCGCAGAACTCAGCAGAAAGCGCAGCGTGGTAGCGAGTGTCACTAGTGCGGAGGTGCGTAATGAGGTCAGCGACTGTGGGAAAGGCAGCAAGGTCAGGGAAGAGGTACGGTAGCATGAGGCGGCTCATTGCAGCAGTGGCAGGGGAAGAGTAGCGTGCAACTACAGCGTCGTACAAGGTCTGAGCACTCTTGTACTGTCTAAAGTGTGCACGCTCAGTGGTGGGTAAGTGGCGACGAACAGCAAGGCGAGCAGCAGGATCGCGTGTGGCTCACTGTGAGCGAACAGTGCTGTCAGCAGTAGCAGGCGGGGCAGGAGAGACACCAGAGGTGAGATCGAACAGAGAGAGTTCGTCTGCCCTATCGCACTAGAGAAATAGCTGGAGGTCATCGACCTAGACCTCAAAGTCAACGGCACGGCCCTCAGCATCAAAAGTGAGGACACTGGGGGTAGCCATGACTATAGTGGCCTTGGAGGAAGCGAGCTTACGAGTGCGAGGAAGGAGGGGCCTAGATGGGGCCGAAAGGGGCCGAGACGGGGCCAAAAGGGGGGCCTAGACGGGGCCGCAAGGGGCGTAGACGGGGCCGCAGAGGGGCCTAAACGGGGCTATAAGGGGCCAATCAGGGCCGCGGAGGGGCCTAGACGGGGCCGCGGAGGGGCCTAAACGGGGCCGTAAGGGGCCAGACGGGGCCGCAGAGGGGCCGCAGAGGGGCCGAAACGGGGCCGCAAGGGGCCAGACGGGCAGCGGAGGGGCCTAGACGGGGCCGCAAGGGGCCTAGACGGGGCCGCGGAGGGGCCGTAAGGGGCCTAGGCGGGGCCGAAAGGGGCCGTAAGGGCGGCGCGCGGGGCCGTAACGGGCCGTAAGGGTGGCGCGAGGGGCCTAGAGGGTGGCGCGAGGGGCCGTAAGGGTGGCCAAAGGGGCCACTAAGGGCGGCTCGAGGGTAGGCAGGGCACACGAAACGCGACTCGGGTAGGAGTGAAGCGCGCTCCGGGCAGGGAAAAAAAAAATCGTGGTGGGCCCTAGGTAGCGTTCCCATTAGGGAACCTGCTCGATACCATGAAGAGAAACGAGAATGGTTGAACTATGAAAGAGTTGGGTACAAGTACTAACCCTAATTGGGTTGTACCCCTTATGGGCTATCCCACTACAACCTACACAAATGTATAAGCTATAATGTTCTGACAACAAGGTCACTACAGAGACTTCATCGTCTCCTCTCAGACTTAACAGATTCTATCCTATCCACTGGATCCTTGGTTACATCAGCAGTAACAATGAAAACGCTGACACAACAAATCACAACTCACTGTCTCATAGATTGGTGGCACTTGTAAACATGTATCATGAAGTGGGCTCCTCATTGAAAGTCTATGTAATTCGTTGGGCCTGGGGCCTGTGCCATCAGCGCATGCCCAGTTGATTCTGCTCGCGAGCATCATTCTCAATGAACCATTTCTCTGCAGCGAATTTAACATCCTGCACAAGCTCAAGAAAATAAGGCGTTAGTGTAGTGCCATTCATTCATACCATAGAACACAATGAGCGGTCGAAGGAGTGGAGGAAACACTTATGAGTAGGGTTAAAACAACTTCATACCTTAAGAGGGACGTGATTCTCTCGTGCAATCGCAGCACATGGCTCATACTCTGCTGTAGCTGTCACCTGCCAACAAAAAAAAGGGTTGGAAAGCAAAACAGAGCATGACATGCGCAGCAAGGCAATCCTCTGCAAGGCTCTCGGAAAAACGGAACACAGAGAAAAAAGAACAGGAACGCGAATACATCAGCGCACCAGTTTTCCCTGCAAATATCCAGCCTTCACTGGCACCCATCCCCAGGGCGTGAGAGCACTCTCCATGAGCCTCTGCATTGCCACACGCTCACATGGCACTATGCGCACTCCCAGTGTGGTGGTCTCCTGCAACACATGGCCAGGAAAAGAAGAAAGAAGAAGTGCAGATAGACTCTTCAGCAAGAGAGCACCCTCAGCACTCTCCATGAGCCTCTGCATTGGGACACGCTCGCATGGCACTATGCACACTCCCAGTGTGGTGGTCTCTTGTAACCCATGACCAGGAAATAAAAAGAGATGGTGATATGGATTCTTCAGCAGAAGGGCACCCTCAGCACTCGCCACATGAGCATGTGCACTGCCACACGCTCGCATGGAACTATGCGCACTCCCAGTGTGATGGTGTCCTGAAATTCGGGAGTGGATAAAGAGGAACATGGGGACAGCCTCTTTGGCCATACTGCTGCTTCAGCACTCTCCACCAACCTTTGCCTGTCCCGGCTATTCAAAAAGAGGAAGATGGGCTGAATGCGCAGTAGTAAAGAGAGTACCAAGCACATGAGTAATGCAGACGAACCAGCAGTGATATGTCTATTGTAAAAAAAAGGCGAAAGCAAGAATGAAAGAAAAAAAAAGCACGTACATTGAGAATGATTGAGAGCATATCGTCGCATTGACTGCGATCGCACAGCACATGGAGCACCACGCCTGGCCGCCCTTTCTTCATAATGGCCTGTGTGGGAGTGGTGGTGCGTGGCGGAACACTGAGTGTGATGGTGGTTGTTCTTTCTTCAGAATGGGGTCACAAATTGGAAAAGGGTTGGTTTTCAATCATTAGGATACGATGATGGTAAAGGCTTTGGCTCACATTGGCCAGCATTGACCCACAGTGAGCAGCATTGACTCACACTGAGCAGCACTGACCCACGTTAACCAGGGTTGACTCACATTGACCATCCAGACATCACGAATGCCAGCTGACAGCAGCAGCTCGGAAACATAAGCCATTTGGCCGTTGAATAGAGTGGACTCCCTATATTAGCCAGCGTGACTCAAGTTGACCTGGGTTGACTCACATTGACCATCCAGACATCACGAACGCCAGCTGACAGCAGCAGCTCGGAAACATAAGCCATTTGGCCGTTGACTAGAGTGGACTCCCTATATTAGCCAGCGTGACTCAAGTTGACCAGGGTTGACTCACATTGACCATCCAGACATCACGAGCGCCCGCTGACAGCAGCAGCTCCGAAACATAAGCCATCTGCCCTGGGGAAGTGGGGGATATGTGGATGGGAGGAGGAGGAAAGGAAAAAAGGAGGGAGGGTTAGGGTAAAAGGGGTTGTGGGGACGTGGGGAGAGGGGAGCTACAGGCTAGAGGATACAGTGTTTGGAATGGAGTCTGTTAGACGTTCCTAGTGCGAGAAAAAATGTGAACTGATAAGCAAACGAGTGGATTGAAGAGGAGACTCACGATTTGTGGTGTGATGTCGTCGATGTTCGTTTCTAGGGTTACCAGCTGCTCGACTGTCATTCCGCCATCGCCAGGCGCGCCGCCACCGCCTCCCATCGCCGCTCTAGCCCTAACATCTCCTTTGCGGCTCAAAACAGTGCCAGCCATTGTCGCCCCACTGTAAATGCCAAACTTGACCGTGAAATGCGGAGGAGACCATTGGGTATTGTTGCGTATCGTGGTGGTAACATCGCAGCTGTTTTTGCTGGCGAAGAAAGCGCTGATTCGTTTGCTACTGCTTCCGTAAGAGCCATGCATCGTGCTGCGGTTCCCATCGCTGGAAAGGGATGGAGAAACTGTGCGGAGGAGAGAACTTAGTTGACTGGCGCAAGCCATGGCTGTGAAGTGATGGGGGTTGCAGAGGAGGTTCGAAGCTGAATTTCAAGAGCAGATTTGGGGCGAATTGGGGAATTGGATGGTGTTCGGGAAAATTGGTTCAAATGGGTTGCGAGTGAAACAGAGCGGTCAAAATACATAACCAGATGGGCTTGAGAACTGCTTTATTAGTTTCTTCGCTTTTGCATTGGAAGGGTGCATTGAAATGTATACATACGAGAACAAACGTCAAAGTGAGTGATCTGGGGTGACCCATAATGCAACGTCCTGATGTTGACGGGATTTTCCAGGAGAGAACACCCTTGGCTATTTTCTGTCAGCTGTCACGCCGCGTCGCCCGCGTGTATAAGTTGCCAAACCAAACCTGAGCCTGCTGGGCCGTCCGAACGAAGCCGAAGCGCATAAGCAGGTCAGCGTAGCTGCCCCTCTTTCCCAGCTTCCCCGAACCACCACCCCAGCTATGGCGCCTAATCGCCCCTTTACTCACACTAGTCTCGACGCCGAACCACCCACTGTCTAGACGCCGAGCCAAGCGCGAGCGCCTTCCACCACCAAGGTCCAACCCCAACCACCTTATCGAGACCTACACCGTACTGAAAAGCTATGTAAACTACTTCAGGCGTGTGAAACCTATCGAATGACATAACACATCAAACTTGGTTACCAATTTTTCTCAAACCGCGATCGAATCAAGACTTCAGTTCAGTTCCCTTTAGACGAATGGCTGGCTGGCCCTCCCCCTCTTGTTCTCTCCCCATCGCCATTGCCCGTCAGAATTGCCGATATTTGGATTTCAGGAAGTTGTTGAGGAATCACGCTAGTCGGCATCTAACGCTTTAGTGTCACTAATCGCGTATTGTAGCTTCTCTCTCGGTCTTTAGACATGTCGGAACGAGCTGTGGAAGTTGGTTTACTGGAGAGTTCGACTGCTCAGGGGAATTAAGCCACCTGCTTCTACCCTTCTGCATCGCTTGTTGGAGCTCGCACAGTCATTGAAGGGATACAAATAGAAGAGAGCTAGAATTAGGACCTTGTACTTCTGTCGTGGTGAGGATTGCATCTGTAGAAGCCTCTCAGTGGGCGCGAAGCTTCGACTCCACACTAAGCCTTACTGCAGCGCTGTTTCTTTCGGTTTAGCCTGTTTCGGTTCCTCTCATCGCTTTCACATGGTGATAGTGAATGACACCTCCTCGTTCGACCGTTCACCAACCGGCACGTATTTAAGCGACGTCTGTCCGTCTCTGTTTGTTGGTGATTCTGGGAAACGTGAAAGGGCCGTATAGCCGACAGAACTTGCCATGACGCATTTTGTCGCGCCACGGTCAAACGGCGAAGACGGGAGAAAGGGGGACGCCGCCACGTGGCGCGATGCTGACGGACAAATGCCGGAAATCCCAAGGTCCACTGATTGGTCAGCCGTCGTCGGGGATCTTCATGCTCGAATCAAGTCTTCGTGCTCGCACCGTTGCTGTGATTCTAACGGTGGTGACAAAATGGAGCGTTGCGATGATGTTACTTCTTGTACCGGATGCTGTGAGGAGCAACGGGGGACGGTGTGGTCCGGTTTAAAATGGCAGAAAGCCACGTCATCAGTCGCTGCAGTTTCCGCGAAGGTCGCTGCGTTCGTGCTGCTAGTCCTGCTCGTGTGTTGCTGGCAGCTTTTGTCGGGACCTGAGGGATACATGGTCGGGGTTAATCGAGAGATTCTGGGCGGCGAACTGCATGTGGTGAGTCAACGAGGGTCGGCTCGGAGGGACCTGCCGAGCCTTACTGTCCGAGGCTCATCTCCAGGTCCGGCGGATGGAGAAGAAGCTGGTTCGGGTGATGATGGTTCGGCTGAGGTGCTGTCTACTGCAGATGAAACGGTCAATGACATGCCTGTTTCAACTAGTGACACACTGGAAGAAGTTGAAACGCTTTCAGACGAGGCTTTATCCGGCGATGAACCATCTTCAATGACTGAGACGTTGACTGAGACTGTTTCAAATACCACGTTTACGGATTTGGACTTACCTGAGACGGTTCTGTCAAGATTCGACGGACATATGACAACTGAACCTTCCACACCTGCCGAGCCTTCCAACCCGAACCTAAACCTTCCACCATCATCCCTGTCAGCTTCGGAGCTAGCATCGGTACCAGGTTCGGCAGTTTTCGGACCAGCGGGGCTCTCCACCTTGACGGCATGCTTGGAGGTGCTGAGGCTCGCTGCCGGAGCTGACCCGGAGGCTCGGCGTCTGGAGGATTCTGGCTTGGAAGCTGAGATACAGGCGTGGGTGGGAAGCAGAGGGGCTGGGGACGACGAGGGGAAAGCAGCAGGAGAAGCAGAGGGAGAGGAGCTAGCAGGAAGAGCTAAGTTTGCAACAGAAGAAGAAACAGAAACAGGGGCAGGGACACGTGTGGCCTATGAATGCAGAGCACTGATTCGGCGAGGTTTGGGGCACCTTGCCGAGCTTGCAGCTGCCCGGGATAGCAGCAGAGTTGACGGTTCAGCTGCCCGAGAAATAGACGCGGCGGAGGAGGGTTCGCCTGCCCGAAAACAGCGGTCGGATGATGTACAGAGTGAAGCAGTATGTAGCGATGCCTGGGAGAGAAGACTCCGTGCCCGTCTGTCTGGGGATCAGGAGAGTCAGAAGCGCCGCTCCCAACGCCCCTCTCAACGCCCCTCTCAGCGCCGCTTGTCCCGCTTTCATGCGCCTCTAGATGACCTCAAGGGTCAAGCGGGACACACAGGCACTCGACGCCTCTTGTCCGGGGATGAGGAGACTCAGAAGCGCCGTTCTCACCGCCCCTCTCAACGCCGCCTATCCCGCTTTCATGCGCCTCCAGATGACCCCAAGGGTCAAGCGGGACGGACTCGACACCTCTTGTCCGTTTCTAGGGCGCGTTCAAAGAAAGATGAGGGTCACGAGGGACGAACCCGAAGTCGATTGTCTTCAAAGGAGGGTCGCTCCAGTTCCGCACGCAATGGTAGCCGGAGTTTGGCTCGCCTTTCCGAGCCTGTCCAGCCTTCCGAGCCTGTGCAGCTTCCTGAGCCTGTGCAGCTTCCCGAGCCTGTGCAGCTTTCTGAGCCTGTCAGACCTTCCGAGCCTCCGCAGGCTCGCCATGTACTCGAGGCTCTTCGGAGCAACAAGACGAGTGTGGAGCGAGTGAGGGAGGGAGTGAGGCGAGTGTGTGAGAAAGTGAGGGAGATAGAGAGGCAGCTGCTTCAGTTGCCCTTGCAAGCAAGGGAACACAGCAGCAGCGGCACCAGCAGGGCCAGCAGCAGTAACCATGGCAGTGGCAGCGGCAGCAGCACAGAAAAGGTTGTGGACTCACCAGCAGCATCGGATATTTTGGCAGCATCTGGTGGAGGTGCTACCTGGCCCGAGTCCTGCTGGCCCGTACCTCACGTACCCTTCTCCAGCCCCAAGGTAAGACACTCCTCCTCAGCTCACTTTGGTGTTTGAGGCGACTCATAAAGAAGTCAGCTCGTTACAATGTCACACGATGCTTTCACTGGCCCATACCCCACAACCCTTATACAACCCCAAAGGCAAGTCAATCATCTGCTGAAGCCGCCAAACTTGCAGCTTCCCTCACTCCTTCCAGCCCCACCCCCACCCACGCTAGCCCATCTTCACCCATTTTCACCCATCGTCCCACCCACCCACCCATCCATCCCTCACGTGTTAAGCAACCGGTGTTTCCTAGTGCTCGCATTCGCCATGGAGCAAAACAGCAACGCCAGAGCTTACCTGCTAGGGGCAGCTCGCCTCGCAGCAACCCTCCCCCGCCCCGCCTCACCCATCCTCACCCCTTTCCACTCCCACCCACCCCAACTTACCCCTCAGGTGTTCACCGATCTGTGCTTTCTTCTGCTCGCGTTTGCCATGGAGCAAACGAGCAACGCCAGAAATCACTTACTAGAAGAAAGCACAGATCGGTGTTCACTCACGCCAGACTCACTCACGCTCCTTCTCATTTCTCATCCACCCCCATCCATCCCTCAGGTGTTCACCAACCCGCGCTTCCTGGTCCTAGCATTCGCCATGGAGCAAACCAGCAACGCCAGAGCCCACCTGCTAGAGGCAGCTCGACTGGCGAGGCTGACGGGGCGAGTGCTGGTGCTACCACACGTGGGCAGCGGCCGCCTCTCAGTGGGGCGACAGCACCCCCTCTGCTCCTACTGGGACCTCTCCCGCCTCACCCACTCCTCCTCCTCCCCTCATTCCTCCTCCTCCGCTCAATCCACTCACCCCCCTTTCAACTCCTCCTCGCTCCCCCCATCGCCCCTCCCATGGCCCCTCCCATCGCACCTCCCAGTGGAGTGGGTCTCGCCTGACCTCTTCCTCCTCCTCTCCCGCTCCTCCCTCCCCGCTGCACCATCTGTCAGCTTCGTGTGTGTTGAAACGCCTTCCCTCAACCGGCCCTGCTTCGATTTCGGTAAGCCTACCCTTTGTTCCCTCTCTTTCTCCCTCATTCCCTCCCTTTCTCCCTCATTCCCTCCCTTTCTCCCTCCCTCTCTCCCTCCTGACCTCTTCCTCCTCCTCTCCCGCTCCTCCATACGACCCAACCCTTCTGTTGGCTTCATGTGTGTTGAAACGCCTTCCCTCAACCGGCCCTGCTTCGACTTTGGTAAGCGTGCCCCCTCACTCCCTCTCTTCCCACTCCCTCACATCGGTAAGTATTCTCTCCCTACTCAACCTCACCAACATCGGTAAGTATTCTCTCCCTACTCAACCCCACTCAACTATCTCCTCAGCCAGCTCTGGCAATTTCTTTCCACCCTCATCCCTCTCTTATCCCTCTCTCCCTCTATCTCCCTCTCTCCCCACCACTGCAGGGGAGGTAGCATCTGGGTTGGGTGCCATTCTCACCTACTCCCTCGGTCATCTGCCCACGCGTGCCAACACTCAGGTCATCACAGTCCGCAAAGCCTCCAGATTTCTCAAAGCCTTCCAAAAGTGGTAAGCATTTCCAAAGATGGTAAGTCCTTTCAAATCTGGAAGTCCTTCCAAAAAGAGTAATTATTCCCTCGGTCACCTGCCCACGCGTGCCAACACTTAAGTCATCACCGTCCGCAAGGCCTACAGATTCCTCAAAGCCTTCCAATAATGGTAAGCCTTTCCAAAAAAAGCAAAACTTTCCAGAAATGGAAAGCTGTTTTAACCCCTCGGAAAGATCCTGGTGGTGTGGTTGACAACAACTCACAGGAAGGTGGCCAATGCCTGCCCACCTCCCTCCTTATTGACCCCACGACCCCATCCCACCCCACTGCACCCCACCCCACTCCACCACACCAGGGATCACATTGATGTGGTGGTGTGGGGGAAAACGACCTAGAATAAGATGGCCATTCGTCCGTTCATCTCCCATCATTTACTCCACCCCGCCCCACCCCACCCTACCCCACTGCACTGCACCCCACCCCACTCTGCCCCAACCCACCCCATTCCACCCTATCCCACTCCTCTCCACCGCACCAGGCAGCACACAGACGTGGTGGTGTGGGTGAAAACGACATACAAGAAAATGGCCATCCGTCCGCCCACCTCTCTCCTCGCGCCCGTCCTACTGCGCTACCACCCGCGCTGGCACACACTCGCCCACTCCATCGTCGCTGCTCTCACCTCACCCCTTCTCACCGCACCGCACCCCACCCTACCCGTCTCCATCCCACTCAGGCATGACACAGACGTGGTGGTGTGGGTGAAAACGACCTACAAGAGGATGGCGATTCGCCCGCCCACGTCCCTCCTCGCACCCGTTCTGCTGCCCTACCACCCGCGCTGGCACACTCTTGCTCGCTCCATCTCAGCAGCTCTCCCCCGCCCGTTCATTGCCCTGCACTTCCGATCCGAGTACATCGCATGGCTGGTGGTGAGTTAACCACACACACACACACACACACACACACACACACACACACACACACACACACACACACACACACACACACACCTCATGGGCGATCCCTCCCTCCTGCCACCCACGTCCCTCCTCGCACCTGAACTGCTTCCCTACCACCCACACTGGCACACACTCGCCCGCTCCATTTCCGCTGCCCTCCCCCGCCCGTTCATCGCTCTGCACCTCGGATCCGAGTACATCGCATGGCTTGTGGTGAGTTACCGATACACCACTCCCGTCCCCCCTGCCTGCATGCTGTGTTCTCTCCCCCGTTCATCGCTCTGCACCTCCGATCCGAGTACATCGCATGGCTCGTGGTGAGTCCCTTCCTGGTGCCTCCTCGCCCCCACCCTGCTGCAGTACCGTACCACCCGCACTGGCAGGCATGCCCTTTTTTGAGGCGCCTCAAAAACCGTACCACCCGCACTGGCATGCACGCCCTTGCTCGCTCTATCGCCGCTACATAGAGAGACTCCTCACTCACCAACACTTACCCCTCCTCCGCCTCAGCCTGTCCCTCCCTGGTCTTCCCCTCACGCGTATTCTCACAGAGAGGGAAGTTGCAGTAGGAGCAGAAGATAGGCAAGCAGATGCACTGGTGCGCGGCAGAGGCAAGTTGTTAAGCAATTACACCCTCCTCCCTGTCTCTTCCCGTCTCTCCCTCCCCATCTCTCTCAAACACAGGGAGGGAAGCTGCAACAGGAGCAGAAGATAGGCAAGCAGATGCACTGGTGCGTGGCAGAGGCGGCAAGAACTGTGCACCAGGTGCAACAGCAGCTCTCAAATCATACAGATGGGGCGTTAGCAAAGGGGAAAAATGCTTCCGCTGGTGATTCACCTTCCCATTACTCGATAGCAAGCTCGCCTGAGCGTTTGAATGAGGCTTCGGGACCGACTTGGCATTCCCTAAGCAGCAGTCCATCTGTGTTCATTAGCGCGGACATTGCCTTCGGGGCTGCTGCTGCTGCCGCCGCTGCTCCTGCTGACGCTGCTCCTGCTGACGCTGCTCCTGCTGACGCTGCTCCTGCTGACGCTGCTGCTGCCGCCGCTGCTCCTGCTGACGCTGCTCCTGCTGACGCTGCTCCTGCTGACGCTGCTCCTGCTGACGCTGCTCCTGCTGACGCTGCTCCTGCTGACGCTGCTCCTGCTCCTGCGGCTCCGGCTTCTGGCGCTGCTGCTGCTGCCATACCCGATACAAGCTTCCCCAGTAGAGAAACAGAGCAGAAAGCAGACGTGGAATGGCCTGTGCGGTCAGATTCATGGGGGGTTATGGTGGAGAAGTATGGGCGAGAGCAGACCATTGACGCAGCTTCTGATGCGTCTCAAAAGTCATCTGGTTTTGATACGGCTTCGACAGCAGAGGAAGTATGGCCGGTGCGGTCAGAGTCATGGGGGGTTATGGTGGAGAAGTACGGGCGAGAGCAGACCATTGACGCAGGGCACCGCGCCCTGCTGCAACTCAGGGCGCTTGTCGATGGTGATGGGGATGACTATAAAGGGGATGGAGGCATAGGCGGTACCCAGAATAACAGCAGCAGCAGTAGCGGGCGAAGCAGTAGCAGAAGTGATGGCAGTGCCAGCAGTGGCAGGGGGAGCAGCAACAGCAGTGCATCAAGAAGCGTGACGGAATCTGTGGGCTATGGTGGCTTACCCAAGAGGAGTATCATGATTGACGAGATTGTTCCTTCGGTCAATAAACTCGATCCAGGTATGCTCCTTTCGTGTCCAGTGTCTCTACACTCACTTATTCCTCAGCAATTTGTAGTCCAGTTATTAACCCACTGCCTCATAATCACGCAATATGTTTCACTTCATATTTTTTTAAAAGCAGGGATAGTGGGGATACTGGATAAGCTTATTGCTGCACAAGCGGACATGCTTGTTGTTGGAGTTCGCTATTGTGGAGGAAGACGCGGATTTGAGGCGGATATCTTGGACCATCGGAAACAATTTGGCAAGCTAGCTAAAAGCGTACATCGATGGGGAGAGAATGTACTGCAGCGTCGCCGAAGGCGGCTGCACTTGCAGAAGGAAATGTCAAGTGATACTTACGATGAATAATAAGGGAGAATTTTCGCATGAGCAACACCTTGTTGCACATGCCTTGTTTTTCTAATATGTATAATGATATTTGGTTTAGATGCTTCTCCATTTCTTGCTGTATGAAGGTGATGGTTTAGTGTCTAAGCGGGATCCACTTTCCCGCATGCTTTCACCGTTTTCATGCGACTCGAATTTATCGTGTTCGCGATGCTCCGCGAGATGTCCCGAAACCGTTACTTGCCGGAAGAAATCATCGCCCGGCCATTACGGTTACTACACGGTGCTGGAAAAAAACACCAAATGGGCAAGTTCGCCCCGCCCGCGGAAGGCTCAACGATTGGCCACCTCGAGCCGCAGAGCTACACGAAAATAGCGAGGCGCAACGGCTCTTCCATTTTGCGCATGCGTGAGACGAAAATGTCGAATTTCTCGCATTTTGAACTCTCTGGAGTTCCGACGGAGGCCCCTCGACATTCGGAGTGAATTTCGTCCTCACGCCAGCAAGGAAGGCATGTGATAAAACCCCACGGTTTGTAATCGGTGTGCTGCGCTTCAGAACGGTCGTGTAGATAAACGGCTTTCAACCGTGTACAACCCCAAGATACAGCACATGAAATCAGCCGTCGAATACGGAGGCTCCCCTAACGGCCCCGACTCCGATTAACTCTGCCGCCGGTCACCAGGGAACGACGGCGCTTTATAAGGCGGTACTGCACAGGAGCACTTTACGATTGCCTTCCTCTTGATCATCGATTTCTAATCGTTGCTACTGATTGCCGCCGACTGCTGTTGCGTTCATTGCAAGCTGCAATTCGTTTGTGCACAGAGGGAGGAATCCGCTCTAGAGTCTAGACTCCAAAGACAGCTCTAGTTACAGCGTTAGAAGCTAGTCCCTCCGCATTTTCTCTTGGCTTATACCGTATTTCACCCCCGTGCGTTGACTTGTCTCAGTGCCTGAACCCTTGGTCCGTCCTTCTTACATGCAAGTAGCCAAAACGAAATTGGTTAGACTCGCAGCGCCACCCACTTTTTGACGCGCCTCAGAAATCGCTTTTCGTAGAGGGCACTAATAAGGCGAAGCCTCGTCTGAGTCTTCTTGATTCCAGTTTTTCCAGCCACCTGAAAATCACCCTTTCTTACAAACTTCCGATTTTCCAGCTGCGCGAAGAATGACTGGGATTCTTAATTCCACATCCAGGCGTGGCAGATTAACAGATCCATTGCAGGTTCACAGAACAAAGCGAGCGTCAAGATCCATGTCGCGTTTGTTCTCCGCGCTTTCGATTCTCGCGCTTTTCATCGTTTCATCTGGAATGTGGGCGACCGCGGCGCCCATTTCAGCCGCGCCGCCCCCTGCCGCATCCCCTACTGGTGGAGCTCCCGCATCGCGTCTCCGAGGAGGCGGTGCGGTGCCGAAGCCAAACGCTCCATCGATTGCATCAGCAAACAGCACCGTCAAACCTACCGGCTTCAAGCCTACCGGCCCCGAACCTGCTGGCAACAAAACTAACGGCGGCAATCCCAGTGGAGCCGGCCCCAAACCTACGGGCACCAAGCCTAACAGTGGCAGTCCCAGTCTCACCAAGCCTGTGGAAAATAATAAATCTACCGTCAATTCCACGAACAAGAAGAGTCCGGCTAAGCCGGCGGATAAGACGGCGGATAAGACGGCGGCAAAGCCGCCGGGGAACACGGTGCCGAGTGCGAAGAAGACAGTGACGGTGCAGAGCAGTGCAATTGAGAGTCAGCGGCAGCGAATGGTCGGTGCGCGCATCAGCGCGGCCGGGGAGGCGGGCTCCGCGTCGTGGCTGGTGCAAAACGGCGGCGCGACGTGCGACATCTCCGTCGGCACGTGAGTTACCACAAAAACGTCTGTTTCCGTTTCGCAAGCGTTTTGCTCGCATCTTCAGGGATCTTTTATATATATCCACGTGTCTGCCCATCCACGTGTCTGCCCATCCGCATGTCCGCTCGTACACGTGCGCCCACACACGCGTCTGCCCGTCCGCATGTCCGTGCATCTCTGGTAGGCTCAATCAGCCTCCCCGTCTCCCCCACCCGCTGCACTTGTCGTATCTCAGGTGGATTCCCAGCAGCACGCGGCCCGCTTACGCGTCCACGTGTCCGTACATCTCGAGAAAGTTCAACTGCGTGCAGAACGGGCGGCCCGACGGTGGTTACCAGCACCTGATGTGGCAGCCGCGCGACTGCAACATGACACTGTGAGTGTTACAGATTGCATGCCCGCGCCCACCTTCATGGTTTGAGCCGAATATTGAGAAGTTTCAAAAAACGTTTAGGCCGACGGTGGTTACCAGCATCTGGTTTGGCAGCCGCGCGATTGCAACATGACGCTGTGAGTGTTACATATTGCATGCCCGCACGCATGCGACTCTCTAAACCTCTCCTCCTCAACGCTCGCGCTCGGGCCCAGCAGACCTTTGAGTCAACTCAAAAACTGCTTCTCACGCCCTTTACCTTTACTTTGACCTTTTTTTTTTTCTGGCACATTCTCCCCGCTGCACTTCGCGCTCATGTTTCAAGACAAGACGCTCGCGGTCGTGGGCGATTCGAACGCGTACCCGCCCCCTTTGCCTTAACCCTCACCTTCGCATTCGTCTCTCCCACTCCTCCCACCCTCGCCTAATCCTTTCCCCCTGCAGCTTCTCCCCGCTGCACTTCGCGCTCATGTTTCAAGACAAGACGCTCGCGCTCGTCGGCGACTCCAACGCGGAGTACCTCTTCCAGTCGCTGCGCTGCCAACTCAGCACGGGCCTCGAAACCGAGGTGCGGGATTACTGCAATGCGGAGGTGAGCTGTTATTGCGAAACGGAAACAGCCGTTTCTTGAGAATCTGGAAAACCCCCTCACAAGACGCGGAGTACCTCTTCCAGTCGCTGCGCTGCCAGCTCAGCACGGGCCTCGAAACCGAGGTGCGGGATTAGTGATGCGGGGAAGGCCGAAACCGAGTATTGGCAGGACCTCGGCCAATTGTATTGCTCGCCCCAACCAACCTTCCTAAGGTTGAACTTCTTGGCCCGCGGGTTTTCACATATGCAGAAAGTCTCTTCCAGTCGCTGCGGTGCCAGGTCAGCGCGGGGCTTTTTAACCCAGATGAGCTGTTACTATGATGCGGGGTAAACCGTTTGTGAGATTCTGCAAAAACAGCTTACAAGATACGGAGTATCATTGTTCAACAATCTCGTGCTGCTTCTTGTTGTTCAGCACACCCGCTGAATGCTCCTCTCCTTTTTCTCTCCCAAATTGCAGACTGTGAATGCAACGACGGCAGGAGTGGGGAGGCGTTTAGCGTGGTTGGATCCGGCACTCTCATGCGCTCCTTGTTGACGCGCTCTTCTCTACTCCCTCTTCTCACCCCACTTGCGGAGAGTGAATACGACAACGGTGGGAGCGAAGGCATTTAGAGTGATCAGCTCCAACACCCTCGTACTGCTCCTTGTTCATTTCTCCCGCCTGTTCCACTCCCTCTTCTCACCCTTCTCCTTGTTCCCTCTTCCAGACTGTGAATGCGACAACGGCGAGAGTGGACGCGTTCAGAGTGGTCAGCTCCAACACCCTCGCGCTGCTCGTTGAATGCACCCTCCTTCCCTTTTTTCTGCCTGCTCCGCTCCCACTTCTCGCCCCACGTCCAGGCTGTGAATACGACAACGGCAGCAGTGGTCAGCTCCAACACCCTCGCGCTGCTCGTTGTGCTGCCTCTTGTCTCAACACACACCTTTCCTGTTCCACTACGTTCCCTCACCCCACTTGCAGAGCGTGAATACGACAACGGCGGGAGCGGAGGCATTTAGAGTGATAAGCTCCAACACCCTCGTACTGCTCGTTGACGCGCCCTTCCTGTCCTATGCTGCTCCTGTCGCTCCTGTAAGTACCAGAACTTACTTAAGTGCTGACGTGAGTTCTTTTGCTCGCTTGTGAGCGGAGGCATTTAGAGTGATAAGCTCAAACACCCTCGTGTTGCTCGTTCACGCGCCCTTCCTGTCCTATGCTGCTCCTGTCGCTACTGTAAGTACAAGTGCCTGGTATGGGGGCTTACTTTAGCGCGGAATTTCAGCTCTTGTGTTGCTCGTTGGCGCGCCCTTCCTGTCCTACGCTGCTCCTGTCATGCCGGTAAGTGCGAGTGCTATTCCTGCTTATCAGCTCTCTTTTGAGACGTCTCAAAAGTCGCGCCCTTCCTGTCCTACGCTGCTCCTGCTGTGCCGGTGAGTATGAGACTTGGTTTATACTCGTGTACTTTGTTAGGTGTTGACATTTGCTCTCGTGTTGCTCGTTGACGCGCCCTTCCTGTCCTACGCTGCTCCTGTCGCTACTGTAAGTACAAGTGCTCCTGTCGCACCCTTGTGTCTGGTATGGGGGCTTACTTTAGCGCGGATTTTCAGCTCTCGTGTTGCTCGTTGACGCGCCCTTCCTGTCCTACGCTGCTCCTGCTGTGCCGGTAAATGCAAGTGCTATTCCTGCTTTTCAGCTCCCTTGCTGCTTGTTGAAAAGCAGGAATAGCACTCGCACCGTTCTTGTCATTCGCTGCCCCCCTCCAATACTCCTGAGACGGCTCAAAAGTCGCTGCCCCCCTCCAATACTCCTGAGACGGCTCAAAAGTCGCTGCCCCCCTCCAATACTCCTGAGACGGCTCAAAAGTCGTTGTCCCCCTCCAATACTCCGCTGAATCCCCCTTCTCTTTCAACCCATTTCCTTCCCCCTCGCTCTTCCCCCTCGTGCCTATCGTCCCTTCAGACGCTACACTTCTAGGCCAGTGCATGGAATGTGCATCTGGACGTACTACACCCAACTCTCCACTAACCCGAACCCAACAAAGCATTTCCTTCCCTTTCCTCCACTTGTCTTTCTTGCTTGTCGCCCTTCGGACCCTACAATATAAGTTCAGTGCATGGAACGTGCATCTAGACGTGCTACACCCGACTCTCCATCCACTTGTACCCATTAGAACCGTTCCTTCCCTTGTCTCACTTTCTCCCCCTTTTCAGACGCTACAGTTCAAGTCCAGTGCATGGAACGTGCATCTAGACGTGCTCCACCCAACTCTCCGCCAAATCCTGCCAGACGCGCACGCCGTCATCTTCTCGTCCGGATCCTGGTTCATGCCGCCCGGCCGCTCATACTACAAAAACGGCCGCCCGCTCGCCGCCCAGATCAACGGCCTGCAGGCGCACAGTGCTGTGCTCGGCGTTCTGTCGGACTATCTGGCTCAGCTCAGGTCGGGCGGCGGAGCTTTGGCTGGCACTCAAGCAGCAGCAGGAGCAGCAGCAGCAGGAGGGGTTAATGGCGCAGAAAAAGCAGGAGCGGGAGGAGCGGCAGGAGGAAAAGCAGCAGCAGGAGGAGCAGGTGTGACCAGAAAGCAGTTACTGTCAGCTGCAGCTGCTGTTGGTGATTCTACCACCACTGGAATCACCACCAGCAGCAGTAGCAGCAGCAGCAGCAGTGGTCAGTTCAAAGGAACCTTCCCACGCACCTTCTTCCTCTCCCTCCCCCCCGCCCACACCCCCAACACATTTCGCTACCAAGACACTACCTGCGGGGTCTTCGCCGATCCTCTCTCCGAACCGGACCAGGCCTACGCCGTCAGCCACAGCGCCGAAGCTGCCTGGACAGCCTCGGAACGAGCCGCGCTCGCAGGTTCGGGAATCCAGCTCCTGGACATTCTAGGCTCGGCGATGTACCGACCGGATGGACACGTGGCGACGTATGGTTCGAAGGGAGGAATGGGGGCCATGGATTGCACCGGGTGGTGCTTACCGGGAGTGCCTGATGCTTGGGTGGACATGTTTTTCCATCTGTATGCCAGCCCGACGGGAATTCAGCAGCTGCTGCTGGGACTGGGGAAGGTGGTTGGGGCGGGTGCGGTGGGGGATGTGTGCTGGCAAGTGCCTGGATCGGCACAGACCATCGCAGGGTATTACTAGATGCAGGGAGATGTGCTGCACAGACGGTGGCAGGAGGGGATTCAGCAGTTGCTGCTGGGTCTGGGGAACGTGGCTGGGGCTGGAGCAGCGGAGGATATGTGTTTGGCAGGTGCCTGGGTTGGCACAGTCAATCGCAGGGTATTACTAGGTGGGAAGTTGCGCAGCAGAGACAGGGTGGTGGCAGGGAGTGTTATGCAAGAACTCCCCAAAACACCCACACTAGGGGTCTCAAAACAACACTACGTGGTTTGCCTTAACTGCCAGTGTAAGCTGGTGCGTGTGAGGGGGGTCCGATGGATAGGCAGCTCAGATAACTGAATGAGGGCATTAGGTGTAGATGGTTGTTCCTTTACAACCAGGTAGACTTGTAATGCTGCTTATACCGTAACTTGAGACGCAGATAAGAGCTGTTACAACAGCTGCAAGGGCCTGCCTGCCTGTAGCATCATCCTAATAATCTTGTCGCAATAACATGTTTTTGTCCCCGACAAGACATCGAAGGGCTGGGCTTGGTTCTAAATTAGCCACTGCTGATTCCTTGTGAAAATGAGCAGGTAATGAGAAAATATTACAAACCAAGTCACTGTGCTACCGGTGTAACTTGCATATTGACCTGTTATTAAATCCTTAGGCTTCACTACCATAGTACCATGCCACACCCTGATCATCTCCTTCCGCTCGCCACAATACAGAGTACCATCCTTCCCTCCTCCCCCACATAGTCACTGCCGTGCCGCACCAACCCTGCATCACGATTCATGCCGTTCCAACATCACCCCTCCGCCCATCTAAGCCTCACTAGCATGCCACACCCTGATTGTCCCCCTCCTCTCGCCACAATACAAAGTCCCATCCCTCCCCAACGCCAACGCACACACCTCCTCCCCTCCCGACACCATTCCATCCTCGAATGCCGCCAAAAGACGCCGCCCACGCCACGCAAAGGTAATCCCCCTGCCAGTGCTGTCACCCCCTCCCCAACCCTCAAACCCACCACCACCACTAGCACCACCATTCCCACCACTGCCAGTGTACTTCCCACCTCCAGGGCAGTAAACCGCCGAATCGGGGCCCACTACAAGACAATTTCTCGCCGCCCAATCCTGCCGCACATCCACGCACTTCCCGCCGCTCCAGATCCTCACCTCTCCGTCAAGAGAGAGGGAATAGAGGGTGGGTCCAGCTGCAAAGTAAGGACTCGCACCAGCAGTACCACCAGCAGCACCAGCACCCATGCCATTCCCACCTCCACTGCTGCTGCCATTATCTTCACCGGAGAAGAGAAGGGGAGGACCCACAGCAAGGGAAATCACCTGTGCCTTGTGCCCTCTAAGAGATGCCGCCACAGCACCACCCCTATACACACAGATAGGATACTCCTGCTCCTCCTCTGCTCCTCCTCTGCTTTCATTGCCCCCAATGCTCCCACTGCTAGCTTTGAGACGTCGTAAAGCTGCCACAGCACCACCCCTAAACAAACGAGGGTTCTCCTGCCCCTCCTCTGCTGCTCCTCTGCTGCTCCCACCGCCCTCCCTCGGCGGCTCGTGATTGGCTGTGAAGTAGATGGTTCCGTCGGGTGCGGTTACCACATCGGCAAACCCGTGCTTGAAGGGGGAAGCGTTGGTGCTGTCTCCACCGCCCCGGCCACCACCCGTGTGCTCCCTATCCCAGTCTCTATCCCAATCCCTGCTACCACTGCTGCCGCCTCTCCCACCGCCGCCGCTGCCGCCGCCGCCACCACCGCTGGTGTTGCTGGTTAAGTGAGACGGGGTGCTTGTACCGGCTCGTAACACACCCACTCGTCGCAATACACCCCTCTGCCCTTGCTGCTGCTGCTGCTGCTGCTGCTGCTGCGCCCAAGCTGCAGCATCCTCCACCACAGCCCAAGCACTCACCTCGCCGTCACTAAACGCTACCAGTAGCACCCCGTCATGCCATGCCATGCGCAGCGGCAGCGACCCAAACTCAAACCCCCCCTCCACATCTCCACCCGCTCCTCCTCCCCCTCCTCCTCCTCTCCACCTCTCTCCCCACCTCTCTCCGCCTCTCCTGCAACCAGTGCACCCCACACACCTCCCATCCCTCCACATTCTGATTTTCCCATCCTCACTGCACGAGAACAGAGTGCCTGAAACGGGGTCTAGAACCAAATCAAAGACCGCAGCAGCAGCATCTCTTCTCCCTCCGCTCCCTTGCTCACCCGAACTATATTCACCCGACCAATACTCACCACTGTTGGCAGCACTGTCCCATCCCCCTCCTCCACCAGAGCACACAATCGTATCCAGCAGATGAGCCGAGATCTGATTCCGCCGCCACAGACGAATCGTGCCGTCCAGGCTGCCCGAGAAAATAATCTCGCCTCTCGGGCAGACGATAATTTTGGTCACGCGGTCCGTGTGCCCGGGAAGGCTGCCCACAAGAAACCCTCCCTGCCAAGGCTGCCTCGCTAGAGTCATCTGAGACTTTGCAAATGACCGAGAGGCGAGTGAGTGTGGTGCAGGAAGCTTCTTAGAAGGAGCTGCTGCTGCTGAACCTGGTGGTGCTGTTCCTTTGGCAACACGCTCAGGCGCGTTGGAAGTAGGATCGGATTTCACCTGAGAAATCACCTGAGGTCCCACCTGAGATCCCACCTGCAGGCTTCTCACGGCTCCAGCAAGATCCGCCCCTCCTGCTGCAAGCAAAATCCGCGCTTTCTGCTGCACCTGCCCCTTTAGCGCCCCCACCTCCTCAGTCAAAGCCTGGATTTCCCCCTGTAGGTCCGACACCAGGTGCTCGTACCCCACGATCAGCTTCTTGGCCTGAATCAACTCGGCGCGAGAGGTGGCGCAACACTGCGGGGCAAGGAATGAGCAGGGAATGTGCAAGGAGGCAAACGAGAAGAGAGTGAATCTCCTGCTGAAGGCCACAAACCAAGTTGACTTTTGAGTCGACTCAGAAGAGAGTGAATCTCCTGCTGAAGGCCACAAACCAGGTGCTTGCACCCCACTATCAGCTTCTTGGCCTGAATCAACTCAGCGCGAGAGGTGGCGCAACACTGTAGGACAAAGGAACGTATGGAAAGGAGGGCAGAAGAGAGAGCGGGCAAGTGAGTTCCACCTACAAGTCCCATACCGCCAGGTGCTCGTACCCCACTTCAGCTTCTTGGCTTGAATCAACTCGGCCCGAGAGGAAGCGCAACATGTTGAGAAAGGGAAGTAAGAAGAGGATAACTGAAAGCACGCTTGAATTTACCCGTCAACTTGACATCAGGTGCTCGTGCCCCACTATCAGCTTCTTGGCTTGGGAGGAGGGGAGGAGCAACACTGCTTGAGCAGGAGACATATGGGGAGGAGGGCAGAGGAGAGAGCGCGCACGTGAGGTCCACCCTGAAGGTCCGACACCAGGTGCTCATCCCCCACTATCAGCTCCTTGGCCCTTCTCAGATCGGCGCGAGCAGAGGGGCAACACTGTTAAGCAAAGCAACGGACGTAAGAGCTCAGGACAGAAACAAAACGTAGAATCCTTGCAGTTTCAATAAAACCCCTTGCGGTAGGTCCAAATGGTTTTACCCTGCAACCAGCTCCCAGGCTCGCTGCAGGTCTGCTCGAACCGAGAAACAACACCTTGTGTGCTGACCTGGCAGTGCCGGGGCTGTGTCTTGCACTGTAGCTTTTGAGTCAACTCAAAAGATAACTTTTGAGTCGACCCAAAAGTCACCTCGCTGCAGGTCTGCTCAAACCGAGAAGCAACACCTTGTGTGCTGACCTGGCAGTGCCGGGGCTGTGTCTTGCACTTTAGCAAGTGCTGCTTCACGTCTAGCAACTCTCCCCTCCAATTACACCCATGTGTGTAGTTCGCACACCGGACCTCCGTGCTGGTACGGAGGAGAAACAGGGAAAAGAGGAGGAGCCGATTATGACAGCTTAGAGTGGCAGTATGAGAAGACATGACAGTGTGAGAGGAGATATGCGAGGAGCGAGGTGAGAACGGGACGATTGCAGAGAAATTGGGTGAAGAAGGGAGAAAAAAAGAACGCAAGGGAAGGGGGAAGTTGGAAGATTTACGGGGAGAGATAGTTAGCAGCTGACCTGCGAAGCTGGCGAAAACGATAAAAAATGCTTCCCGTATAAAATCGGAAGAGAAGGGAGAAGAGGGGCAAAGGGCAAAAGGAAGCTGGAAGAGGGACGGGGAGAGATATACAGCGGCTGACCTGCCAAGCTGGCGGAAAACGATAGGATTTGCTTCCCTTAGGGGGCGAAGATGATCTTGCACGGGCGACTGATCCTGTTGGTAGGGTGGATGGACGGATGGGAGGGATGGGTTGACGGGTGGTAGCTGAACGGGTGAGGGATCGAGGGATGGATGGATGGACGAACAGTTGCATATGGAGCAATGTAGAATGAAAGGACACTTCTCTCGAGAAACAGGAGCTTAAAACTGAGAATAAATTACAAAAATGACAAAGGAGAGGCATGCCTCACCCACCATGGGGCACGTCACGCATTTCTTCTCGATGGCTTCATGCACACATGGCGAGCAGAACACATGTCCACATGCAGCCTGCAGGGGACACCACGTACAACACACGGAAAAAGCGACGCATAGCATGCTTGTGAATTAATCTCATCAAAATGAGCGCAACAGGATATGATAAGGCGGCTGGTCATGAGTCCATTTGCAGCTCTCACAACAACATCAACGCTTAACAAGAAAAATGTCATAATGCTACTTTCCCCCTCCCTTATGAGCTACTGAAGCATTTTTCTCCTGTGGAAAAATAAAACAAAACAAAAAAACTCCACCCTCAGGCGAGTCACCTGAAGAGCGTCGGTGGGGTCGACGAGGTCCGTGCAGTACACGCAGATGAGCTCCCTCAGCAGCCCTTCCAACAGCTCGCTATGGACCACGCGCGTCGTCTCCACACCCATGCCGTGTGGAGCAGCTCGAAGTTTCAAGGATAAACACGAAACAGCTTAGAGCAGCTACGAGCAAGCACACTGGACGAACGCACTGGAATCGGCGCAGCAGTAACCGCAACATGTACTAGGCGCGACCGCCGCGGTTATTTGCTAGACGACGTTCAGTTTCCAGGAAGGAAACTTGAGAAGAACTTGCAGCACGCAACTGGGTATTGTTTATGACCTTTGACGGCTGGTGAAGGCGGCGAGGAGCGCGGGCAGCTGCTGAGGGCGATGGTCCAGCTTTGTACCTTGCAAGGATGAACTGCTGCAATTAAAACTTCAATCTACATGACAAGTTTGACACTTCGTATCAGAACTCATACAAGGTTAACAATACACCAGCGTTTGACTCAGTACAGATTCACCCCCCAATCAAAGCGTATAAGCTAAGCTACAGCTACCAGTATTGTACTGAAGGTTTGTTTGCACAAGAAACATGAAATTGGTTGGTCGGGAGTCATAATCCATTTGTGTTCCCTCCCTTGATCCATGCAGTCACCATCTTCAAGCATTTCACCTGTAATCATCCTCCAGGCTGCGGAAAGCAGCTGTGAGCTCTTCGCTCAGCTTCTGATACTTGGCCTCCAACACCGCCTTCCCGTCTGCGGGGTCCTCGAACTTCTGGGACCTGCAATGAGAAGAAAGCACTTGTGAAGCCCCGAACTAGGTTGACTGGGAAGTCTTGAAGCCAGAATGTAAATGGGGCATTAGCAGGAGCAAAGTGTAACACATACACAATCTTGTAGATAAGGTCACCAAGCCTCTGCTTGATGACATTGAGAGTGATCTTCTGGCCCTCTGAACCTGCTGCCCTCTCCACAGCCTGAAGCGAGCAATAAAGGGTTAGCGAAAAAGGTTTGGAGCTGTGACACAGAAGTGAAACAAGCCTCTTTCAATATATGGGCAGCCAAGGAAACATACCTGGGTTGCAAGCTGATAGAACAGGATGATGTTGCGAAGCATCCATACAGACTTGTAGAAAGGGCAGAACTTGTCATGCCTGAAAACAAACCAGAACGTTAATCCCATAAACAAGGAAATATATGAATGCCAACGGGTAATGAACACAACGTCGGGAAATCAAGCAGCAACGAAGGGACATACGAGGAAAAGGCGTTCTGGGCCAGGTAGTCTTCACGCAGCAGACGAGCTGTCTCCAGAATGATCTTGTCACCTTCAGCAAGGGCATCCTTTCCGACAAGCTGTAACACAAAAACAAGGCCATCAGACCAATTACTATATCAGAAAGTGAAAAGCGAAACTGCGATCGACATCAAGTGTAAATTTGAACAACAGCAAGAAGCAAGACAAGAAAGGATTTGAATGCATCCGATTCTTACCTGCACAATCTCGTTCAGGTCATCCTCACGTTGAAGAACCTCACGGGCCTTGGTACGAAGGGAAATGAAATCTGGCGATTCCACATCATAGAAAGACTCCAACGCCTGAAAGGAAAACAAATGAGCAACAATCCCAGGAAAAACACAAAGGGGTGTTTCTGTTTAAAGATTTAGTACACATTCAACCCGCTGACAAACTGGGTGGGCAAGTGATAAACCTTCGCTTAACCAGCCTGAATGTGGCCCTTCGCTTCACACATGTAAAAACAGGTTACCAGGCTGAGGAATATCACTTGGTAAGTAAGTGAGGCAAACTTACGTTGGTGTACTTGGAATAGGAAATGAGCCAGTTAACAGCCGGAAAATGCTTTCTTTGAGCGAGCTTCTTATCCAGACCCCAGAACACCTGCTCATTTCAACCATTCCAAGATAAGCAACCTTTGTTAACAAAAAAACCTTAAAACATTCCAAGAACACATGTAGAGATAAGCCAAATGGAAGCGCCACTAACCTGGACGATACCGAGCGTAGCGGCTGTGACAGGATCCGAGAAATCACCACCAGGAGGAGACACGGCACCGACAATAGTGACACTTCCTGTGCGGTCAGGGCTGCCGAGGCACTGAACCTTACCAGCGCGCTCATAGAAAGAGGCCAGCCTGGCAGCCAGGTACGCAGGGTAACCACTGTCAGCAGGCATTTCAGCCTGTTGATAAAAGTGGGGTATAGGAAACAGTGGACATATCAGTTACTAATTGTAAAACAAAAACCTATGATGTCCCACCAGTTAAACAGCTTGGCTCCAGCTTACAAGACGCCCAGAAATTTCACGAAGAGCTTCTGCCCATCGAGACGTGGAGTCAGCCATCATGGCCATGTTGTATCCCATGTCTCGGAAGTACTCAGCAAGAGTAATACCTGTCAAGCAGCACAGAAATATTGTCAGGACCTATAGGATGTATTCACTTTAACAGCTTCATTGTTAAAACGCTATCTGGGAGGTCTTACCAGTGTAGATCGATGCCTCTCGAGCAGCCACAGGCATGTTGGATGTGTTAGCCACAAGAGTGGTACGCTTCATCACAGACTCTTCACGGCCATCAGGAAGTGTCATGGTAAGCTTCGGGAAGTCCATCAGCACCTGCAAGGAATTCCGACCGGTCATTTCCTAAATACTATTCACAAGAGCAGAAAAAAAGTGCACTCAAGTAGGTAAGAGACGCACTCACCTCAGCCATTTCATTTCCGCGCTCTCCGCAACCAACATAAATGACACCGTCCGCATTCGAAAACTGCACTGACAGTGAAAAACCAAAATCAGCACATGAATTATAGATAACAAAGGACACACATATTTCAATATGTGCCTACCCACCTTGGAAAGCGCCTGACTGATGACAGTCTTTCCGCAACCGAAAGCACCGGGGATAGCACAAGTACCACCAAGCACTGAGGGGAACAGGGCGTCCAAAATTCGCTGCCACAAGAACAAAATGTCGTAGTGATCAGTAAGCCAAGACATTGTTCAAGGTCTCACAACGAAATGTTGAAGTGTTCATAACATACCTGGCCAGTTAAGAGAGGAGTGTCCGCTGGTAGCTTTCGTGCCACAGGACGGGGAGAACGGACTGGCCATGTCTGGAACGCATGGCAAGAGGTAAATTGAAATAAGCACTTCCCGTGGCAACAAGATATCGACTTAGTAAAAGTATGGCCATCATACCTGAAGCATAGTGTACTGCTTTGTCTGCCCTTGGAACTCAAGTTCAAGGACTTTATCCTGCTCAAAAAGATTAAAAGTGGTTCTCGTTATCCAACAATCCATCCGCGAAAGAGTAATAGTTGTGCGACGAATGATGAGTTCCTATATTACCTTCAAACTATATTGACCAGGAGGTGCGACGTAAGTGACCTTCCCCATGGCTTTCGGAGGAGCACAGATCTTTTGTGTCATAAGGCTGTTTTCGATGACAGTCTGCACGGAGAGCAACGAAAGCAAATCCGGTTACGGACCTTCACGGAAACGCATGGAAATAACGGGGCCATAAACGGTACATACCCCGAAAATGTCACCACCCGCAAGGATATCTCCAACATCTGCAACCACGAGGCGGGAATATGTCACTCGTAAGAACCAATATCGACAGAACAGCCCGTCCACCGTTAATCATAATCAATATAATCTTACTCAGAGCCCTGGGCTGGAACTCCCAAAGGATGTCCTTGTCAAGCGCCGGAACCGCGACACCACGCGGAATGTACACATTGCCGGACCTAATGGCGATGGTTTTCAACGGCCGCTGCACAAACGCAATATCCGGCTCGTTAGAATAAAATGTATGGATCTGATATGTTCGTTAAATGGCAAGACAGAAAATGATCCCACCTGGATACCGTCGAAGATGTTGCTGAGAATACCAGGGCCGAGCTCCACCGAAAGTGGCTGAAACAAGAAACATATGGTCCAGAGAGGTAAGAAAAACGAGGACTTCGGCAAGGAAAGGCTAATGCAAGCCGAAAACAAGAATGTCATCTGACCTTGTGAGTTCGAAGCACCGGATCTCGAACAGTCAGACCAGATGTTTCCTCGTACACTGGAAGAAACCAGGGGGAAAAGGATCGACTATTTTAGGTCACCGACATGCTAACGGACACCCAGGGGCCGCAGAATAAATGGAGTGCACTGAAAACAAATCTCTGAAAATATTAACCTTGAATAGTTGCGGAGTCACCCTCGAGACGAATTATCTCTCCGATAAGTCTATCATTTCCCACACGGACAAGCTCGTACATAGCAGCTCCTCCCATGTTATCTGCTATCACGACAGGCCCCGAGACCTGAAAGCGGACGACATCAGCCAGATCAGACCTCTACGGCATATTTCAACTTTCACGGGAGAAAAAAAAATCGATGGATCTTCCGGACCTTCTTGATGTATCCATACTCGCTCTCCTTCTCAGCGTCCTCAAAGGTAGACATTCTAAGATCCGGCTAGAAGCGAAGCGAAAGCTCGAAAGGAAAGCGAGGAAACGGCGGAGCAAGGGCTCCTTCCCAAAAGACCACACGATCACAGAGAGCTGGAAATTCTAATTCTGCAGAGCAGAGAAGGGGCTCTGCCTGCTGTTGTGCTACTGGAAACTTGCAATCCTCGAAACAAAGGCAATTCTGTCTTCCCCGTGCCGAGCAATAGCGGAGGAGGCACACAGCCCCCGCTAGTGTGCTTCTGCACAGGAGAACATGCGTTCGTTGCCATCTACTCATCGATTGTACCGTACTTCACTGTGCACTGTATGCATTTGTTGGAATGCAAAGTTGGAAATATGAGATCTAGGTCAGTAGAACATTTGTTATCTTAAGCGATTTGTTTAGTGTATGCATGATCAGGCCAGACGCAATCTAGACGTGAATATGGAACACAGCCAGCAGAAACCAGCAGCCAACTTAGAATAGTACAAGCTACACTCGTACGGTAAATGCCAAGGCAAGAGCTCCACCACCCTAGCACACCGGTCCTGCTGCTGCTCCAAAATCCACACGCATTGACTTGCCACCATCTTACAAATTCTTCCTTAATACCCTCCCTTAAGATCGTTAACCACGTCGTACGGAATAGGCGTCACAGTCTCCATGGTCGTACCGGGCACAAGGAACCCTGGCCGGGGGCCGAGGGGCTTCCTCTTGCCGCCCACCACCGCCGGAGCGGGCGGCTCCAGCGCCTTCACCGCCCGCTTCTTCCTGTCCTCTTCATGCAGCTTCGCCTTCTCCTCGTCCGACTTTTTCGGGCGCGCGTTGCGCTTCTCAAGAGCCTGCAGGTACTCGAGGGTCATGGGTGCCGGCTTCTTGTACTTCTTCTCCTTGGCTGCGCCGCCGGCGGCCTTGCGGGCCTCGGCGTTGGCTGCCTTGTGCTCCTCGTTGGCCTTCACACGCGCCTTGAAGTCCACGTTGCACCGGGAAGGGGTCAGGTGCTCGATGCGCACATGGAGGCGCTTGCGCACAATGCGGGTGTTCACCTGAAGAGGGGGATTTAATAACAGGGAGAACAAGGGGGGAATTTAAGTCACAAGCGGGCCACGTTGCACCGCAACGGCGTCAGATGCTCGAAGTGCACGTGCAGGCGCTTGCGCACAATGCACATGTTCACCTCCAGGAGACGCGGAAAGAGGGGAGAGTGGGTGTAAGGAGACACGGGAGCAAGGTGACTTTTGAGTAGACAAAGTCGACACCTCGCTTGCGCACAAAGCGGGTGCTCACTTGCACGCGGATGGGGGAAAAGGTGGAAGGGGCATGGTTACGGGGATCAGGGTTGGATAGGAAAGTGGAGAGGAGCATAAGCACAGTTCGGCTATCAACACTCGTGTGCGGAATGCACAACGCAAATGCTCTCTTGTAAGGATGTAACAGGGGAGGGAGGACGGGAAAGGGAGGGAAGCCTGGGGAGCAAAAGAGGGAAGGATGAGGGACGGGGGGGAGAGGGGGGTGGGATGAAAGGGTACTAAGGGAAACCAGTTAGAATCAATCTGATGAAGAACCACGAACGTAGATTTGCTGCAAAACATCCATGCAAACATTGTCCTCTAGGGTTTCGTTCCCCCGACCCCGCCTGCCCCCTCGTATGCAACAGAGCGTCACTGCGTCCTGGTGCAACACGCAGTCTTCGAGAGACCCCTAGCGGGCCGATCTTCCATCTCTATGCAACGCTGCTCTGAGTTCTGACACCCGACCATCTATACCCTAGTTAAGTCGACCTGCGCCCACTGCACGCTCGCAGTCCTACACCCCACGCTCGCTAGGGCTCAGCATTACAACATACAACCTAAAGCCTTACGCCGGGTAACGCTTCATTCCCACCACCGGTTTGGAGCCTTTCACACAGCCACCCCTTTTACCCAAACTTCACGTCCTTGCACCCAGCCATGCGCAACAGTGCACGCATTCTTTCAACAACGCAGTACTCGATTCCCGCGGTCAATTAATCCCTTAGCCCCGCGATCCCTCAGCTCCGCACTCCCCCAGCCCCGCAGTCCCCCAGTCCCGCAATCCCCCAGCCACGCTGTCCCTCAGCCCTACGGCTCCCCAGCCCCGCAGTCCCTCAGCCCCACGGTTCCCCAGCCCTGCAGTCCCTCAGCCCCACGGTTCCCCAGTCCCGCAATCCCTCAGCCCCACGGTTTCCAAGCCCCGCAGTCCCTCAGCCCCACGGTTCCCCAGCCCCGCAGTCCCTCAGCCCCACGGTTCCCCAGTCCCGCAGCCCCTCAGCCCCCCAATCCACCAGCCTCGCAATCCCCCAGTTCTCCAGTACCCCAGTTCCTCAGTCCCCTATGTCCCCAGCTACGCAGTTCGCAGTCTCGCATCTCGAATCCTTCTAGAACCGTGCCGGAATGCTTTCTCTTGCGGAAGGCCTCAGCAATTGACGTTAACAGGAAAACGAGGGAATGAAGCGGAGGAACTTCGCCTCTCTAAAACCTAAAACGTTAGTTGCCGCCGGGAATACCTTCAAAGTGGGGCCATCGATCTCTACGAATCTCCTATCAACCTCCTCGCCGTCCAAATCCCTTTACTCACTATCACTCATCTTGATCTCCAGAGCTAGGCGACAATATCCACCTATCTCAATAAACTGATCACACTCTAAATCCAAATCCCCCATGCAGAGACTGAACTAGCACACCCGCGCTCATGCCATGCCTACATTCTCTGCTCGTCTTCGCAAGCTGAGCTCCGCCAGAACTCTAGATTCTCGTTGTAATGAGTAGGCGAATACGCTAAGAAACTGCCGATCATTGCCCAGGGGTATCAGTTCACAGAACTGCTTGCCGGTTTTGACGCCAGTAGGGAGCGCGCGTGCATGCGACGACGTTGCAAAAGCGACCTAAGATCACGGCCAGCTTACTTGCAGAACGGCGCTGCTAATCTTAACTCCCAGTCTACGGTCCAGATTCTCCTGGACCCACGACCTAATCCAGCTAGGATTCGAGAGGGCGATTGGTAAGGTTCATGGTCGTTCCCTGATAGAACTAACTTGCCACGGACCTGCTTGTTGACCTCCACGCCAAGAGCGCGCTTGGTGACGTTCCAGACACGACCGGTCTTTCCCTGGTAGAACTTGAACGGCATGCCCTTCTGTACGGCGGAGTTGACCTTAATGTCGACCATGTCGCCGAGCTTGTATGTACGCAGGTACGTCGAGATGGGGATGTAACCATGCTGGCGGAACCCGCGCGAAAACATGTCGCGGGTTCGCGAGCGCAATCCATGGCCCTTCATTTTGGGATTTTTGGGATGGGAACCCTAGCCTGTGTTAGCTGCTGCTGCTGATGCTGTGCCTGATTCTGTGGCACTCTGCTGCTGCTGTGACGCAGGGAGAAAGGAGCGTCCCAAGGGGAAAGGGAGAGACTGAGAGGAGGAAGAGGAAGAAGAATGGCTGAGAGGTGAAGGGGAGACGCAGCAGCACGGGAGCAGGGAGCAAGGAGCAGGAAGCAGCGAAGCGCAGGAGCAGAGGAGGGGCGCGCAGCAGAGGTGAAAGGAAAGCAGGGGACGAAGCGGGGGAGCAAGTGGGGGGAAACCGGCGGTTCAAGGGGAAGCGGCGGGCAAGGGAAGGAGGCGGAATGATGGTGGTAGCGGAAGGGGGTGACGGGGGAGTTAGAAAGCAAAGGGGGAGTTGGATGGGGTGAGGGGATGTGGAGGGAAAGAGGAGGAAAAGTGATGGAGGGGGAGAAGAACAAAATCGGGGACTTCGATAGAAGGTATCGGAAGAGTTGTGTGTGCTGTGGTGGTGCGCCACAAGCTGTACTTTTGATGTTCGCTACCCTAATGAAAGCTATTTTCACATATATAAGACATATATGGTTACTGTATACAGTTTCAAAGTGCCTTCGATAATGTCAATAGCAGCTCGTCTAATGCCCCTGCTTGCGCAATGCCGACTCGTCGCGAGAAGTCCCGTGCGATGAAGATTTGCGTAGGAGGACCCAATCATGTTCAAAAAGCTCGGGCTGAAGCAAGCAACGGTCCAAAATTGTGCGACACAATCCCAAGAGATTGGTTTGGCTTATCTGTCTGCTCCAGAAGGATCGGTTGGTCTTTAGAACTGGGTTCGACGCGGCTGTGTAAGGTGAACAGCGCGTAAGTGGGAATTCAATACGGTGGACAGATATTCGGCATTTCCCAAGGGAGTGATTCCCGCAATTTCTTCAGTTCCAATCCAAGGCATTCTCAGCAGTGGTGGAATCTCTGCTTTTCTGTGGCGAGGTCATAGATGTTTTTCTCCATTCCAGCACTTCCTAATGGCTTCCGCTGCTTCATATTGCGCGAGCAACGCGATTTCTGGAACCATCAACCATGGCAAAGCTTTACCACGCGTTTTGAACTGCTCAACGAAGCTACGTATTAGTGGAAGCACGCTACTGTTGAAACCAAACGCTCCGCGACTCCGCCATTTCGTGGCGTCCAAGCGAGGTCATGGAGATCCAGTCCAGGAGTCTCGAGGTCGAGGCTGTTTTGCGTCGCGTGATGGCGTGACAGCAGCGGCTGTGACTACAGAGGGTGGCTTGGCGACGGCCACGGAAGAAAAAACCGGCGCAGAGGAAGAGATGTTCGATTGGGACAAAGCCTGGTACCCAGTAGGTACGTGAACTATATGTTTATAAAGCGACCGCATCATAAAAGATGTTTTGACGGTTTAGATGTTGGCTTGGCGACGATCACGGAAGAGAAAACCGGCGCAGAGGAAGAGATGTTCGATTGGGACAAAGCCTGGTACCCAGTAGGTGCGTGAATGATATGTATTTAGAGCGACCGCATCATGATAGTAAACACGGACCGCATCATGATATGTATTTAGAGCCTCTTTTATTAACAATGCCTGAGATTGTTAGAGAATGGGCATCAAGCTTAAATAGAAGAAGCTACTAGCCTGTGGGTAAATGGAGGGCTTGATATTCAAACACAGGTGTTTAAAGTATTGTTTTGAGACGTCTCAAAACACTACCTCAAACAGAAGGTTCCTGGAGTACATGTGGATAGTTGATCAAACATAGTTGTTTTGAGCATGTTTTGAAACAATTTGGTTGTGTGCTGAGCATGTTTGAACATCATAGGACATTCTTTGCTTCGTTATGAGGAAAGCAGTCATAGTGCATGTCTTGAACAATGTAGCATCTCCCCTTTAGTATTCTCAGAATTCCTCTCCATTCCCCCAACTCCCCTTTCCATCGTCTCCTATTTTCTCTGACCCTTTCGTTTTAGCAGCGAATCTCTCCGTCATTTCTCGCTTATTTCCGTTACCTCACTACCCTTCTCCCACGCACATAGTTTCACCCATTTATTCTAATGTCTTGAGTACATTCCCATCCCATCCCCTTAACCCAACTCCTCTGCTGTCCCCGCGCCTAAAATAATTCCCCTAACTCCATAGTGTCACGCACACTTTCTTCCCCTCACATCCCCCCCTCACCGCACCTGCCTGCGCTCACCAAGACTCTGAACAAGTGCGTTCCTCCCCCCCATTTCCCCCCTTCCCTCCCCCCCTCCTCACCGCACCTGCCAGCGCTCACCAAGACTCTGAACAAGCGCGTTCCCGAGCCTGTGACTATTCTCGGCCGCCCATTGGTCATCTGGTTCGATCAGGTGTCCGACCAATGGCGGGTCTTCCATGACCTCTGTCCTCACAGGTACTCTCAAACAATAGCCATTCTTCCTAGTTTCGTTCTGTATCATGTGTTGTCTACGTGTGCCTCTCATTACTGTGTTTTCGTTCTTTCAGATTCCTCTTCTCTCGCCGTCGCTCCCGTTCTGCTCATCAACCCGTCCCAGTTCCAGGCTAGCCCCGCTATCAGAGGGGTGGATTCATGAGTCAGGACTCAGGGCAGCTGCAGTGCTCCTGCCCCGGGTGGACGTCTTTTTAATGCCCGTTTGTCTCTTCTCAGTGCAATTTTTCCCTCCTAATTCCTCCCCTTCTCCCAGGCTAGCCCCGCTATCAGAGGGGCGGATCCACGAGTCAGGGCAGCTGCAGTGCTCCTACCACGGATGGACGTTCTCAGGAGAAGGCTCGTGTGGGTTCATTCCCCAGGCTCCCACGAACGGACCAGCGGTGAGTTTATTTTTAAATTTCGTATTGTAGGAATAGGAGAAGGCTCGTGCGGGTTCATTCCTCAGGCTCCCACGAACGGACCAGCGGTGAGTGGGAAACGCGGGTGCGTAGTTAGAGGCCGAGAGGGGGGTATGGAGGAGGGAAAGAGGGTGGAGCAAAGGAAAATTGGAAGGCTGACCGCTGGGAGTGTGGGAGGTGAATGACTATTCTTCCCCTTTCCCCCTACCTGTGCTCCCTCCCCCCCCCCCTTCCTCAAGCATGTGCCCATGTGTTGTCCCTGTCCTCCCCTCCCCCTGCCTTCGCCCACTCGTTAACTATTCCCTGCTGCCCCTGCTCTTGCCCCTGCTCTTGCCCTTACCATCCCTCCTCCCTCCCAGGTGAACGCCTCCCCTCGAGCATGTGCGCGGGTGTACCCCAGTCGGGTGCATGAAGACATCATCTGGTTCTGGCCGGACTGCTCCTCCTGCTCATCAACCCCCACCTCTCCCACTCCTTTTCCTTTCCCAGGTGAACGCCTCCCCTCGAGCATGTGCGCGTGTGTATCCCAGTCGGGTGCATCAAGGCATCATCTGGTTCTGGCCGGACTGCTCCCCCTCCGCTGCTGCTGAAGCGGCTGCTGCACCGCCTCCCCCTTCTCTCCCTGAGTTTGACGATCCGAGCTTTCGATACGACACTGGCATGGCAGACCTTGAATATGGGTGAGCTGTAATGCAAAATGTTGCGGTGCAGGATTGACAAGGTTGGGGTGTTTGAGACGTCTCAAACCCCTCCTGAGCTTCACGATCCGAGCTTTCGATACGACACGGGCATGGCGGACCTTGAATACGGGTGAGCTGCTTGGTTGGTTTGCATGAATGATATGGCTTTTGAGGCGCCTCAAGGCCCCCTTTCGATACGACACGGGCATGGCAAACCTTGAATATGGGTGAGCTGGTTTGAGGCACCTCAAAAGCAAGACTGTGAAACGTCCCAACAGCTGCCCCGCCTCCCACGACCCTCCCTGAGTTTGACGATCCGAGCTTTCGCTACGACACCGGCATGGCAGTCCTTGAATATGGGTGAGCTAGTTGGAAAGGAATCTGGGGCATGTGAGGTGACTTTTGAGGCGCTTCAAAAGCATGGCGGACCTTCCCTTCCCACTCCCGTTCCCACTCAAACTCCTGTCCTGATGGAGAATCTTCCGGACCCAGCACATGTGCCCGCCGTGCGTTTCTGTCTCAGGCGCCCCAATATTTTCCCCATGTCCCTGCCCTTTCCCACTCCATACCCGTTCCCACTCAACTCCTGTCCGCTCAGCTACGAGATGCTGATGGAGAATCTTCTGGACCCAGCACATGTGCCCTTCGCCCATCATAAGTACCAGGTGGGGACGTAGAGACGCGATAACCCATGTCAGGGTCTGAAATGCATTCTGTCAGGTCCATTCTTGAGATCCCTATCACCTGTCTGTCTGTCTGTCTGTCTGTCTGTCTGTCTGTCTGTCTGTCTGTCTGTCTGTCTGTCTGTCTGTCTGTCTGTCTGTCTGTCTGTCTGTCTGTCTGTCTGTCTGTCTGTCTGTCTGTCTGTCTGCCTGGACCCAGCGCATGTGCCTGCCGCCCATCACAAGAACCTACCAAGTGGGGACGTAGGAGCAAAAACTCATGTCAGGGTCTGAAATCCATTCTTGTTATTCTGTCACTTCTGGGAAAACATCAACAACCACTTATCCACTGGGTTACCAAAACAAAGCAAGACTTCTGCTCCCCCTGGTGGCAATCAGAATGCTCAATAAAGGGGTCCTATACTGCTATGCATGGTGGTTTTCAGCATCAGCTGGTTACCAGCATCACCCCACAGGGCATCGAGGCAAGCCTTTTATCATCCTCCTCACCACCCACCCACTCGAATACCTCCCACAGGGCGATCGCAACAAGGCGAGGCCACTGCCGTCCATGGTGGTAACCAGCATCACCCCACGGGGAATTGAGGGAAACAGCCTTGTATCCCTCTCATGCCCCTCCTCCCTCTCCTCCTTCCCACATTCCTACATTCCCGTCTTTTGCAGGGCGAGCGCAGCAAGGCACTCCCCCACTGCCGTCCATGGTGGTAACCAGCATCACCCGACGGGGCATCCAAGTTACCTGTGTTTCCCCCCTCGCATTTTGCAGGGCGATCGCAACAAGGCGAAGCCACTGCCGTCCATGGTGGTAACCAGCATCACCCCACGGGGCATTGAGGGAACAAGCTTTTCGGACGGCCCAGCTGCTATGGTGCCGCCCTGCACGCTCATTCAGGAGCTGTATATTGGGGGGAAAGTGGTGAGATCACCTCTCTATAGTCACAATTTTATTGTGTAAGCACTAAGTGGCCCAGCTGCTAAGGTGCTGCCCTGCACGCTCATTCAGGAGCTCTATATCGGGGGGAAAGTGGTGAGCTTTACTCTTTGTTGTTAGCAGATACTTACTACCATGCCACATACTCGTTACAAGCTGCTGTGGTGCCACCCTGCACGCTCATTCAGAAGCTCTTCATCGGCGGGAAAGTGGTGAGATCAACTCTTTATAGTCACAATTGTATTGTATAAGCACGAAGTGAGAGTGTGGTGAGATCAACTCTCACTCTCCCCTTTCTACCCTGGTATTCCACATTCTCCCGATCCCCCCACCATCTTCCCTCTCTTTCCCTCACCACACCCTATCCTGAGCAGCCAGAGGGGTCGGGCAAGAAGCAAAAGACAGCGATTCTATTCTTCCACTGCATCCCGCACCTTCCTTCTTTTACACCCCCTGTCATGCAATCCATCCATCCCCTTCAGCCATCCCCCATCCATCCCCATCAGCCATCCTTCTTGTGCACTATTGGCTTCCCTCCCTTCCCTCCTGCTACCCGAGCAGCCAGAGGGGTCGGGCAAGAAGCAAAAGACAGCAATCCTCTTCTTCCACTGCATTCCCCGCATGCCCGGATAGAGTCGCCTCATCTGGTTCTTTCTCTGCTCTTCCCCCAACAACACCCTCCCCGTCCGCGTCCCTCTCTGCAGCCGGAGGGGTCGGGCAAGAAGCAAAAGACGGTGATTCTCTTCTTCCACTGCATTCCCCGCCTGCCCGGGCAGAGCCGCCTCATCTGGTTCTTCCTCAACAATGTCCTCCCGCCCTGGGTGCCCATGCCCCCCGAGTGGTTTGTGCACCTGACTCGCATGAAAGTGCTCGACACCGACCACCCCTTGCTGCACCTCACGGTATGCTGCCCTTTGTGCCTCATTAACTATAACCCATGGGGTTGTGGGTTCCCCCCTCCCCCCCCGATTGGTTTTTGCACTTGACTCGCATGAAAGTTCTCGACACCGACCACCCTTTGCTGCACCTCACGGTATGTCTATCTCAATGAATGGGGTTAAAGTTTGCATATACATGGCGTCGAATGGAAACGAGTGGCCTTGCTTTGCTGGTGCCACTCCCCTGTGCCGGAGTGGTTTGTGCACCTGACTCGCATGAAAGTGCTCGACACCGACCACCCTCTGCTGCACCTCACGGTATGCATTTCCAACAGGCTCTCTCAAATGTCCTGCCTCTCTTACTTGTTTTGAGACGTCTCAAAACTCTCTTGCTTGTTTTGAGGCATCTCAAAGCACTTCTACTTGTTTTGAGGCATCACAAAACTTTCGACAAGCTCTCACTTATGTACTAAAACTCTTGCTTCTGGTGTGTAACGGGAAAAGCATGGCCTCCCGGGTGCCTCTGCCCTCCAAATGGTCCGCGCACCTGACAAAGATGACACAAGATCCACCCCTTGAAACGTACTCCCCGTATTCCCTCTTCAGTTCCCAATTGCACCTTCTCCCCAATGCAGGAGCGGCGGCTAGGGCAGCGCAGGGCATCAAGCTGTACCGAACTCCCACCTCACTCAACTCCTTTGTCTCCCCTTTCCAACCCCCCCAACCCCTTCCGCCAATGCAGGAGCGGCGGCTGGAGGAGGAGGGAGGCGCGGTGCAGGGAATAAAGAGCTACTACACTCCCACATCGACCTACTACCTCTCCCAACACCTCTCTGTACCCTCCCTCTCTCCCTTCCCCCATCACCTCTGTGTGTACCGTCCCCTCACGGCAGGAGCGGCGGCTGGAGGAGGGAGGGGCGGTGCAGGGGGTAAAGAGCTACTACACTCCCACATCGGCCGACTCACTGTCTCTGCCATTGACTGCCTCTCTTGTCCCTGTCACCCCTGTCACCTGTCCCCTGTGTCTTACCCCAATGCAGGAGCGGCGGTTGGAGGAGGAGGGAGGGGCAGTGCAGCAGGGCATCAAGCAGAACTGTACTCCCACCTCATCCAACTCCTTTGTATCCCATTACCACACTCCCCAACCCCTTTCCCCAATGCAGGGGTGGCGGCTGGAGGAGGAGGGGGGGGGTGGTGCAGGGGGTACGGAGCTACTACACTCCCACATCGACCTACTACCTCTCCCAACACCTCTCTGTACCTCCCTCTCTCCCTTCCCCCAACACCTCTGTGTGTACCTTCCCCCTCACGGCAGGAGCGGCGGCTGGAGGAGGAGGGAGGGGCGGTGCAGGGAATAAAGAGCTACTACACTCCCACGTCGGCCGACTCGTTTGTCTCGGCGTATCGCTCCTGGCTGACCAGATTTGCGGGCAGCAAGGCCCGTTTCCCCGCCTATGTGGATCCGAAGCTCCCCCCGGCCAAGTCAAGGCGGGAGATTCTTGACAGGTGAGATTCTTGACAGGTGGGATTCTCGACAGGAGATTCTTAACAGGTGAGATTCTTGACAGGTGAGATTCTTGACAGGTGAGATTCTTAACAGGTGAGATTCTTGACAGGTGAGATTTTTGACAGGTGAGATTCTTGACAGGTGAGATTCTTGACAGGTGAGATTCTTGACAGGTGAGATTCTTGACAGGTGAGACTCTTGACAGGTGAGATTGCTTTGATTGATTTGCATATCCGGGGAGAGGGGGGTTGCCTGAGGGGGTGTAATGCCCGCTTTCCCACCTTGTAGATGCGCGTTTCTCTGACCCCCCTACCCCACTACACCACCCGCAGGCAGCGCTTCCATGTGCGGCTGTGCACCGACTGCCAGCGAGTGTAGCGCTGGTCTGACCACCTGTCAACCCCCCACTACCTCTCTCCTTTCCCTCCACCCCCTCCCCTACCCTTCCCACCTCGCAGGCAGCGCTTCCACGTGTGCCCCGACTGCCAGCGAGTGCAGCGCTGATCCGACCGCCTCCGCATTCACCCCCCCCCCCTCCCTTTTCCCTCCCCCTCGCCCCACCCCCCCTCCCCCACCTGCAGGCAGCGCTTCCACGTGCGGCTGTGCCCAGACTGCCAGCGAGTGCAGTGCTGGTCTGACCGCCTCCGCATCGCCTTCTGGGCCGCTGCCCTCCTCCTCCTCGCCGCCACCGCCCTGCTTCCCCTCGCCCCTCCCCCCCTTCTAAGTCTCCCCCACTTCTCAGTCGTCCCTCTTAGCATACTCCAAGACCAAAGGGATCTGTTATTGACTCCCAATCCACCCCTTCCCCCACTCTTCCCCTTTACCCACCCCCCTGCAGGCAGCGCTTCCACGTGCGGCTGTGCCCCGACTGCCAGCGAGTGCAGTGCTGGTCCGACCGTCTCCGCATCGCCCTCTGGGCTGCCGCCCTCCTCCTCCTCGCCGCCACCGCCTTGCTTCCCCTCGCCCCACCTGCTGTTCGGCAAGCTGCGGGCCCCACTGGTGCTGTTTTTTTAGCGGCGGCTGCGGTGGTGTGTGCTGCGGTTGCGCACTGGTTGAAGGGGTTTATTGAGAAGAACTATGTGTATGAAGACTTTGTGCATGCACTCTGGTACCCCGCGAAGAAATGAACTCACAGGTAGTGTTTGCAATGAGTGATACTATTGCGTGACTGTTTAGGTGGCCATTGATCACTTTATAGGAATAAGAACTAGCTAGGAGGAAAGGGGACACTTTTCATGACGTTATGATATTAAGGAGAGGTTTGGGAAAAGAAAGCGAATGAGTATCAAGAAGTGTAGCTAATGTGTAACGCACAAATATGAAGTTCCAGCATAATTGTTTCTATATGAATACACCTGTTGTGAACGTTGAGACTAGTAGGTAAGAATGGGTATACGCATAGTAGACTAAATACCGTTGTTACGAGTGCAAAGAATCGAAGTAGCGAGAATTGCACTAAGGTGTCAAACGAGTACAAAATGTGAGCGAAGGCATGAGCGAACATTTATACGCGAAACATGAAAACGGTAACGCTGTGCATGCGAGCTAGCTAGTGCTATGCTGGTAGCGAGGTTCGGGCTAGTCTCGAAGCGTAGGCCGACGCGGTCGGGCCAGCAGTGCGAGGTTTGGTGAAACAATGCGCGCGAAGTTGGCGAAGCCCCGTTAGCAATAACAGGCAAACAACGGCTGCTGCTGTACACGATGTTGCGAGGCGCGCTAAGGAATTAGAGAAAAATCCTTACACTACCCCCCCCCCCCCCTCAAGAAGCCCCCTCCGCTACGCAAGTGCGTGTATATCGCGGAAACCCCGGCTCCTCAGGTACATGTGCAGGGCAGGGTGGTTTTCGATGTTGGCCAGGGGCACCCAGCTATCTTCAGTTGGCGTGCGGTCCTTCCAGCTAACGAGGGATTCAATCCTCCTGATCCCCGTGGGGTGTCGGATCCGATGGCTTAGGATTTTTTCGGGCTCGATGATCGGCTCCGATGCAGGGCGAGTCATGGATGGCGGGCGGTGACGAGGCAGTTGGCTTGTGGTTGGAATGTATGGGCGAAGCAGGCTGACGTGGAACGAAGGGCTGATGTACCAGTCCGTCGGTAACAGTAGGTGGGCTGTCACTGGGGTGATCATGTGGCTGATTTGGAATGGTCCACAGTAGCGGGGTCGTAATTTCGGTACGACGGGCAGTCTTAAGTTCTGTGTGTCGAGTAGTATGTAGTCTCCTAACTGGTACGTGACCGGGCGGCGGTGGCGGTCAGCGTTGCGCTTAGCGATGACATTGGCTCTTTTAATTGCTTCGGCGGCTCTGGTGCAGGCAGCTTGCAGAATTTCAGGGAATTGCTGTGCGCGTGGCGTTGGGTTGTCCAGACTCGGCGTCATGGGCACTGTAGGGTTTTGCCCGTAGTTCAGGTAGAAGGGGGACTGCTGCGTCGTCGCTGACGTTGCATTGTTGTAGGCGAACTCCATCAGCGGCAGCTGCTGCTCCCATGTTGTCGGGTCGTCGCACGTGGCACGAATCAACTGCTCCATCGTCTGATTCATCCGCTTCGTTTGACCGTCGGTCTCGGGGTGGTACGACGAGCTGAACTGTAGCCTGGTCCCGAACTGCTCCCAGAGGTTCTTCCAGAAGTTGCTAGTGAACATCGTGTCGCGGTCGCTTATTATCGCGGCTAGTATCCCGTGCAGTCGAAGAGCGACTGCAATGAACAGGGGAGCGGTTTCTTCGGCTGCGATCGATTTCTTGCACGCACCGAAGTGAGCCATTTTCGTCAACCTGTCAACGACGACCATAGCTGCGTCGTTACCCCCAAGGTTCGAAGGTAACCTTGTGACGAAATCCATGGTAACCTGCTGCCAGGCGTGCTTAGGCGGTGGAATCGGCTGCAACTGACGGCTGCAACTGACCTGCCTTTCTTTTTCGCGAGCTCTTCATCACCTGACACGTAGGACATGAGCCCACGTGGTGCTGTACGTCGGTCAACAGCTCGGGCCAGTAGTAATACCGCTGCAGTTGCTGTCATGTTTTTTCTACCCCGAAGTGTCCCGATGTAATCCCGTCATGTTCCTCCTGCAAGAACGGTTCCCTCAGTAGTGAGTACGCGGGTACCCATACGCGGTTGGTGCCTGATTTTACGTAATAGACTCCTTTGGCCTCTGCCAGTAGCTGTGAATTTTCGGTCGTGAAAAATGGGTCGGTACTGTATCCGTAGGTGAATAGGCCTGTTAACAGTGGGTTCGTTTGGGCGGGTAGGATGGCGTGGAGTTGGGCAGTGGGGCGTGTGAGTGCATCAGCGATGCTGGATGCGCCTTTTTTGTATGTGACCGTGTAGTGGAAGTTGGACTCCAGATAGTCCAGCCAGCGGATCTGTCGTGGGTTGAGATTTGGTTGGGCGTGAAGGTACTGTAGGGATCGGTGGTCTATCCGTACTGTCACGTCTGCTCCCGTGAGGTAACATCGCCACACCTTGAACGCGTGCACGATCGCCAACATCTCGCGGTCGTGTATCAGGTAGTTGCGTTCGGGCGGGTGAAACTTGCGGGACTCGTACGCGATTGGCTGGAGGCCGTTCCCGAAGTCCTGCAACAGTACTGCTCCCACAGCGATGTCGCTAGCGTCGGTGACAAGTTCGAACGAACGGTGCGAATCTGCAATGTGAAGCACGGGCGGCGAGCACAAAATATTTTTAAGGGCCGAGAAGGCAGCTTGCGCTTTCTCCCCCCACGTATACTCAACCCCCTTACTCAGCAGGTCGGTCAACGAGGTAGTCAACTTCGCCATGTCGGGGACGAACCGTCGCACGTAGTTGACGAACCCCAGAAAACATTGCAACTCGGTTTGGTTGGTCGGCGCGTGCCATGCTTAAATTGTCGCGATCTTCTTCGGGTCTATTTCCACTCCTGTAGCTGCAAGAATGTGTCCCAAAAACTCCAGTCGGTCCTGTAAATACTCACGCTTAGACGCTTTGGCCAGTAGGTGGTTGTGAGAGTACGACGGCTTATGCTAGCTATGCTTGCTTGCCTTTACTTTGTTATTCTATTTCTAGCATAGGATAATTATATGCATGCATGAATTGCTTGATTTCCTAGGCTAGGTGCTTTCCTATATTTTATTATAGTTATAGCACCGAGCTAGGTTGCGTGCACCGAATTCTGGCTTTTCGGCGGCCACCGAATTGCCTTCTACCGAATTCTGTAAGGATCTGTTCGGGACGCTTCGCGACCCGCGGAACCTTCGCGTAACACCTAGTTACGGGGCCTTGTGTCGAGCCTATATATAGCCTCGTGTTGTACCCAGGTGATCATTCAATTCGACTCAAATCTCATTCTCTTTTCTGAGCTCGATCCTAGATCCTCACAGTGGTTCTCACTCAATATTTTAAGACTGCTTCGATGTCCTATAAGTGTTGTGCTCTGTCGGGGCTGTAAATCAGTATGTCGTCAAGATAAACGATGACGCACTTATCTTAAAGTGGGCAGAAGGCTTTGTTCATGGTCATTTGAAAAGTAGCGGGGGCGTTGGTCAGTCTGAAGGGCATGACAATGTATTCGAACGATCCGTAGCATGTTCGGAAGGCTGTCTTGGGGCAGTCGGGTGGGTTGATGCGAATCTGGTGGTAACCTCCCCTAAGGTCGATTTTCGAGAAAACCCGGGCTGTACGCAGTTGGTCGATCAGTTCGTCGGCTCGCGGGATGGGGTAACGGGATTTAATGGTAACCCTGTTCAGTGCCTTGTAGTCTATGCACATGCGAAAACCCCCGTCCTTCTTCGTCGTGAACAGTATTGGTGCTGTGAAGGGTGACGAACTCGGGCGAATGAACTCCTATTCGAGCAGGTAATCCAGTTGCTTTCTCAGTTCGTCCAGTTCGGGTTGGGTCGGTCGGAATTGTCGCTGTACTGTCAGATGTGCCCCCGGTTCTAATTCTATCCTATGGTCGTGCGGTCGCTGAGGTGGCAGTCCCGTCGGCAGATCGTCCGGGAAAACATCACTGTAGTGCTTCAGATCATCCGGTATGTCGGCTAGCAGTTTCCGTAAATCCCCCCCTTTCTCTGCTGCCTCGGCTTCCCGAATGTCAACCGCGTACACGTCAGCTCCTACTGCTACGGCGCGTTTCATCGTGATCGCGTTGACACGCACCAACGAAGACTCAGGCGAGCCCCAGCGAGGTAAGGCGATGTTGTTACCGTTCACACGCACGGTGGAGTCACCCGTCGTCCAGTCGATTCGCGGATTGTGTCGTCGCAGCCAATCACGACCGAGTAAAATGTCGGTTCCGTCGAGGGTTGTTGCGAGCATTTCTTGGCTAAACGAGAAGTTATCCCCGCATCGAATCCGAACCTAGTCCACACGTTCCCGTATCGCCAGTGGCGTGCTGTCGACCAGTCTTGCGTCGATCTCAGGTAAGCATCTGTCTAGTGGCAGTCTCAGTTTCCGTGCTGTGGCAGTGTTAATAAGGCTGTGGCTGGTTCCCCCGTCTATGAAGATTTTAACTAAGTCGGTCCCGATTTTCCCACTAAGCAGTATGGGGCTGTCTACCGTAGTACCCTCCTTATTCGGCCGGGTGTGGTCGATTGCGTGAACCGGCACAATCACTCGGTGAGGGTTGGTTGGGTCGGGCGAGCGGCGCGATCTTTCAGTAGAGGGCCCGTCTGCTACTAACTCCCAGCGTTTCCCTGCTGCTTGGTCTGTTTCTGCTGCTCGGGTTCCCCCTTTCCCTTAGCATTTTCCGGGCATTCGCTCTTACGGTGTCCTGGCCGATTGCACGCAAAGCAGCGCCCTTTGAATGGTGCGGCAGCGGCGTTCGCGGCGACGGCACGTATTGTAGCGCCCTCATTCGTCCCACGAGACTGATGTCCCCAGTTGCTGCTTCCGTAGGACCCCGGTCTCGGTCGGCGGAAGAAGTCAAGTTTCTCCGCCATAGCGATCATTTCTTGAAAATCGGTGACGCCGCGAAGCTGGATTTCCTGAGCGATGTCCTGCTTCAGGCCGCGGATGTACCAGTTGATGCGCTCGCTCTCGTGCATGTAGCCTACTTGCTCGCATAGCGCCAGAAATCCGCTCGTGTAGTCCTGGACGGAACCGAGTTGGCGCCAAGTGCGGAGCTTCTGTCGCGCCGCGATCGAAGCCGCAATTGGCTCGAAACGAGTGCGCAGACCTGCGCACCACGCGTCCCATGGGCGATACTGGGGCACCCCATGAAATACGACGGCGCCCAGGGTCCGGTTTGTCCTTCCTGTGTCGGTAGAGTCGCGTAGTCCACCGGCTTAGTGACGATGACACGCCACCAGTCCATGGCGGGTCATCGCAACAACGATACGGCGTAGCGAATCTTTGCCGTATCCTCCGAGACGTAGTTCGCATCGAATAAGACATTCAACGTAAATAGCCTCGCCTGAACAGTAGGACCACCCCGCTGACTCGGGTCAAAGCATGGCGGACGCTGCGGCATCGGCGACGGCAGAGTTGATTCGCCGGCAGGCACAGAAACTGTGACTCGAGGCTGACTTATGGCCGCATTCGTCGCGTCGGGGTGTGTCGTGTTGTTGTCGTCGTCTCCGTCGTGGCGGACGACGCCATCACTGGCCGCGCTCGCGGGTTGCCCCGTGCTTCCATGTTGCGATGTCTGTGGTGGAGGCTGTATCGGAGTGCCCAGTGTTAGGGATTGTGCTTGCCGTGCTCTTGCGATGTCGTTTTGCAGGGACGTGCGTTCTGCTGTTAGCGCCGCAATTTCTTCAGAGCTTTCGCGGATTTGCCGCAGCAGTTCGTTCAAGTGCCCCTGCGTGAGAGTGGCGACATCGATATGCTCGGCCATTGCGAAGGGCGTCGGCTTGGCTTAGTCTAGGCGCAGTCGTGGCTGCACGCGTTTACGAGAGAACGCGAGGACAGCGGCTTCTAGGGGCTAAGGTGCGTGAGTCCCTTCGAGTGAAAAATCAAAAGTTGATTTCCTGGTGTGCGGAGATGCGCGGTCCGAAAAGAAAGAGGCTTTGAATACCAAGTGTTACAAATGCAATGAATCGAAATAGCGAGAATTGCACTAAGGTGTCAAACGAGTACAAAATGTGAGCGAAGGCATGAGCGAACATTTATACGCGAAACATGCAAACGGTAACGCGGTGCGTGCGAGCTAGATAGTGCTATGCTGGCAGCGAGGTTCGGGCTAGTCCCGAAGCGTAGGCCGACACGGCCGGGCCAGCAGTGCGAGGTTCGGTGAAACAGTGCGCGCGAAGTTGGCGAAGCCCCGTTAGCAGTAACGGGCGCACAACGGCTGCTGCTGTACGCGATGTTGCGGGGCGCGCTAAGGAATATCGAGAAAATTCCTTACAAACGTAAAACAAAAAGTATATATATAAGAAGTTTCACAATAATGGGTTCAGTTCGTTCACGTTACGCAATAATGGGGTGTAAATCTGAACCTTCCAAAAGCCCACTCCCCGGAATTGCTGTTCCTTTTCTCTGACAGACGTATTTACGTCTCAGCATAACTAGGCCACGTGCCTAGGTAGTAAAAATCACTCTCTTACCACGCGCTTCCCCTTTTCTTCGTGTGGAACGCGTATCTTGCCCTTTGTAGCAAGCGAGAGTTCTCGTTCGTTCGCAGCATCACTTCAGGAAAATGCCTCCCAAGTCGAAGAAGGAGGCTCCAGTTGAGAGGCCCATTCTCGGTAGATTCTCCTCGCATCTTAAGATCGGTATTGTGCGTCTCCTGCCATGGCTTCTTACTTGCTTTCGTGATTCTTCTTATAGCAATTCCTTAAGCTGGTTACTCTTCGGGCTCCTCCTCATCCACCTCGTTTCACGGTCTTCTTATCGGCGTGACGACCGTCGTACGAGTCTCCGATCCTGCTTCACGATTTCGCCATGTCTTAACGTATCATGAAGACCCTTCTGCTTCAGATCATCTGACACCTCCGTGATAATGCATTTTCCTCGAGATTATTTTCAGAGTTCGGCTGCACCCTAACTCTGGTTAGATTCCGGTAGTAAAGTTCTCTTTCACCCGGATCACATTTACTCCTTGACTCTTAGAGCTGTCAAACTTGATCTTTATTTGACAGACGTAGATGCTAACCTCTTTGAATATCTTTTTGATTCTTTCTCTCCCTATCCTTTCCCCGTTCCGGTTCCTCCTACGTCAGGTCGGTCTACCCAATGTCGGCAAGTCAACACTCTTCAACACGCTGACAAAGCTCTCCATCCCCGCTAAGAACTTCCTCTTTTGCACCTATCACCCCAACCACCTCTTCATAAATTTTCAAACCAGGTCGGTCTACCCAATGTCGGCAAGTCAACGCTCTTCAACACGTTAACCAAGCTCTCCATCCCCGCTGAGAACTTCCCCTTTTGCACCATCAACCCCAACGAGGCTCGCGTCAATGTACCTGACGACCGCTTCGACTGGCTCTGCCAGCTGTTCAAGCCCAAGAGCGAGGTGAGCAAAACACTATCTGGTGTGACAGCAACGAGAGTGACACTATTCATTGTGATAGTAGCAAGTTTTGAAGGTGCATGGCCTTGCATCAGTGGAATTGTGCCCCTTGGTGTGTTTCTTGCTTAGCAGGTTCCAATTGCCCCTTAATTTCACCTCTCTTTCCGTCTCCCCTTTCGCTATTGCTGTCCCTCCCAGGTCTCCGCCTTTCTGGAGGTGAACGATATTGCAGGGCTGGTGCGCGGAGCCAATGAAGGGGAGGGTTTGGGCAACGCGTTCCTCTCGCACATCCGAGCCGTTGATGGCATCTTCCACGTCTGCCGTGAGTTCTGCATCTCCCAATCTCTCCCAACCTCTTCCTTCTCCCAGCCTCTCCCAGCCTCTCCCAACCTCTCAAAACCTCTCTCAACCTCTCCCAGTCACTCCGTGCCCCTTGCACATCCCCAGCCATTCATGGAATCTATCATGTTTGCTGTATGTCATGAGGGTCCCTGTCTTTCTCGTCCTTTCCTAGCCTTTCCCATCCTTTCCACTATTTTCCAGTCCTTCAACCTTCGCTGTTGTAAGTGGTAACATTTCGTCTTTTCTCTTGCACAGCTGATGCATGCGTCTCATCGCCCCTGCACTGATATCCTCTCACTCGACCATCCATTCCCTCTTCATCCTCTTCTATCCGGGTCCCTTTAGGTGCGTTTGACGATGCGGACGTGATTCACGTGGAGGATACTGTTGATCCGATCAGGGACCTGGAGATCATTCACAACGAGCTGCGGCTGAAGGACATTGAGTTCATGGAGCGAGCCAAGGAGGACACAGTCCACCCGATCGAGCACCTGGAGTTCATCACCGCCGCTCACACCTTTTCACCCCTTTGCACCCGTTTCCACTGCTTTTCACCGCTTTCCACCCCTTGCAACCAGGTGCCTTTGATGACGCGGATGTGATTCACGTGGAGGATACTGTTGACCCCATCAGGGACCTGGAGATCATTCACAACGAGCTGCGGCTGAAGGACATTGAGTTCATGGAGCGAGCCAAGGAGGACTATGAGAAGCAGCTCAAGCGCAGCAACGACAAGCAGCTCAAGATCGACCACGAGCTCTGCCTCCGGGTGGGTGAAAGCGCCACGAGCATTATAGCGTGTGTCTTTGGGTGAGGCGGATGGAGGAGGTAAGGGAGGGAAAGCAACGACATGCAGTTCGAAAACGACCACGAGGTGTGCCTTAGGGTGGGTGGAATGTGAGGGATGGAAAGAGGGTGTGTGGGTAGAGTAGAAAGGGACCGCAAGGACAAGCAGTTCAAAGTCAAGAACAATTTCTGCCTCCGAGCAGCTATTGGAGCATCTGAACGAAGGCAAGGACATGAGGCTGAGTGGGTGGAAGGCAGCTGACACCGAGGTGCTCAACACCCCTCTCCCCCCGCCTTCCTCATGCCCCTCTTTTTCTCCTTTCCGCTTCTCCCCCTTGCCAATCCTAGGTGCTGGCGCATTTGAATGAGGGCAAGGATGTGAGGCTGGGCGAGTGGAAGGCAGCTGACATTGAAGTTCTCAACACCTTCCAGCTGCTGTCTGCCAAGCCAGTTGTCTACCTGGTACGGATGTGAGGAGATGTTTGTGAATGACTGAATGACTGTAATAGTCAGCAACCAAGGCAGCTGACATTGAGGCGCTCAACACCTTCCAGCTGCTGTCTGCCAAGCCAGTTGTCTACCTGGTACGAACATTTGACCATGAACAAATGGATGTCACATTCTCATGCCCATCCAGTCTCCTCCAGTCATGTCTATGCTAGGTCTCCGCATCTGCGATACGGTACTTGCACAAGTTGTTGTTGACGTTCTCTCCCGTGTCATGTCACTCTTAACGGGACACAAATGGCAGGTGAATCTGACGGAGAAGGACTATCAGCGCAAGAAGAACAAGTGGCTTGCCAAGATCCATGGCTGGTGAGTGCCCAGTGTTTTGCTTGTTCTTCTGATTATTCGGTTGTTTTTGTTGTTTTCTTTCTCTCGTTTTTCCTACTGGAAATCCAAGTTATGCCTGCATGCACAAGAGATGTGCTTTGGAAAAAAAATCAGTCTGCCTGCCGCATCATCCCATTCAGCGGTGTGTTGGAGTAGAAGCTGGCAATGCCTTCATCATGCCTTACCTGTCATTTACGAGTCTGTTGGTATTGCTCCTGAGCACGGGCAGGAGTCCCGACACCATCACCTGCTTGTGCTGCGCCATGCTGTTCACTCACATCACAACCCAGCTACCTTCTCTTCTCTTCTCCTCTCCTCCTGCAGGGTGCAGGAGCACGGGCAGGACCCCATCATCCCGTTCAGCGGAGTGTTGGAGTCGAAGCTGGCTGACATGCCGGCCGACGAGGCTGCCACCTACTGCAAGGAGAATGATATCCAGAGGTGAGCGGTGATGAGGGGTGGAGAGAGGTTCATAGGTGAGCATCCACGAAGGTGTGTTGGAGTCGAAGCTGGCTGACGAGGCTGCCACCTACTGCAAGGAGAACGACATCCAGAGGTGAGGGGTGGTGAGGGGTGGAGAGGGGTTCATAGGTGAGCATGCAAGAAGGAGCGTTGGAGTCGAAGCTGGCTGACATGCCGGCCTACAAGGCTGCCACCTACTGCAAGGAGAATGATATCCAGAGGTGAGCGGTGGTGAGGGCTGGGAGGGGTGGAGAGAGGTTCATAGGTGAGCATGCAAGAAGGTGTGTTGGAGTCGAAGCTGGCTGACATGCCTGCCGATGAGGCTGCCAAATACTGACATCCAGAGGTGAGAGCGGTGAGGAGGGGTGGGATGCGGTGAGACCCGTGGAAGATGATGAGTAATGCAAAGACAACGACATCCAGAGGTGAGAGCGGTGAGGAGGGGTGGAAGGCAGCGAGGAGAGGTGTGCAGGGATGAGAGTTAGAGGGGAGTGTTGCTGCTGTGAGAGGAGTCGAGAGCCATTTCGTGTTGGGCTGAGTGGCCAGGACTCCATCAAGCCAGGCTTTTCTGCCATCAATCTGGTCAACTTCTTCGTGATTGAAGAAGTCTCAAGCCAGGCTTTTCTGATTTGAGACGTCTCAAAACACTTCTTCAATCACGTGGACTCCATCAAGCCAGGCTTTCTGCCATCAATCTGGTCTACTTCTTCTCTGCCGGGCCTCATAACGTCAACTCACTCCCTGTGCCCCACCCCCCTTTCCTCTTTCACTCACTTTCTTCGTCCCCTTCCCCCCTTCCCCCCTCTTCTCCCCGCCTTCCCCGCCTTCTCCGCCCCTTCTCCGTCTCTTTGCCCCCTCCCCAGTGGTCTTCCAAAGATCATCAAGACGGGATTCGCAGCCATCAACCTCATCTACTTCTTCACGGCTGGGCCTGACGAGGTCAGTATAGTTCCTTGCACCAGGTCAGCTCATCTCCTTACACCAAGGCAGCTCACCCCCTTGCACCAGGGCAGCTCACCCCCTTGTGCCAGGGCAGCTCACCCCCTTGCACCAGGGCAGCTCACCCCCTTGCACCAGGGCAGCTCACCCCCTTGCACCAGGGCAGCTCACCCCCTTGCACCAGGGCAGCTCACCCCCTTGCACCAGGGCAGCTCACCCCCTTGCACCAGGGCAGCTCACCCCCTTGCACCAGGGCAGCTCACCCCCTCGCACCAGGGCAGCTCACCCCCTTGCACCAGGGCAGCTCACCCCCTTGCACCAGGGCAGCTCACCCCCTTGCACCAGGGCAGCTCACCCCCTTGCACCAGGGCAGCTCACCCCCTTCCACCAGGGCAGCTCACCCCCTTGCACCAGGGCAGCTCACCCCCTTGCACCAGGGCAGCTCACCCCCTTGCACCAGGGCAGCTCACCCCCTTGCACCAGGGCAGCTCACCCCCTTGCACCTGGCCTGGAGCAGCAGTGTGGGCAGATTTACAATTTCAACATTTTTCAGGCGCCTCTTTGCGAGTCGACCAATTTTTACATGCCTCGAAGTCCTGGTTTAGGGTTATAGAGAGCGCAAGCTGTCCAAGGCGTTACAAGCAGCAGGAGAGATCGCAGTGGCCACTGATTCCCCCTTTCCATTTTGCTCCCCTTTTCCCTTCTGCTCCCCGGTGTTTTCCTCTCTCCTCTCTGCTCCCCTCTGCATGCTTGCGCGTGTACCAGGTGAGGTGCTGGCAGATCCGCAAGCAGACCAAGGCACCGCAAGCAGCAGGGGCCATTCACACTGATTTTGAGAAGGGCTTTATTTGTGCTGAGGTCAGCTGCCTGTTACATTTCAAATATTTAGCTTTCCTTCGGAGTTTTTTTTTTTTTTTTTTTTTTTTTGTTCTTCTGCTTCAAACTTCTTGATTTTCATTTTGTCTTCGATTAGGGCCCCTTCTTTGCAATTTTGTGCTTGTTCACTGCTTTATTGTTTTTTACTCATGCGCCATTTATACTGCGCGTCCTGATTTTTTTTTTTTATCAGGTGATGAAGTTTGAAGATTTAAAAGAGCTTGGATCGGAAGCTGCTGTCAAGGTAAGTTGATTGCTTTCCCTGTATCATGCATGACCCCTTCATACAAGCTGCCCTATCTGTACAGAAATTGAATTCGTGTCTTGTGAATTATGCTGTTTGCGTTGCATATCATGACAGGCTGCTGGCAAGTACAAGCAAGAAGGGAAGACATACGTGGTTCAAGATGGAGATATTATCTTCTTTAAGTTCAATGTCTCTGGGGGTGGCAAGAAGTAGGCCTCCCATTCTGAAAGATGCTGCTTGTGAGGCAAAGCTATAATAGCAAAACGTAGATTCTGGTAATTTTGTAGTGATTATCTGTAGCAATTCGCTAAAATTACAACGGATGCGTTTGAGTGCTATTGTTTCGACTTTGCGCCAACCTGGCCAATCACGTCTGCAAGCGTGGCAGATTAGTTTGCGCCACTATCTGGAATCAGGGGTTGATGTGCAACGTGGACAAATCCACTCCCGCCACTGCCTGCCCTGTCCCCTTCCCCCTATTTTCTTCCCCCCTCCCGTTTCCTCCTTTCTCTTCCCGCTTCCCCTTCCTCCCTCACCCTTGGGATTCCCGTTCTTGCTCCCTCCTTTCCCCTTCTTTTCCCCTGCTCCCCCCTTCCGCTCCCCCCTTCCGCCCATCATCCTCTCCAGCACTCCACTGCTGCTCTCTTCCTCCCGCTGTTTCTTATTCTTCCCAGTCGTGGTACTTAGAATTTGGAAGCAGATTTGTTGGTGATTCAAAAGCCACAGCGGAGTAGCAGCACGTGAAGGGAGGTGTCAGGGCAGGGAAGAGCTTTCCTGTGCTTCTTTTCCTAGAGGAGGCTTGATTTCGCTTGGCGAAAATGGCTGCTGCCGCTTCGTTGCTGACGAATCAGATCGCTTCACTGAGCATCAGGTTAGCTCAGGGTGCTGGTCAATCTTTATAGCGATGTGATCAGCGTTTCCTTGGCTTCTCTGGGAGGCCTCGTTCGGGGCTGTGTTGATGCGACTCGGTTGGTCGCGTGCATTGGTTAATGGGAATTCTCAGCAATGTATTCTCACATGCATTTGTCAGTTGCTAGTTCGCCAGTTCGGTTCGTTGCTTAGCCCAGTGCCAAATAATGAGGGGCGTTCAGTCGAAAAACGAAGCCTTATCATGAATGCGGAAATTAGGGTTCGCGTCTCCATTGTGCGGTTTAGGCTTTTTGCCGCTCCTGGCATGCTCGCGTTCAACCATGTTCCGTCGCGCGTCGCACTCTTCACATGGCTCATTTCGCGCAGCTCTTCCGAGTCAGTTGAGTGTTTCCTAAGCCGTTTAGTCCCCGTTTGTAGGAAAGGAATGTAGGAAAAGCCGCACGTGCGACCAACGCCGTACAGACAGTCCACCTATCCGCATGCCAGAACGCATCTCCTCCACTCCACTTCGTGTTGTAGGCGTATTTCGAGAGTCATCGCTGTTGAGGCGCTTCAGAAGTCGTCTCCTCCGCTTTCGAGTCCATGGCCGCGCTCATACACTCTCCCCTGCCCACTTCTCCCCCTCCCCCCACCCCCCTCCACCGCCGCACCATGCGTCCCTCATTGTATCCCATCCCCCCGTATCCCTCCTCCATTCCGTCTCGCAACCCCGCCCCCACTTCCACCCGCGTCTCAATCCATCAGTATGTCTCATCTCGCACTTTGACCCGTTCCGAGACTTTCCATGAGTCATCATATCCGCCCTCCCCTTCTCGTGTTAAAAGAGTTGTTTTGAGACGTCTCAATCCATCAGCATGTCTCAACTCCCACTCTGACCTGTTCCGAAACATTCCATGATTCATCATATCCGTCCTCCCCCCCTCCATCCCGCCTCCTCCTCCATTCCATCTCCTCTCCATCCCCCCTGCTTCCCGCTTCCTTCCGCCTTCGATCCCCGCCAAACACACCCGTCGCAGGCCATCAGCACGCCTCAAGTCCGAGTTTGACCACCAGTGAGGCGCCACATAATTCATCTCATCCCATTTCCCCTCCATCCCCCGTCCATCACCCCTCCATCCTCCCTCCCTCCCCCCTCCATCCCCCTTGTGCCACACCCGTCGCAGGTCATCAGCATGCCTCAAGTCCGCCTTTGACCAGCGGTGAGAGTCTCATGATCAATTCTACCCTATCCCACTCCATCTCCCCCCCCCCCCCCCCCCCCCCCCCTCACCCCCTCCTCCTCCCCCAATACCCCCTCCATACCCGCTACCACACCCGTCGCAGGTCATCAGCATGCCTCAAGTCCGACTTTGACGGCCGTGCTCTCACACTCTCCTCGCCTCTCGTCGCCGCGGCGCCCTCCATCCGCCGCCGCGCCGCGGTCGCGTCAGCCGCTCCCCCCGCCGCCGCTGCCGCCGCGGTCTCATCCGCAGCCCCCGCCGTCGCCGCGTCGTTAGCGCTCGATGATGACGTGGACGCGTCCAGCCGGCGGTACCCGCCGTTCGCGGCATTCAGGATCCACGGCACGGGCAGGAGAAAGACGGCCGTGGCGCGCGTGGGCCTCATCGAGGGCAACGGGGAAATTTTCGTGAACGGGCTGCCCCTGAACGAATATTTCCAGAACCAGGCGCTCATGATCCAGGTAGGAACAGCGGGCGGTTTTGAATTAATTCGGGAATGTGGGAAGGAAAATGGGCCGGGTATAGCGGGAAGGAATGCCTTGAAAAGGGGAATTGACGGTCTGGGGGGTAAAGGCGGTCAATGGGGGAATGGCGGTCAAGGGGGAATGATGGTCGAGGGGGGAATGATGGTCAAGGGGGGAATGACGGTCTAGTGGGGAGTGGTGATCAATGGGGGGATGACGGTTAAAGGGGAACGGCGGTCAAGGGGGGAATGGCGGCCAAGGGGGGAACGGCGGCCAAGGGGGGAATGATGGTCGAGGGGGGGATGGTGGCCACATGGGTCAATGGCGGTCAAGGGGGGGATGACAGTCTTGTGGGGATTCGCGGTCTTGGGTTAAATGATGGTCTGGGGAGAAAAGGCTGTCTAGTGGGAAATGGGAATGGAGCAGCTCTTGAACCACCGAGAGGGAGGGTGTGAAGGGTGAGAGGAGCTAGGAGCAGGTAGAGGGCCACCCGCACCAGGCAGTGAATCTGCGTCTGTCCTCGCTGGGCTGCAAGGCTAAGTGCGATGTGTTGGTGGTGAAGGCGCACGGAGGGGGATGGCCGTGTGTCATCTCATTGGTGGAAGGGAGCCCTACCTGTCCCCAACCACCCCTATCAAGCGGCGAAGCCGCCTCTCTGATTGTTGGACTATGAGGGTAAGTGCGACGTGGTAGTGAAGGCACATGGAGGGTGGGAATGCAATCTCTTGCTGTCATCTGTACCTTCCCCATCACCTCTCCGCCATCTCTCCCCTACCCTTTCCAAATCATCCCTATCAGGCTGTCAATTTGACGCTCTCATCGCTGGGCAACGAGGTCAAGTTAGATGTGGTGGTGAAGGCTCATATAGAGATGCCTATGCCGTCCCCTGATTTCATTTTCTCTCTGTTCCACCATCTCTCTCCCAACTTTCCCCACCAGGCTGTCAAGCTGCCGCTGTCCTCTCTGGGCTATGAGGGCAAGTACGATGTGGTGGTGAAGGCGCACGGAGGGGGCCTCAACGCACAGGCGCAGGCCATGGTTCTTGGTATCGCCCGTGCCCTCGTTGCTGCCAGCGCTGCCAACCGCCCGCCCCTCAAGGCCCAGGGCATGCTCACGCGTGATGCCCGCTCGGTAGAGCGCAAAAAGTACGGACTCAAGAAGGCCCGCAAGGCTCCCCAGTTCTCCAAGCGTTAAATGTGGAGTGGGGTTTGGGTGGAGTGGATATACAGTGGAGATACAGTGGGGATGTTGGGTGCATGCAGTTTAGTAGGCGAGGATGAATAGTGGGTTTCATGATTCTTTGTATGGTTGTGTCAGAATGTGCTTATGAATTGTCGTCACTTTGCTACTAAGAAAACTGTTCGTACAAGAATAGAATCAGGACTAATAGCATTAAGGTGAATTTAAATTGGAACCCTAACTTCAGCATGGAAGCCATGCTTTGCTTATAACAGATAACGTTTTTCGCATGTATTAGACGTCAATATCTCTCAGCTTGATGGAGGAGAGCAATGTCCAAAAAGCTTCACTCGACGTGGAACTTTCATTGTGCGCCACGCTCCCCCTCCTAGGACCTTACTGGTCCCCACCTCATCCAGTCCAGTCAGCTCCAACTCCACGTCGGACATCCTGGCTCGGAAAATTCCGCGCCTGGATCCCCAGAACGGCGGGCACCGCCAGTTATCTCTCCGCGCCCATCAAGCCTCCGCCGATGTCCGACCCACGCGCCCTGCTCGATCGATTCGCGCTTCCCATCTCCGCGCGCCTTGCCTTGCATTGATTGGCAGTGTCCCTTGAGCTGTTTCAGGCTCGCTCTCCAAAATAGACAAATCCAGCTGAACCGAACGCAAACAAAACAAAGCCGACTACATTCAACTGTACCGAACTTATTAGGATCAGCTCATTGGCGGGATGTCACACGAGCTCGATTCTCCCTCGGAACCTTAATCAACCGCGTAAATATATCACAAACTCGCTCTAGAACGCACAGCACCTAGTTAAATACTCACCCACCCAACCCTTCCTCCTGTACTTGCTGCTGCTTGTTCGCCTGCGTTCACTCCTCCCTCTCTTGCTTGTTCATATCTGCTAGACCTTTCCTGCTGTCACTAACTTGGTAGTGAAATCCAGTGCGTGGAGGTTACCTGAAACAGTGGCCTGGGGTGCCTGTTTCTGCTGACAGCAACTCATTATCTCTTGAATTAGCATCAGGCAGCTAACAATGGCGGCATTCTCGATGGCGTCGCTCCAATGCGCGCTCCCGCGCGTCTCTCTCTCGCAGTCCGCGGTCGCTTCGCCCGCGCGCAAGCCCGTCGTGTCCGCCGCTGCCGCCATGGGCGCGTCGTCGTCGCGCCTCTCCGCGTCGTTCAACGGCCTTCGCCGCGATAGCCTCATCAGCCAGTCTTCCGGTAGGGTTATAAGCGGTCAAGAGTGGTGTTAGGGATAGGTTTCGAAGCAGTCAAGAGTGGCTGCTTCTGTTCACCTCAAGTTTAGGGTTACGGAGACACCCCGATGCTGCGATAACGGTTTCATCAGAAATGAACGAAGAATATTTTTGCGGCGTCTCAGAAATCGTTAGTTTAGGGTTATGGAGACACACGAGAACTGCTAACTTCACCATTTCCGGTGGGAGACGCAGGAACATAAGTACGGACTGCCGCTGCCGTTTGCTAATCTCTCTCAATGCGTGTCCGCATGGCCGGTAGCTCGCCAGCCGGCCGTCATTTACGTTCCGGGCTAAAAGAATACAGAGTGTTTTTTTACGCGACCTAAGTATATGAACGCTGCTGTCTCTCCAACAGGACTGAAATAACGGCCAGGCAGCTCTCGAGACAGCGTCGATTGGCCAGCCTGAAGGTAGGAAGTTGAGACGGTTTTGAGGTGCCTAGACGATCAATCGGCCAGCCTGAGGATAGGAACGCACGAGCCGAGACGCCTCAGAATTCGGATGGGCGTAAGGGATCAGATAGTGCTACACAGGCACGGGGAAACTGCTTTGGCAGCATGCGGACATGTGTTGAAAGGGTTAGGGTTACAGAAAAACTCGTATTGCAATATAGGGAAGACAAAGTTAGGAACGGCAGGGGCCTAGCCTCAGCTGCAAAATTCGTAGCAGCACACCTCACGAGCTACCTCTCAGGTCGGCCTTACAGCCTCGTGTTTGAAGAAGTGTTTTGAGACGTCTCAAAACACTTCTTCAAACACGGTCGGCCTTACAGCCTCCCTCCTTCACCCTCCCCTTCCCCCATCCCTTCTGCCTCCCCTCCCCTCCGCCCGCCCTGTTCCCTTCCTCCCGCTTTTCACCTTCAATCCACCTAGCTTCTCTGTCTGTCTTCCTTATCCTTCCCTGACCCCCCTCCGCTTTCTATCCTCTTCCTTTTCTCGCTTCCCTTCCTCCTCTTCCCCTTTTTCCCTGTCTATCGGCACGAGTTTCAAACGCTCGTTTGAATACGGTGTAGTGAGGTGCTTTGCGTTGTGACGCTCCAGCGGTTGAGCAGGGTGTGGAGGAAAAAGTGAAAGCTTGGGACACTGCCTTTTGGAAAGGCTGAAGTCATTTATCTGAATCTAACCCTTACCATGACTCTATCCCCTCCCCCACCATCTTCTCCTCCTTGTCACCCTTCCTTGCCCTTCAGAAGCCTCCCTCTGAGGCACCTTTACCTTCCTTACCCTAACCATCTGAATTCCCCCCCAATTCTCCCTTTTACCCCCTCATTTCCTCCCACCTCCCCCCCATTATTCCTTTTCCCCTTTCATTCCCCCCCATTCCCCTCCATTCTTCCCCATGCTTCATACGTCTTTCTTCATGGCTCCCCTCCATTCTCCTCCCCCCCGGCTCCTCCCCTCCTCTCGCCCTGTCTCCTCTCTGCAGACCTCTCCCCCCTCTCCTCCGTCCTCCCATCCAACGGCTCGCGCGTCTTCGCGATGCGCCACGGCCGTCGGATCGCGCGGCTGGGTCGCCCCGCCGACCAGCGCAAGGCCCTCCTCCGCGGACTCACCACCGAGCTCCTCCGCCACGGCAGAATCAAAACCACCGCGGCGCGCGCGAAAGCCATGCGCAAATTCGTGGACCACATGATCACGCTCGCCAAGGGAGGGAGTCTGCATGAGAGGAGGCAGGCGCTAGGGTTTGTGTATGATAAGACGCTGGTGCATGCGATTTTCTCTGATGCTCCGGAGAGGTATGCGGAGCGGGAGGGAGGGTACACGAGGATTATCAGGACGATGCCGCGACGGGGGGATAATGCTCCCATGTGCTTTATCGAGCTGGTGTAAGCGGACCAGGGGAAGCAGTAGGGAGTATGGCAGGGGTCACTTTTAGTATGTTGGAGGAGGTTAAGTGCAGCACAGCAAAAGCAGGAGTGTCTGACAAAAGGGAACAGCAATGTACTGGTTTTCTAAAAGATTTTACATCAGCCATGAATACAGGTTATTCAGTCTGCTATAGAACTTGTTGATCCATCCCTGTTTTTGCTAGAAAATCCTGCTGAGATCTTAACGAGGTGGACAGAACACCCAAAATTGTGATATTGGCCATACGATATAAGCTACACTTGAGCAGGCATTTATGTTGCGTGAATGCCCAACTACACAACAGGGTAGCTAGGCCCACAAAATTGCCAAAGTGGATACATTCACTTGGTACTACAAGCATCCAAGCAACCAGACTCTTGTTTATTGGTTGAAGAGGAACCGGAAGGCTGGGAAATTTGACATGCACTCTCGTGTTCTCTTGTTCCCTGCTCGCCTGGTGCGCTGAGAATGAGATGGTGAGTAGAAAGTGCTTACGAGGGAAAGCCAATGCTCCTCCTCATGTGCTGGTAGATAGATAGATTAACATCTTGTACCACAAAAACGGATCAGCTTCAAGAGAAGATGGCAGCAAGGGCGTTTTGAATGTTCCTGTATTTGAAACGGAACCCGAGGCTCTCTGTGCGCTTAGGCAACACACGCTGCCCGTCCAGCACCTGCAAGAAACAAGAGAGGCAAGGAGAAAGAGAGGGAGACTTTGATTCAGCTCAAACAGCACATCAGACAACCCCAGGCTCCCTGCTCACTCGGGCAGAGCCTGCTGCCTGTTCAGCACCTGGAAGAAACAACGGTGGGACGGGAGAGACACAGTTAGGTACGTCTCTCTCGAAGAGGCACCTATTACCACCATCGCTCCCTCCCTTCCCATGGCCATGCCTCCCTGCCCTAGAAGCCCAAAGCGCACCTAACAACACCCTTCAGCTATCTATCTGCGAGGGTACGGTATACACTACCTATGCCCTCTAGCTCCGGTTACGACCGACGGTGTTTTGCGTTGTACGTTGTATAATGCATTTTCACCTACCAAAAAAAAAAAATAAAAAAAATCTATCTCCCTCCCTCCCTCCCTCCCTCCCTCCCTCCCTCCCTCCCTCCCTCCCTCCCTCCCTCCCTCCCTCCCTCCCTCCCTCCCTCCCTCCCTCCCTACCACCCTCCCTACCACCCTCCCTCCCTCCCTCCCTCCCTCCCTCCCTCCCTCCCTCCCTCCCTCCCTCCCTCCCTCCCTCCCTCCCTCCCTCCCTCCCTCCCTCCCTCCCTCCCTCCCTCCCTCCCTCCCTCCCTCCCTCCCTCCCTCCCTCCCTCCCTCCCTCCCTCCCTCCCTCCCTCCCTCCCTCCCTCCCTCCCTCCCTCCCTCCCTCCCTCCCTCCCTCCCTCCCTCCCTCCCTCCCTCCCTCCCTCCCTCCCTCCCTCCCTCCCTCCTCCCTCCCTCCCTCCCTCCCTCCCTCCCTCCCTCCCTCCCTCCCTCCCTCCCTCCCTCCCTCCCTCCCTTCCCTCCCTCCCTCCCTCCCTCCCTCCCTCCCTCCCTCCCTCCCTCCCTCCCTCCCTCCCTCCCTCCCTCCCTCCCTCCCTCCCTCCCTCCCTCCCTCCCTCCTCCCTCCCTCCCTCCCTCCCTCCCTCCCTCCCTCCCTCCCTCCCTCCCTCCCTCCCTCCCTCCCTCCCTCCCTCCCTCCCTCCTCCCTCCCTCCCTCCCTCCCTCCCTCCCTCCCTCCCTCCCTCCCTCCCTCCCTCCCTCCCTCCCTCCCTCCCTCCCTCCCTCCCTCCCTCCCTCCCTCCCTCCCTCCCTCCCTCCCTCCCTCCCTCCCTCCCTCCCTCCCTCCCTCCCTCCCTCCCTCCCTCCCTCCCTCCCTCCCTCCCTCCCTCCCTCCCTCCCTCCCTCCCTCCCTCCCTCCCTCCCTCCCTCCCTCCCTCCCTCCCTCCCTCCCTCCCTCCCTCCCTCCCTCCCTCCCCGAGAACCACCTTCCCCCATAAGCACCTACCACCATGGCGCCCTCCCCTAGAAGAGCCTGCATGGCGAAGTTGGGAATGGGAAGACACGATGGGCGGTGGTAGGTAGAGTCCAGTCCAGCCCATCGCCTCACAGGCTATGTGCAGTACCGGCGGACGGGACTGGCGGTGCAGTGGTACCATTGCGCACCGTTGAGCACAGTTGAGCACCGCTGGAAACACCCAACCACCCACCCACTACCGTATCTCCTTCCCCTAGAAGCACCGAGTACCACATAAGCACCTAACACCATGACTCCCTTTATTAGAGGAAACATCACTCACCACCATGACGCCCTCCCCTGGAAGTGTCTTATGAGACGTCTCAAAAGCCCTCCAACCCCCCCCCTCCAACCCCCCACAAAAGGCACTCACCACCATGGCGCCCTCTCCAAGCAGCGTCTGCACAGCGAAGTTAGGAACAGGCAGCCACGACGGGCGGCCGATGGCCGAGCCCAGCGCCTCACAGAACTGCGCCATGCGGGCGGGGCTGGGTGCAGTACCGTTCAGCACCCCTGTAAACTCCTTGTTGCGCAGGGTTTCAATGATCAGGGCGACTAGGTCGTCTCTGTGTACCCACGACATCCTGATGGGTGGGTGGGATGGCAGGTGGGGAAGGGGTGATGGTTGATGCATGAAGGGGTATTAGGAGCTGGGCGCCTGTACTGGGTGGAGGGGGTGAGGGGAATGTGGGTATGTTGATGAGTATTGGGAGAAGGGGCAACGAAATATGAAGGTTGGTTGGTGGAAGGGGTTATGGTGCTTATACATATTCGACTAATGTGGGATGGCCGTGCGTGGTACCATTCAGCACCCCCGCAAACTCCTTGTTGCACAGCATGCCATGGAGTTGCGTCTACAAGAGTTGCTGCCCCGTTTCTGGAGTCTACGTGGCAAAGAGCTGGAGGGCAGGCAGGATCTTTCCCTGCACAACCCCGTCTTTTTAAGACATCTTTTTTTTTTTTTTTTTCTGAGACGTCTCAAAGATGGAGGATGGGCAGGATCTTTCCCAGCGCAGCTCTTTTTCGAGAATTTTCAAAAACACCCTGCAGCTCCGTCTCTTGTAAAAAAAAACGCACTGCAATGCCATTCACCATTGCTGCCCGGTGCCAAGAGGGCTGCCAGCAAAGAGCTGGAAAATAGGCAGCATGTTGCCCAGCGCTTGTTTTTTAGAATTTTGGACAAACCAGCTCTTGCCTAGCGCTTCCCCCATCTATTGTCCAAAGTAAAGCACTGTGCATCACCCAAGAGGCCCTCCGGCAAAGAGCTGGAAAATAGGCAGCATCTTGCCCAGCGCTCGCCCACCCTTGTCCAGCACAACACCACAGCAGAATTCGGCAACGTGCAGCACACACATTAAAAAGATTCACTCACCACTGCTGCCCCGTGCCTAGAGGGCCTCCAGCAAAGAGCTGGAAGATGGGCAGCATCTTGCCCAGCACTCCCCCGCCCTTGTCTCTGCCACCTGCCCTCCCGATCACAACACATAAGGCCCGAAACCCTGAGTGTCCACCCACCTACCATGGTTGAGTGAATATGGGGAACTCACCACTGCTGCCCCGTGCCTAGGGGGCCGCCTGCAAAGAGCTGGAAGATGGGCAGCATCTTGCCCAGCGCTCCCCCACCCTTGTCCAGCACAACTCCACTCCACTGCAACATTCCCCAACCCGCGACACACACATTCAAAAGTTTCACTCACCACTGCTGCCCCGTGCCTAGAGGGCCGCCTGCAAAGAGCTGGAAGATGGGCAGCATCTTGCCCAGCGCTCCTCCCCCCTTGTCCAGCACAACTCCAAAGCGGATTATAGCGAGGCGAGTCGAGTCAGGAGAGACCTTCTGTGCCTCTGCCTCCCACTTGGTGCACACCTGACAGGAGGTAAGGAGAGAAGGAAAATAAGGGGGCTAGTGAAACGGCAAGTGGAAGCTTTTTACAAGCTGAGTGAGAGCGAGGGTAATTGGTGGTTGGGTCAAGCGAGGGGGTCTCCCCCTGCCTCCCCTCTTGCCCAGCGCTCCCCCGGCCTTCTTGAGCACAACACCAAAGTGGATTATTGCAAGTCGAGTCAGGAGAGACTTTCTGCACCTCTGCCTCCCACTTGGTGCACACCTGGTGTGAAAGAGGAAGAGGAGGAGAACGGGGATGGGTAAGTGGGAATACGGAAGAGAGTGGGGGTTGACCCGGGACTTTCTGCACCTCCGCCTCCCACTTGGTGCACACCTGGTGTGGTGAGAGGATTGCATTGGTCACAACAAGAGAGGAATGGAAGAAGGGCAAGTGAACGCATTCAGGTGGGGAGAGTGGGGATTGGGTCGAGTCAGGAGAGACTTACTGTGCCTCTGCCTCCCACTTGGTGCCCACCTGGCAGGAGGGGAAGGAAGCAAGGAGAGAAGGAGGAAAATAAGGAGGTTGGTGAAGCGGCAAGTGGACGCTTTCAGCAAGTTGAGTGAGAGAGGGGGGCTGGGTCCACTTGGTGACTTTTGAGTCGACTCAAAAGTCACTTAGGAGGAACAGCAGGGGGTTGGTGAAGCGGTATGTGGACGCTTCTAGCAAGTAGAGTGAGAGAGGGGGGCTGGCTGGGTCCACTTGCGAGAGAGTCACTGGGTTAAGCGAGGGGGTCTTCCCCTGTCTCCCATCTTGCCCAGTGCGCCTCCCCCCTTGTCCAGCACAACATAACAGCGGATTATTGCGAGGCGGGTCGAATTGGGAGAGACTTTCTGTGCCTCTGCCTCCCACTTGGGGCGCACATCTGGTGAGAGGGGGGCTGGGGGGAGAAGTATGGGGCTGGTTAAGTGAGAAGACGGGATATAGTGGGGGTTGAGTTGAACTGAACTGGGCGAGACTTTTGGGGGGCTAATTAACCGGGCGAGTGAGCGAATCTGATTTTTGAGGGGTCTAGAAAAAACTTGACGCGCCTCGAAGATAGAGTGGGGGTTGAGTTGAACTGAACTGGGCGAGGCGTTTGGGGGGCTGTTAAGGGGGCGAGTGCGAGAATCTGATTTTCGAGGGGTCTAGAAAAAAGATTGAGGCGCCTCGAAGAGAGAGAGTTGAGTTGAGTTGAGCGGCTTTTGGGGGGCTGTTAAAAGGTGAGAGCACGAATTCAGCAGAGACTTGGGTGCGAAAGGGGTTGGGTAACAAGCGAGTGAACACATCTCGTGAGCGGAAGAAGGTCTTGAACGAGGAAAGAGGCTCACAGCGGAAAGTAGCACCAAAGATCATGGGCACGAGGTCGTTTTTGAGGCGCCACAATGCAGCAGAAAGAAGCATCGAAGTCCATGGGCACAAGCAAGGCACATAGGCACCTGAGACTCAACTTCAACAGCCACTTGCCTCTACCAAAACACCACCCGCCATTTCAAGTCGAGGTATGCTATGAAGTGACTTTTGAGGCGCCTCAAAAGTAGGCTCAGCTTCAGCAGCCACTTGCCTCTACTAAGACACCACCCGCCATTTAAAGTCGAGGTATGCTATGAAGTGCGTAAAACAAATTGAAAAAAAGGAGGAGCTTCTGTAGCAATCTTACCTCCGCCAGAAAGTCGTTGCCAGCCGGGCTGCTCTCATCATAAGTGGCTGTTTCACTCGTTCCTGATGAGCACATTCACAAACAGACATGTGGACACATGGCAACTTAGACATATGCACCCATGGACACACATGGACACATGCACATTATGGATTTCGCAAAATAGAGCAGAACGGATAGCGAGTGCAAACAAAATGCAGATTTTCCAGACTGTAGACTCCAACAAACAGTAGGTATTCTGCTCCCCCCTCTCTAAGTAAGCGCCTTCCCCTGCCTCACAACTTCCTTCCTGGTTCTGCACCCCATCAAATCAGAGGGGATGGATCATAAGACCACAGCACACAGCACACAGCACACAGCACACAGCACACAGCACACAGCACACAGCACACATCGTAAACGATAATGGCCCAAGTGCCAGGCTGATCTTCCACACATGTGATAAAAGAGTTGTTTTGAGAGGTTTCAAAACAACCAACCATCCAACCAACCAACCAACGACGCACCATAGAAGCCCACAGCCGAGGTGTTGACCAGAACAGAGGGGCGCTTGTCCTTTGGGAGGGAGTTAATCGCCTCTACGATCTTAGCAGTCGTGTCCACTCGGCTGGAGATGATCTCTGCCTTGATCTGAAGAAGCAGAAACAGACAGATGAAGGACAGGGGCGGGAGGGGGTAGGATGAGGGGTGGGGAAGCAAGTCAAGTCAATTGCCTCTACGATCTTAGCAGACAGATGAAGGACAGGGCTGGAAATGATTTCAGCCTTGATCTGAAGCAGCGGAACGAAAAAAGGTTGGGGGAGGAAGGGAATAAAGTGGAGGATGTTGTTGGGGAGCAGCAGGAGCATCTTGTCTTTTCGATGTCCGACAATCATCAAGGGCTAATAGCGGCACACTCGCCTCCCCACCTTCCCACAATGGCACCTTGCCCTGACCGGACCTTGCCCTGACCGGACCTTGCCCTGACAGGACCTTGCCCTGATGACGCATTAAAACCTGATGGAACTCAAATCCCCACTAACCGCAGGGCTCCATCGGGTGCTGATGGGCGTGCCGGCCAGATTCACCACTGACCCACTGCCCACCACAGCTCCTGCCCTGATGGAACCAATTCTCCCTAAACCTTATGCCCGAAGCCCTCTCACCCCCACCTACCGCAGGGCTCCATCGAGTGCTGATGGGTGTGCCAGCCAGATTCACCACCGACCTACTGCCTGCCAGATTCAACTAGAGACTTTCATACAACCTGACCCCAACACTGAAACCCCCACCAACCCACCGCAGGGCTCCATCGGGTGCTGATGGGTGTGCCGGCCAGATTCACCACTGACCCACTGCCTGCCACGGCTGCTGCCCACCCCTCCGGCCCCACCAGCTCCACTCCCTCCGTGCCTGGGGTGGTGGGAGGGAAATGGAAGGAACGGGAAGCAGGATCGGTTGCAGAGAGATGAAGGGGTGCCTGCCTGCCACAGCTGCTGCCCAGTGCCCAACCCTCCGGCCCCACCATCTCCCACTCCCTCCGTGGCAGGGAGGTGGTGGGAGGGGAGAAGAACTCAAGGGAGAAATGAAGGGCAGGCAGAAGAGAAAGCACTGCCTGCCACAGCTGCTGCCCACCCCTCCAGCCCCACCATCTCCACTCCCTCCGTGACAGAGAGGTGGTGGGAGGAGTAGAGAGTAGGAGCAATCAGGGAGGGAAAGGAGGGACGAGAAGGAAGAGGGGCTGGCCCGATAGAGGCCAGACACCTGCGAACACCTGTGCACACCTGCTAACCTTCGCTGCAACTACCTGGCTACCAACAAATGCTTTCAAAGACCCTCTCAAACACTTGAGCACCTTCTCATACGACACCACCTCCTTCAAACACCTTCTCATACGACACCACCTCCTTCAAACACCTTCTCATACGACACCACCTCCTTCAAACACCTTCTCATACGACACCACCTCCTTCAAACACCTTCTCATACGACACCACCTCCTTCAAGCACCTTCTTTTACGACACCACCTCCTTCAAACACCTTCTCATACGACACCACCTCCTTCAAACACCTTCTCATACGACACCACCTCCTTCAAACACCTTCTCATACGACACCACCTCCTTCAAGCACCTTCTCATACGACACCACCTCCTTCAAACACCTTCTCATACGACACCAAATCCTTCAAATAACTTCAATCACCTTTAAATAACTGTCCACACTCCTCACCTGCAAAGACCTCCTTGGCCCGATCCACTGAGCGCGTCAGAACTTTCACTTGCTCGCCCTCTGCAATAGAAAGAGGGGAGGGATGGTCGGCGATTCAAGAGCATTGGGGAGAGTGTTCAGCGGTTGTGATGGGTTGGGATGAGAATGGAGAATGGCAGTAAGTAATGGACAAGTGACCTCCTTGGCCCAATCCACTGAGTGCATCAGAACTCTCACTTGGTAGGCCTCTACCACAGAAATTTGGGAGGGGTATGGGGAAAAAGGAAGCCGTGCCGTGGCCAACCAATCTCCAGGCTACCCAATCCAATGCATGCATGGGCGGGGGAAAAAAGAGATGAGAGCGTCTGCAATGGTTGGGATAGGTTGAGACTGGTATAGAGAGGAGCAGCGGAAATAGAACACATGTTGCAAACTGCAACTACCAAGTTGTGTATGGTGATCCACGTTATAAGCACCTGCTAGGAGAGCTTTAACGAGTGCAGAGCCAACGAATCCAGTGCCTCCAACCACTGCCACTGGGCCGACCTGGAGGGCGGCCAGAAATAAAACAGAACACCACCTGAAGGTCATGCAACAATCACTGAGCTTGATTCGATGGTCATGCAATGCAACAAGCACTAAGATTCGTGTTTCCAAAAAAAAAAATGGCAGGTGGAGGACGGGACAGTGGATGTGCGGAAAATGGGCGTTTGTTGTCATAGCAAAGGAGAGCACGAGCGAAAGAAAAAGGGGGAAAAAAAATCATGAACGTGCAGAAATTGCTCAGCTCAACTTATCTGTGACACCATTCATCGACTCCCGCTCACCTTTGCTGCATCGGAGCCCGTGGCTTGAGCTGACACAGTCAAACGGCGAGCGTTGCAAGGCACCAACCCGAACCCGAACCAGGCGGGTTGAGAGGGGGTGAATACACATCTCTCTACTCGCTGTGACACCATGCGCCGACTCCCACTCACCTTTGCTGCATCCGAGCCCGCGGCTTGAGCTGACACGGACAAGCGGCGTGCTTTGCAAGGCGCCAACCCGAACGAGGCGGGCTGAGAGGACGTGCTTGCTGGACGGGCCGCAGAAAAGGGACTCTGCAAAGAAGGATGAAGGATACAGGGAAAAAAATACGAGAGAAAAAGAGAGGGAGAGAGGGAAACGGCAAGGGAAAAGGTTGAGAGAGAAAATGGCCGCTGGATAGGGGTCTGTGGCGCTGTCAGAAAAGGAAGGCCGGGGAAGTGAGGATGGACGCTGGGGAAGCAGCATAGAGGGATCCGTGACTCTTCAGAGGTAGAGAGAGAACGCTTCCATGTGTCATTGAGAGGTAAAGCAGATGCAACAATTCCATGTCGCGCTTGTGAAAGGGATAAAAGCGAGGCACGAGAGAGGGAAGAGGGGAGACGTCTGGACTGGACGACAGTGGGTGATGTGTGGATGCAACAAGGGATGCCATCTCCCTGTATAGTGACGACAGTGCGTGAAGGCAGAAATTCTGGTGAGGTGATGAATGGAGAGTGATAACATTGCTCATTCGTGCTGAAACTACTGCAGAATTGTTAATTTATGGGTTGATATTACTGTAGGTGAGCTTATGCTGATGCTGAAGGGTGATAAGGCATGGAAGAATAATTCGTTAGCGGGTTGACTTCACGGCGTGAAGTTATTTGGGTGAGATTAATGACTCCTTGCGAGGCATACATGGTGAGGGATGCGACGAATGCGACAGGCTTGGCGAGAGATGCGACGAACGCAACGACAGGAGAGTGAGCAGGTGGGAATCACCTCAACAGAGGAGACAATGCTTCTTGATCCGGGATATTTCGCGACAGGAGTATGAGCGGTTGGGAAATTTCCCCACGAAGGGTATGAACGAGAGTGCGGGTGGGGATTACCTCAGCGGAGAGAACCAAGGAACGCGAAGAGCCAGAAAAGAACGGTGAACGGGACAATGGCCCGCTTTCTGATCGAATACTCGTTGCGACAATCGCCGATGGCGACGATGTCACAAGACGAGCTGCTGCCGATGCGTGAATGGCGGCCATTGCGGCTCGGTTGCTGCGGGCTGGTTTCAAAACTTGTGAAGGGAATGAGACGAATTGCCAAGCCCTCCCTGGTCGCGGGGGAAATGGATTGTCATTCTTGTGGGTTAGAACGGACTGTCTGAATAGGATAAGCGGTTAAATAGGATGCCGTACGTTTAAGAGCGGTTTTGGCTTATCACCGCTTAAAACCGCTAATTACCTGCCTGAACCATTGATGCATGAACTCGTGGAAGCAAGGGATAGGGATGACTGACAGATTTGACGGACGGACAACCTTGGGATTCCCAAAACCTGAGGCTCGGAGCGTTTCGGAAGGTGGTGGGTGAACCAGACGCTGGTTTGATGCTGAGGGGAATGCGCAAGCAATGTGGGCATGTCGAGCCTGATTGCGAGGCCTGGAATAGCTGAATTCTGTCAACCAATTGAGCTGGGCTTGCGTGGAGGAACCCGTGCCAAGAGATCTCACATGGATTTGCGTGACGGCATGGGCTGACGTGGACTACAATAGTAGTGTAAACATATGAAAATTGTGTGTTTGCGCTATTTAGTGGTTGAAAACATCATACCTTTTAATAGGTTAACGAGAAAGATATGAACGGGATATTCAGTGTATATTTGATACCTCACCAATTTTACGGCTTTTCTATCTTGGAACAAGGGCCTGTGAGATCTGCTTTTTCCGCGAGCACGGTGCACACTTGCCATTTCCTGAAATATTCCAGTTCTTTCGCCGTTCTTGGCCAAATTCGAGTTGTTCACCACAGCGAAGAACGGGATCTGATCTGACCCGTCTAGTCCTAAGTTGGCTGGCCTAAGCTTCGACTAAGTTTCATTCTTCTTAGTGCTCGAATCGCGATCCCGCTGTTGCTTCGAAGCTCCAGCCATGGCGGTCTCAGGAATGGGAGACGGTCGCATGCCCGGGGTGCGGATTCGCTTAGATTTGTCGGATTCCGTCGATCTTACAGTTCAACAGCACGCGTAGGATTGAATATTATTACCGTTTTGCTGAATTAGTTTCCCGCTCGTTCTGCTTTGTTCAGGGTGATCGGCTTTTCAATGAAGCGGCGACGGAGGAGAAAGGCGAACGCGCTCGTCTGGTACGTTGCTGATTTCCACGAATGACCGATGCAAATCGATCCATCTAACATTCGACTGATACATGAAAGCCGATCCGTTGTTTGGAACGATCTGCGGTCGTCGTTCAGCATTGCTGAGTTCGACCTGTCTTGCTTCGTTAACTCTCATCGCATCCCCCGACCACTTCCCTTCTCGATCCGTTTCTGGAACGATCGGCCCAACCGTCGTCGTTTCAGCGGTGTTGAATTCCACCAGTTTTGCTTCTCTAGCCCTCATCCCCATCCCCCTGTCCACGATCCCTTTTCTTTCTCCTCCTCGTCTCTTGCATTTATCGAGAATATCCGAGCCCTCCCACCACCCCCTCTTCCACTTCCATACCCCGTACCCCTTCCCCCACTTAACCCCTCCGATCCGATCAGTCGTCGTTTGTTGCGGTCGTGATTTTAACACCTCGCCAGTTCCCTCCTTTCCCCCACCCCCGTCCCCTCTCCCTTTCCCCCATCGTATCTCCCCGTGCCCCCGTCTGCTTTGTTCACCGGGATCTCATCAGTCGTTGTTCGTGGGCTTCTGGCGATTACTAATCTCGTCAAGCCGACTCTTTCCGTTCTTCCTGCCTCCCTTCCCCTCCCCCCTCCCCTCTTCTTTCCACCCGTTTCCCCCCCCCCCAAAACCTTTCATCAGTCGTCATTCGTGGGCGCTATGGCCATCTCCGATCTCGTGAAGTCGACTCTCGGACCCAAAGGAATGGTGAGAGGGACCTGGGAATCTGCGAGACAAGGGAAGTAGATATAAGCTAACCAGAGAAATACACTCGATCAGGCCAAAGGGGTTAGATCGACCAGGGTATTGGATTCGATTCGTCCAAGGGATAAAATTTGGAAAGACATGAGAATCAGAGCGAACAGGGGATGAGGATCTAATTTGGCCAGGGGATTCGGGCGACCAGGGTATTGATTCTGATTGGCTAGGAAACCAGTGCAATTTCGACCCCCTTTTTTTCTTGCCTTCATCGTGCCGCTATTTTCTCAACTACAGGACAAGATTCTGCAGTCCACCAGCCGTGGAGGCGGGCTCATGGTGACCAACGACGGAGCGACCATTCTCAAGGCTCTACACATTGACAACCCTGCCGCCAAAGTGCTCGTTGGTAAGTGTTACAGTGTTACCACCTCAGTTTCAATCCACCCTACCTTGGAATTGGTGGAGGCGGGCTCATGGTGACCAACGAAGGAGCGACCATTCTCAAGGCTCTACACATCGACAACCCCGCCGCCAAAGTGCTCGTTGGTCAGTATTTCCCAGCCTACGTCGTACAGAGAACGGATCTGCTCGATGACTTTTGAGTCGACTCAAAAGTCACCTGGGAGTGGATTCGCTCAATCACATCCCCATGATTTCATTGAAGTCGTTCGCTAGGAGATGAGCGTGTGGACATGCCATGCCCTGCCATGCGCCTCACCGCCGCCATTCTTAGAATGCTCCACTTGAACAGAGCTGCTGCCAAAGTCCTCGTCGGTTAGTATTACCCTGTAACCCTACCTTTTTTTTGTGGTGCCACTCGGCCTACCAGCCTCCAACGTCAGGACGAGGAGGTGGGCGGTGGCACGACGTCAGTGGTGGTGCTGGCAGGGGAACTGCTGAGAGTGGCGGAGAAGCTGGTTACCACATGTATCCGTTGTTTATTCCCTTTTTATCCCCGTTATTGGCATCTCCAGACATCTCCAAGGTGCAGGACGACGAGGTGGGCGACGGCACGACGTCAGTGGTGGTGCTGGCGGGGGAACTACTGAGAGAGGCGGAGAAACTGGTTACGGCGAGGATTCACCCCATGACCATCATTTCAGGTGGGTAGTAGGGAAATTACCATGAAAAGAATGAAATCGTTATGACTCTAGGCGAGGAATGGAGTGGTGGTGCCAGCAGGGGAGCTGCCGAGGGAGGTGGAGAAGCTGGTCACGGCGAGGATTCACCCCATGACCATCATTTCAGGTGGGTAGTAGGGAAATTACCATGAAAAGAATGAGAATCTTTATGACTCTCATGACCATGACCATCATGGCAGGTGAGAATCGGAGGTGTTCGAGGAGATTCAAAGAATAATCTCAAGGGTGTGGGAATGGGGTCGGGATTTGGTAAGGAACTGCTACAGGAGGGAGATGGGGAGAAGCTGGTTACGTTAAGGGCCCACCCTATGCTCGTAATTTCAGGTGGTGCTGCTCATGGTTTCAGGTGGGGAGTAGGGCAAGGAACCGGAGTTGCTGACTTGGGGGGTTTCAAATATTGATCTTCAGGGGTAACCCCACCCCCCCCCCCCCCTCCCCCCCCTCTCCCCCCCATGTTGTTGCTGTTGTTGTTGGTTTTTGTTTTTTGTTTTTTTCCTAATTATTGTCTGATGCGAGCCCATTTTCATTGCAACGTGCAGGTTACCGCATGGCCCTGGACTGTGCCCGGGAGGTGCTCATCAGCAAGAGCAGAGACAACAAGGACGACCCAGGTAAGCTAAGCCTGTCTCGGCTCTTAGCCGTTTCCTTCCATGCCTTGGTGTGATTGGTGTGGTGTGTGCTGAGAGAAAAGGTCGGCGCTGTCAAGCTTTGTACGGGTGCTGCTGTTTCCAGAGGCTCAGTGGCTGTGCGCTTGTGGATGGTGGTGAGTTGACTTTTGAGTCGACTCAAAAGTCAACTCGCTGTCAAGCTTTGTACGGGTGCGGTGCTGTTTCCAGAGGCTCAGTGGCTGTGCGCTTGTGGCAGAGCTTGCCTGCACACAGCAACCGTACAAAACTTGTCAGCGCCTATCCCTCAGTGGCTGTGCGCTTGTGGATGGTGGTCGTTTGCTCTTCCTTCCCCTCGTTAAGAATCTTTGCAGAGCTTGCCTGCATCATCTGTCACATGCTAATGTCATCCCTGTATTTGCTAATTTTTTCTCGTTGCAGCCAAGTTTAGGGAGGACCTCCTGAGGATCGCCAAGACCACCCTGAGCTCCAAGATTCTCTCCCAGGACAAGGAGCACTTTGCCTCGCTCGCAGTGGATGCAGTGCTGCGTCTCAAGGGCAGCACCAACCTGGAGGCCATTCAGATCATTAAGAAGGCCGGTGGGGCTCTGTCGGACTCATACCTTGATGAAGGGTGAGTAACCCTGCCTTTTCCATGGTCTCTCCAGGTTTTTTTTTGGGTTTCTCTAGGTGTTTTTTTTGGGGGGGTGGGGGGCTTTATGAATGTTCGGGGTCTAGTGAACAGCAGTGGGTGCAGTGCTGCGCCTCAACTGCAGCACCAACCAGGAGGCGATTCAGATCCGGTTTTTTTAGAGCGGGCGTGGCTCTGTCCGACTCGTACCTTGACAAAGGGTGGGTAAACTGGGTTTCTGTACGGTTTATCTAGGGTTTTCCCAGGGTTTGGGTTCTCATCTGCAGTGAGCAACGGTGGATGCGTCTCAAGGGGAGCACCAACCTGGAGGCCATTCAATCAAACATCCTTCATACCCCTTTCACCCTCTGACTCTCTGCCCCTTCTCTTATCCTCGCCCCCTGCAACAACACCAGGTTTATCCTGGACAAGAAGATAGGGATGGGGCAGCCGAAGTGAATTGAGAACGCCAAGATTTTCCTGCTAACATGGTGATGGTCACGGGAAGGTGAAGGCCTACGGCGCCCGCGTGTGTGTGTGTGTGTGTGTGTGTGTCGAGAGTTTTTTGAGAATTTCTCAAAAACTCCCTGCACGGGAAGTAGACGACTTTTGAGACGTCTCAAAAAACTCCCTGCACGGGAAGGTGAAGACCTACGGGGTGTTTTTGAGAATTCTCAAAAACTCCCTGCATGTAGTGAGTCGGTTTTTGAGTCGACTCAAAAACCGATCCACGGGGTTGATTTTGAGAATTCTCAAAAACACCCTGCAGCATCATGGTCACGGGAAGGTGAAGATCTACGGCGCCCGCGTGTGTGTCGACGGCATGGCGAAAGTGGCATGGCATGGGCCTAGGCCGCTCACATGCAAGCACCCCTGATTAATGAGACGACTCAAACCCCTCCTTCCCCCCACTCCCCTCCCCCTTTTCCCCGCCCCCTTCCCCCCCTCTCCCCCCTCCCCCCGACTCTCTCCCACACACCCCACAACAATAGGTTTATTTTGGACAAGAAGATAGGGGTGGGGCAGCCGAAGAGAATCGAGAACGCCAAGATTCTCGTCGCAAACACAGCCATGGACACTGATAAGGTGAAGATCTACGGCGCCCGCGTGCGCGTGGACGGCATGGCGAAGGTCGCCGAGATAGAAGCGGCCGAGAAGAACAAGATGCGGCAAAAGGTGGAGAAGATCATCGCGCACGGGATCAACTGCTTCATCAACCGGCAGCTGATTTACAACTTCCCGGAGGAGCTCTTTTCCGACGCAGGGGTGATGGCCATCGAGCACGCGGATTTCGAGGGGATTGAACGGCTGGCGCTGGTGACGGGTGGGGAGATTGCAAGCACGTTTGAGGACCCGGCTGGAGTGAAGCTGGGGCAGTGCAAGGTGATTGAGGAGATCATGATTGGGGAGGACCGCCTGATCCACTTCTCGGGGGTGGCGCTGGGAGAGGCGTGCACCATCGTGCTGCGCGGGGCCAGGTGAGGCACAGAGGGGCTTAGGGGGAGGGTTTAAGGATTAGGGTCGGGGATTGAAAAAGGTAGAAAGGATCAGGGCCTGCCAGATCGTTGCCTGATTCGCTTTTCCGCGCTGGCGCTGGGCGAGGCGTGCACCATCGTGCAGCGAGGCGCCAGGTGGGATTCAGAAGAGGTTCAGGGTCAATCATTTGGAATTCCCATGGTTACTCCACCCACCCCTCCCCCTTTTGCTCTTGATTATTTCCTCTCCTCCCCCACTCACGCCTTCCATCCTATTCTCCCCTTGTCTTGCCGTCCCTCTCAGTTCACACGTGTTGGATGAGGCAGAGCGGTCGCTGCATGATGCGCTGTGTGTGCTCACAGCTGCACTCACCTCAACCTTTCCCTACTATCCTACCCCCCTCGCCCCCCTCGCTTGCAGTTCACACGTGTTGGACGAGGCGGAGCGGTCGCTGCACGATGCGCTGTGTGTGCTCACAGCGACAGTTGCGGACAGCAGAGTGGTGTGGGGCGGGGGCTGGCCTGAAGTCATGATGGCGACTCGAGTTGATGACCTTGCTCGCCGCACACCGGGTGAGTTGACTGACAGCTGACTGAGTGTTAACTGACGTTGACTGACTGTTGACTGAGAATGAATTCTGTGTGGAATGGCGGAGGGAGCACTCAGGGAGGTCAGTGGCGGACAGCAGAGTGGTGTGGGGCGGGGGCTGGTCGGAAGTCATGATGGCCACGCGTGTTGAGGACCTTGCCGGCCACGCGTGTTGAGGACCTTGCCGGCCACGCGTGTTGAGGACCTTGCCGGCCACGCGTGTTGAGGACCTTGCCGGCCACGCGTGTTGAGGACCTTGCCCGCCACGCGTGTTGAGGACCTTGCCGGCCACGCGTGTTGAGGACCTTGCCCGCCACACACCGGGTGAGTTGGAGGGGTGATTGGCGGTTCACTGACTGTTGACTGACAGTTGATTGAAAATGCCATATGGACAGTTGACTGTTGACTGACAGTTGATTGGTGTCTCATATCATACCCCTCAACCTGCACTGCTCCGCCACTCCCTTCCCACCGCACCTGTCAGGCAAGCGTTCTACCCTGTGTGCCATCCCCACCTTTATCACCAACGCGTGTTTTTTTAGAATTCTCAAAAAACTTCCCACCGCGCCTGTCAGGCAAGCGTTCTGCTCAAGCGTTCTGCCCTGTGTGCCATCCCCACCTTTATCACCAACAACGCTGGGCTGGATAGTGCAGAGCTGGTGGCTCATACCCCGAACACACTCTCCCCCCATTCCCCTCCCTCTCCACCGTTCTCTCTCCCATTCCCAGGCAAGCGTGCCCTAGCAGTGGAAGCTTTTGTGTCGGGCCTCCGTGCCATCCCCACCATCATTGCTGACAACGCTGGGCTCAACAGTGCAGAGCTCGTAGCTCATATTCCCAACCCTCACTCCTCCTTCCCTCCCTCATTTTCCGTCCCTCTCGACCCTGTCTCCCCCATGCCCAGGCAAGCGCGCTCTAGCAGTGGAGGCATTCGCATCGGCCCTGCGTGCCATCCCCACCATTATCGCTGACAACGCTGGGCTCGACAGTGCAGAGCTGGTGGCTCAGCTGCGGGCGGCACACGCTGAGGAGAACAGCCGTGCTGGCATCGATGTTATCACGGGGCAGGTGAGAGAGAGAGAAAGGATTGCTTGTGCTTATCCCCTAGAAATACCCTTTCTGATCAATGACCCTTAGCTGATTGCTTGCCTGTTTCAATGAAGTGTTCATGGGGCGGCAACACTTCCGACGTGTTCTTTCCGTCTCGCTTGTCTTGTATTCATCTCTGTCCTTCCTTCGTTTTTCCACTCTCCCATGCATGTGCGTGACAGTCTGGCGACATGGAGGAGTGTGGGATCTACGAGTCACTCAAGGTGAAGCAGGCTGTGCTGATGTCAGCAACCGAGGCAGCGGAGATGATCCTGCGTGTGGATGACATCATCACCAACGCTCCTAGAAGGCGCGAGGAGCGGCTATGAGTCAACAGTGCTCTGTAGAGAGTTTCTTACTGTTGTGATCACACGTACAGTTACACAGGATGACAAAAAGGCTTCGCGAAAAATAAAGGATGCACATGTTTTTTTCTTGATGTTTTGACACCATAGGATGCCATTAGAGCAGCTCAAGCTTAGGCTGACTTGTTTGCAGAGGGTAGTAGTGAGCCTGGCTACTTTAAGGACAGTTTATGTCACATGGTGCCTCATCCATACCCAAAGCCATTTCCACTCCCCAACCTTCCCAGAGCAGCACCCATTCCCACAGCCGTAGAGCACTTGTTTGAAGGCTCGCTCGGAAATACATTCGTGAAATTACAGGGGTTCAGAACTGTTCTGGTCTTAAACAGCCCTTTTAACAGAGCTGCACCACGCACTCCCTCAGGTTGAAGCCTGGTACAGTATCATACTTCCAACAGAAGTACCCTGCACTTCCACCCCTCCCTGCTGTCAGAAGCACCAACTGACTCCGTCCACGCCCCTTCTCTCCATTCCTCAACAATCAGGTACCACACAGAAACATCTTCAAATGGATGGACCAGCTTTAACAGTCAGTCTTAGTTAAAAGTTCTCCCTTGTGTTGGTCCATCCACTCCTCAAATCGCAGCGGTTGGATCCCAAGGAACGGAAGATCAGATGTAACTTCCTTGAACCTTCCAGTGGTGTAGTATATGTGCATCCAATCACGGAAGCCCTCAGCCTGCCACCTGGCCGAGCCGCCTACAGCAATTGAACGCTCCATGGCCCCCTCCAATCCCAGATCGACGAATGTCAACTCCTTGCCGATTCTTTCGCCTATGATTCTCACTACGTCGTGCTGAGTCAGCAGATCTGGTCCCACTATCCGATACGCCCGACAATCGTGTGTCACGTCATCATCGCTCGCTAGAATCACGGCTGCCGCTTTACCGATGTCATCCAGAGCAACGGGAAGCGAGCAGGCACCAGGGTTACCACCAGCTCCGTACACTTTATCCTCGTTACAGATCGTCTCTCTGCTGCGCAGTACGTTCTCCATAAAATCACCGCACTCGAGCTGGGTCCAGGACAGGCCTAGGGTTTCGCCTGCGTGTCGCCTCGAGCTCTGCCATTGGCGGTGGAAAATGAACCTCTCCTCTTCTTGAAACACGCCGCCTATAAGCACAACGCGTCGCACGCCGTGCGATTTGCCGGCCGTTAGGATCGAGTTGACGATTTCGTGACGGTTTTCTAGCTGCGGGGCGATAATCAGAGCGCGATCGACTCCGGAAAACGCGGCTGCGTGTGTAAGCGGATCCGCGACGTCGAAACCGCAGACGATCTCGATATTGGCAAGATTCGACACTATCGTCTCCTCATTAGCGACGGTTCCGGTGCCTTCTGGTTGTAAGAGATCATGAAGGTAATCCTCTTTTGTCTTGCTCGTCCCGCGAAACACGGAGCGAATGTGGACCTTATCGCTGAACTTGGCAAGAAGGTGACGAATTGTGGCTTTACCGACTCGAGAGGACGCCGTAACCACGGCAACTGCAATCTTCTGGGGAGGCTGTCCACCAGCGGCAGTTGCGGAGTCACTTCCGGCGTCAGGCGTAGCAGCAGCCATTGTTGGGCAGTGGTTGAGCCTGAATGCAAAAACCACCTTGGAAAAGGATCATTTGGATTGCCTGACGAAAATTGGTTATTCCCGCGCGAAAACTCCTGTAACCAGATGAAGGACAGATGATGTGAGCTCGCCGCGAATTCACAGGGAAGAACGAAAATCGTGGTCCGAAAAGTTGTGACGAACGAAATGTTCGTCATGTAGATGACCCTGCCCTGACAGCCTCGTTCCCGCCAACCAGGGCGACCGCTCAATTTCAAATGTCCCCCCACAAACCCCCCCTTGGCGAAACTTTTCACACAACCCTAGCAAATTCGCAATCAATCGCATCCCTCCACCTGGACACTTACGACTTTCGCTAAGCCTCCTTCCCGCTCCACCCGACATCCCTCCGCCGTTGGTATTCCCCGTCAAATCCGCACAGCCACTGATAAAACCATGAGATTTTTCGCAATATACAGTGCAGGAGCTGAAACCCCGGAGCGTCGGATGATCGCAAGAGTTTATTCTGCTTGAGGAAAGAGATGGACGAAACGCCAGGCCGCTCGTGCTCGTGCAGTGACCGTTTGAAGGTAGGCACCGACCGACCACAACTACATGTACAGTCACTTCAATCCGTCCCAGGAAAAAAAAAAGCAAAATTCGAAGAATCCAGTGTGGGTTCGGGGTGGCCGTACTACTCTATTTCCTCCAGTTTCGCTCGCTTTTGCAGGTTGGTTTTCCGTGCGATAGGTTCGATTGAGACTGCATTCTGCACACTTTGCTAAGTGTTTTCGTCCAGTCATCCAGTCCAGTAGGCTACCCAGTCGTCCGGTCCTGCTTTTCGCCATCCCCCCCCTCCCCTCCTCCCCCCCTCCCCCCCCCCCCCCCCCCCTCTTTCCTTCCCCTTTGCTCCTTCCTCAACTCTCCCCTCCCGTCGCCCAATCCGCCCCCCACCCATTCCCCCTCCACCTCCCACCCCTTCCCCGCCCAGCATCTGCAGCAGTCGCTGGCGGAAGCGCAGCTCCGCCTTGCGCAGGCGGAAGCGTTGCTGCGCGCGCAGGGGGTGGTTCCGCCATGGGGAGGGGGAAATGGGGAAGCGGGAGACGAGGACGCGGAGGTCGGAGAGGCGGAGGAAAAGGTAGATTATGCGAAAAAGGAGAGCGCGGGAGTAAAGTCTGGTGGGGGAAATGAGGTGATTCTCCAAGAGACTACTAGTAGTGGTGGTCTGGAGGAGACTAGTGGGGAAAGGGATGAGGGGTTGACTCAAGAGGCAGGGCATGATGATGGTGGGGGCGGTGGTGGTGCAGGTGGTGCGGGTGGTGGTGGCGGTGGTGGTGCAGGTGGTGCGGGTGGTGGTGGCGGTGGTGGTGCAGGTGGTGTGGGTGGTGGTGGCGGTGGTGGTGCAGGGAAGGTTAAAGATGGAGAGGATTTACAGGGTGGCGGAAGGAGGGGAAATCGAGGGAGGAAGGTTGGTGGAAAGGGACTGGAGAACTACAGGACTCGACACGTGGCACTGCAGATCATGTACCTGGGGTCGAGGTGAGTGTGAATCAAGGGTCGAGGTGAGTGTGAATCAAGGGTCGAGGTGAGTGTGAATCAAGGGTCGAGGTGAGTGTGAATCAAGGGTCGAGGTGAGTGTGAATCAAGGGTCGAGGTGAGTGTGAATCAAGGGTCGAGGTGAGTGTGAATCAAGGGTCGAGGTGAGTGTGAATCAAGGGTCGAGGTGAGTGTGAATCAAGGGTCGAGGTGAGTGTGAATCAAGGGTCGAGGTGAGTGTGAATCAAGGGTCGAGGTGAGTGTGAATCAAGGGTCGAGGTGAGTGTGAATCAAGGGTCGAGGTGAGTGTGAATCAAGGGTCAAGGTGAGTGTGAATCAAGGGTCGAGGTGAGTGTGAATCAAGGGTCGAGGTGAGTGGATCCGAGGTGTGTATGGATGCGTTTTAATGGGATCAACGTGATTGTAGAGGTGTTATCGCTCCTGCTCTCCCCTGATCCTCCCCTCCTCTTCTCCTGCTCCCCTCCTTCATTTTGGTCACTCATGCATCGTTCCCAATTCCTCTCGTGTCCTCCGTTCCTTTATTCTCGCCTGTTCCCTGCAGGTACCTAGGCTTTGCGTCTCAAGGCGTTGCGGGCCCGACTGTAGAAGTAAGGCGTTGCTGCTCTGCACCGCACCGCACCGCACTGCACTGCACTGCCCTCACTTCACAGTCACATTTGCTGCTGTCACACGTCCATTCACTGCTCTGCTCATAAGTCTGTTATTTCTTTCAGAACCATGCTGAACTCATGTACTGATATGATACATATCAGAACTCTGTTCTCACTATCTACCTTCCTCCCTGTCCTACTGCCAGGGACGGCTAGTGTGTCAGCTCTGCTGCACACTAAGCTGCTGCTCCTTGCCGCCCCTCCTCTGCTCCCTTTCTTTGAAACGTTTCAGATGCCTTCCATTGCTGCATTCCCTGCTACCTTCCTCCCTGTCCTACTGCCAGGGACGGTTAGTGTGTCAGCTCTGCTGCACACTAAGCTGCTGGTCCTTGCCGCCCCTCCTCTGCTCCCTTTCTTTGAAACGTTTCAGATGCCTTCCATTGCTGCATTCCCTGCTACCTTCCTCCCTGTCCTACTGCCAGGGACGGTTAGTGTGTCAGCTCTGCTGCACACTAAGCTGCTGCTCCTTGCCGCCCCTCCTCTGCTCCCTTTCTTTGAAACGTTTCAGATGCCTTCCATTGCTGCATTCCCTGCTACCTTCCTCCCTGTCCTACTGCCAGGGACGGTTAGTGTGTCAGCTCTGCTGCACACTAAGCTGCTGCTCCTTGCCACCCCTCCTCTGCTCCCTTTCTTTGCAACGTCTCAAATGTTATCCGTTGCTGTTTACCCTGCTCCTCCCATCCCTGTCCTACTGCCAGGGCCGGTTAGTATCAGCTCTGCTACACACGAAGCTGCTGCTCCCTGCCGGCCCTCCTGCTTCCCCACGAGCACCGACGTCCGCCACTGAACCTGCAGCATCTGCTTCTGCTGTGGACAACGGCAGCGAAATGGAGTGCGATGTGACTGTAGCAGAGGGTGACTGCAGCAGCACACCGCTTCAGCAGGGGGGAAGGGGTGTGACTGTATCGAATGGTGGTCGCACGCCACTTGGGCAGGGAGAAAAAGATGTGACTGTATCGAACGGTCGATTGGATGCTAAGCTGCAGCGGAAGCAGAAGAGAGCGGCGAGGCGGAGAGATGCTGCTTCTACTGAATGTGATTATAACGAAGGTGCTTCTGCTGCTGCTTGCAGTGGAACCGTGACTAAAGGAGGTGTGGTTATAATGAAAGACATTATGAAGGATGAATCGGCAAGATATTCCCGATGTGGGAGGACGGACCGCGGGGTGAACGCCATTGGGCAGGTGAGTAGTCAGGTGAATAATCAGGTGCATCGTCAGGTGTTTTTTTCAGAGTCTCATTTCAAGACATTCAAAACTCAAGTGCCTGCAACGAGAATTTCCTCTTACACACACCAGCAACTGCTTTTTCGACCCCAATTTGTGACTATATCAGGTCGTTGCACTTCACCTGCGTTCCTCAGTTCGTCCACGTCAGCAACATCCAGGAATGACAGCAGCTGACGTGGCTCTTGAAGTCACTGGCAGTGCAACAGCTGCTGCCACTCCAGCAGGCCCAACTGCCAGCCAGAGCAATGTCACCAGTGGCAGCGTCGCTGTCGACCTGGCAGCAACTGATGTAGCGAGGAGGTCAGATGACGTGGCAGGGGAGTCTGCTGACGTGGCAGGCGAGATTGACTATGTGGCATCGCTCAACAGAGCTCTTCCTGATGACATCCGTGTGCTGGCATGGGCTCCTGCCTCTCCTGACTTCAGCGCCAGGTGGGTGACATGAGCACACAGCCATCAGGTCAACAACCAGTCTCTCTGACAAATAGTCAGCTCACCCCATTTGTTCTTTACAGAGTCATCGAGGCGACTTTTGATTCGATTCAAAAGTCACCTCGTTTTGAGTCGACTCAAAAGTCATTTTCAGTCGACTCAAAAGTCACCTCGTTACCAGTCTCTCTGACAAACAGTCAGCTCACCCCATTTGTTCTTTACATAGTCATCGAGGTGGCTGTATGTATGTCTGTATCCAAGTGTTTCTCCTTGAAACGTTCCAATATTCTGCGTTTGTTTCGTACCAGATAAAGCGCTGCCTGTTCTGTTTAGCCCCTTTTGTTTTTGCTAGTCGTTGCTTCGTGTGTGTGTGCCTTGCTGTGCATGTGCATTTTGCTGCTATTGCTGCTGCTGCAACTGCAGGTTCAGCTATTTGGAGAGGGAATACAGATTCTACTTTGTGGATGAACCTGGACTTCACATTCCTTTATGCTCCTCATTTTCCGGCAAATCATTTCTATGCGTGTGACTTGCTGCTGTTGCTGCTGCTGCAACTGCAGGTTCAGCTATTTGGAGAGGGAATACAGATTCTACTTTTGTGGATGAACCTGGACTTCACATTCCTTTATGCTCCTCATTTTCCGGAAAATCATTTCTATGGGTGTGACTTGCTGCTGTTGCTGCTGCTGCAACCGCAGGTTCAGCTGTTTGGAGAGAGAATACAGATTCTACTTTGTGGATGAACCTGGTCTCGATGTTCCGGTGATCCCTCTCCTCCTCTTTCCCAGCTTCCTTTCTACAGTTTCCCTTCATTCTTTTCCCTGTTCTGTAGACTTCTCTTCTCCATCTCCTCGTTTCCGCGTCGCAACTTGTTCCCGTATCCGTTTACCTCTCCAGCGCCTGCTCACCGTCTCTCTGCTCCGTTCATCACCAGGCCAGGCCATGCAGCGGGCAGCAGCACTTTTCAAGGGCCGCCACGACTTCCGCAATTTCTCTCGCATGGACACAGAAAACATGCTCTCCCGTTTCCACTTGTGCCCCACGTATCTGCGCACCTCCCCCATTCAACACCAGGCCATGCAGCGGGCAGCAGCGCTCTTCAAGGGCCGCCACGACTTCCGCAATTTCTGCCGCATGGATGCAGAAAATGTCAAGTCATTTGAGCGGGACATCTCGTTTTGCCGCATTCTGCCCTTCGCCGCGCTGTCGTCACGTGAGTGAGTCATGCGCTTTAGGAGGCACCTTGTGCCGCATGGGCGCACCAGAGAACGTCAAGTCGTTCAAGCGAGGGACATTTCGTGCCGCACATAGCACCCTGTGCTGCCCACTTTGCTGTTCCCTCTGCCCGTGAGTGAGTCATGCACTTTAGGAGGCACCTTGTGCCGCATGGGCGCACCAGAGAACGTCAAGTCTTTCAAGCGAGGGACATTTCGTGCCGCACATAGCACCCTGTGCTGCCCACTTTGCTGTTCCCTCTGCCCGTGAGTGAGTCATGCGCTTTAGGAGGCACCTTGTGCCGCATGGGCGCACCAGAGAACGTCAAGTCGTTCAAGCGAGGGACATTTCGTGCCGCACATAGCACCCTGTGCTGCCCACTTTGCTGTTCCCTCTGCCCGTGAGTGAGTCATGCGCTTTAGGAGGCACCTTGTGCCGCATGGGCGCACCAGAGAACGTCAAGTCTTTCCAGCACGACATCTCTGTGTGCCGGGTTTTGCCCTTTTCCGTGCTCTCATCACGTGAGTGAGTCCGTGTTTTGCCCTTTTCCGTGCTCTCATCACGTGAGTGAGTCCGTGTTTTGCCCTTTTACAAGTCTCGGCTCATCTCATCTCATCTCGTCTCGTCTCGTCTCGTCTCGTCTCGTCTCGTCTCGTCTCGTCTCGTCTCGTCTCGTCTCGTCTCGTCTCGTCTCGTCTCGTCTCATCTCATCTCATCGCACCAAATCGTTTGAGAGTGAATTTTTTTTTGTGCTGTATTGTGCCATTTTCCACCGCCTCCTTTCCGCCCTAGCCTCATGTGATTCCTGTCCTGCCCTTTCACTCCCATTCCCAGGTGAGCCCTGCCATGTCCCAAAACTCTCCCCATGATCCCTGCCCTAAGATCTCCTTAACATATTTTACACTTCATTCCCTGGGCGACCATCATTCCCCTCCTGGCTTTCGTTCCGTGCCGCAGCTTTTGGGGAAGAGTTTGGTCCAAGCAAGCCAGGAGAAACCCTCGAGTGTCCGTCTGTGTGGGTGCTAGAGGTGGTGGGGACGGCATTCCTGTGGCACCAGATTCGGTGTATGATGGCCGTGCTGCTCATGGTGGGGCGTGGGCTGGAGCGACCAGAGGTGAGTTCTGTTTACACAACTCAATGTAAGCATTGAGTCGACTTCAAAGAAGTCTTTAGACTAGATTCAGTGCATGACGGCCGTGCCGCTCATGGTGGGGCTCGGGCAGCAGCGACCAGAGGTGAGTTTTTTTCTGGGGCGTGTCAACACATATCGCAATGCCAAGCAGTTGATGGCGATTCTTAAGCCGGCTTCAAACCAGATTTGGTGCATGATGGCTGTGCTGCTCATGGTGGGGCGCGGGCAGGAACAGCCTGAGGTGAGGGAGGGTTTAGGGTTGAAAGGCAGTGGGGTAAGTAGTTGGGACAGATTTCCTGTGGCACCAGGTTTTTTTTTTTTTTTTTTTTTTTTTTTTTTTTTTTTTTTTTTTTTTTTTTTCTCCCTCTCTGTCACATTACAGGTCTTCACAATTTCCCTCTTCCCATATTTCCTGCATTACACATGCAGGTGGTATCAGAGCTGCTGCAGGTGCACAGAGGGCCACTCACCAGCAAGCCCCAATACGCCCCCCCTAAAACATGAGCTCTTTTTTCCTTCTTCTTGCGTCACTTGTGCAGGTGGTATCAGAGCTGCTGCAGGTGGTATCAGAGCTGCTGCAGGTGAACGGAGGGCCGTTCACCAGGAAGCCGCAGTACGCCCCGCCTGACCCCCACGGGCTGGTGCTGCACCGCTGTTCCTTCCCTGCTTCTCAGAGCTGCTTCCGCATCCACTCGCCACTCAACTCCCTCCCTCCTTTCCTCCTTCCCTCCCTCTCTTCCTCCCTCCCTCCTTTCCTCCTTCCCTCCCTCTCTTCCTCCCTCCCTCCTTTCATCCTTCCCTCCCTCTCTTCCTCCCTCCCTCCTCCTTTTCTGTGCCTCTTGGTTTTCAATACAGGTGGTATCAGAGCTGCTAGACGTACACGGAGGGCCGTTCACCAGCAAGCCCCAGTACGCCCCGGCTGACCCGCTCGGGCTTGTGCTGCACCGCTGCTCCTTCCCTGCCTCGCTGCGTTTCCACTGCTCCGCCAGTAAGCCATTCCTTGCAAAGCAAGCGTCTAGTGAAGCAAGTTCAGGGTTTTGAGGCGTCTTCAAGCTAGTGCATTGAAGGGCATGGGTCAAACAGCTAGCTATTGGGCATGAGTCCCCTGCGTTTGGTTTGGGTCCACAGTCAGTCAGGAGTAGAGCAGAGGCTGCTCCCCCTCGCTTTTGAGAATTCTCAAAAGCGTCCCCTGCGTTTGGGTCCACAGTCAGTCAGGAGTAGAGCAGAGGCTGCTCCCCCTCGCTTTTGAGAATTCTCAAAAGCGTCCCCTGCGTTTGGGTCCACAGTCAGTCAGGAGTAGAGCAGAGGCTGCTCCCCCTCGCTTTTGAGAATTCTCAAAAGCGTCCCCTGCATTTGGGTCCACAGTCAGTCAGGAGTAGAGCAGAGGCTGCTCCCCCTCGCTTTTGAGAATTCTCAAAAGCGTCCCCTGCGTTTGGGTCCACAGTCAGTCAGGAGTAGAGCAGAGGCTGCTCCCCCTCGGCTATGTCCTCACTCCTCCCTCGCCCACCAGATGCCAAGCGTAGCCACGTGTAGCGAGGTTGTTTTTGAGACGTCTCAAAAATGCTCCCCCTCGGCTATGTCCTCACTCCTCCCTCGCCCACCAGATGCCAAGCGCCTGTTCTGTCAATCCATCCGGCAGCAGCTCAATGCAGCGCTCATCCGATGCTCCGTGCTGCAGTCGGCCCTTGATGTGGCGGACGCTTCTGGTGCTGCTGCTGCTGCTTCTGATGCACCTACCCGCCCTCTTCTCCCTTCCTCCATCCTGCATCTGCCCCCCCACCAGATGCCAAGCGCCTGTTCTGTCAGTCCATCCGCCGGCAGCTCAATGCAGCTCTCATCCGATGCACCATGCTGTAGTCTGCTCCTCACGTGGGGGAGTCCTCTTCCCTTCCCCCAACCACCTACTCGTCACCGTTCCTCCCTCTCTCCCTACCCTGCAGACGCCAAGCGCCTGTTCTGTCAGTCCATCCGCCAGCAGCTCAATGCAGCGCTCATCCGATGCTCCGTGCTGCAGTCGGCCCTTGATGTGGCGGAGGCTTCTACTGCTGCTGCTGGGAGTGGGAAGGAGAAGAAGCAGACGCAGCTGCCCCACATCCCGTTGCACCGAAGGCCTAGAGAACGTGAGTGACGATGGGACGTCTTAAAACATGAGATAATTTGATCGAAAATGAGAAATCTCAGTCCAGACACTCACACCATATCTTTCATTTGTGCAGCTTTCATTTGTGGAACGTCCATGTTTGTTGTATCACTATCACATTTGTATACCTTTCACTTGCATATCTACACCTTCCACTACCCCATGGCTACCTACCTTCGTGTTTCCTTCATCCAAGGTCCTGTTGTTTCTACACCATTCTTCCTGATTTAATCACCCCACCTTCCCCTCCCCCTTGCGTGCCTCCCCCTCCCTTGCTGTCCGTCTGCCTCCCCCTCCCTTGCTGGCGGTGCTGGCATGGTGGTCAGCATCACTTGAAGAGCGCCGAAGCAAGCTTGAAAAAGCACGTCGCTGAAAGTGCACTCTCCAGAAGATACAGCCTTTCTTATGCGAATGTGAGGTCCCACGGGTCCTCACTCATCGGGGAAGAGCAGCAAGATAGAGATCCTTTTAGCAGTAGGATCAAAGCCTTGTAAAATCCGTCCACTAAACTGAATGCTCAGCTAAAGAAAAGGCTTGCGCAGGAACTCATCTCTTGATTAAAACAAGACAAAGACAAGCTTGAAAAAGCACGTCGCTGAAAGTGCACTCTACAGAAGATACAGCCTTTCTTATGAGGGACTGTTTCAGGCTGAACCAGGCCTCACGATATCAGGGTGATTCACCCTTATGACCCTTACTGTAAGGGCGGGTTTGACTATGCACCCTTTTTTACAAGACTGGTTTTGTTTTAGACCCTTACAATAAAAAAGTGATCGATTATACGACACTGATATTTCAGAGCTATGTGGTGTAGTAGCACTGATGAAATCGAGTTCGATCTAAGAGAGGATACCAGGATTGGTTGCGTAAAACGTATTATTTGCACAGGATGCCTGCGCTGGGTTTAAAACTCGGGGCCTCCACATTGTTGGGAACAATAAGTCTTAAGCGCCTCTATCGTGTCGAAACTCAGGACTCAAAGCGAAGCAGTCCAAATCGAAGCATCGCGAGTCAACCCTCGGAGGTTGGGGTAACCGCCTGGAGGTTACGCGAAGGTCAAAGGTCAGTGACCTTTGACTTGACCAATACAGCGCGACAGCAAGGACACACAACCGACTCGACATTGAGTAGTTGCCCGAGTCGCACTGTATCGAATCGCAACAGCAAGACAGTTATTATATCTATTCGTATTCCTTGTACTCTTATATAAAACCTTGTATTTGCTTGTTTCAATCAACTTACTTTGCCCTCACATACCAGCGCAAGGTAGTTCAAGACCCTTTTACTCAAACGCTTCCGCTATTACAATCCTACCCAGTCTTGAACTCTACAAAGATCCTTAGGGCTTTTCAGCCCAACATGGTATGAGAGCAGTTAGAGTTAAAATTCATTATTCAGCAAACCTTACATCAAAGAAGACATGTCAACTAGGAAGGAGAGGAGCTCCTCCAACGGCTCTCCCGGTACTACTCCTACCCCACCACCTGTCTCTGGCCTACAGACAGAGGAAGGGACTGCTACCAGACCAGCAGCTGGGTCCACGGAAACGCCAGCAGGCTTCGATCCAAGCATGATGGAGAAATTTTTCTCCTTCATGTCCTTCTATGAGCAGCACCAGCAAGGAGCACCTGCGCAGTCAAACAACAGCAACAACAACAACGTGACTCCTATGAGTCTCGACGGGTCATCCTACGCACGTGGGATTCAACAACAACAACAACAACAGCCTACCTTTGCGCCGTACGAACCCCAGCGTGGTTCCGTCAGCTTCATGCCGCAACCGCAACCTGCGCCGGGACAAGAGAAGGCATTGGACGCGTTACAAGTTCAATCGCAATTCGCGCATGTTCTCAAGCTACAAACGACAAAGCCTTTCGACGGGAAAGACTTCTTCACCTGGTCATTCGAGTTCGAATTAATGATGGAAGGAGCACAGATTCTCGGCTTCTTCGACGGGTCCCTGCCATATCCAACAAACGGGACACAATATGAGAAGCAGCAGTACACCTATCAATCGATGATGGCGTACACGATACTGCTAAGAAACATTACCCCGACCCAGCAGCAGAACATCAGGACTTACCGAGGCTACGGCAACTCCGCGGAGCTCGCGTACAACCACCTGAAGAACCTGTATCAAGCAACAGACAGCGTAAATCAGAGCAGGTTAATGGCGCAGTTGACAACAATTGAAATGAAACCAGGCGAGAAAGGAATGGCCTATATAAGCCGCTGTCGCGAACTGCGCGACAGACTTCTTCGATGCGGAGGGTCAATCTCCGAAGACGCTTTTGTCACGGTGGTCATTGGCGGTCTCGGCCCCCACTGGCGCTCCACTCGCGCCATACTACGAGCACACGGGAGGATCTCCGAAGCGGCACTTTGCGCCGAAATCCACGCCGAGCAGCAGGACATGGACCTGCAAGAAGAAAGACACAAGAAGAAAACTTTAGCACCGGAGTTTGCGTTTCACACTCAGCGACGATACAACAATCGACAACAGCAACAAGTGAAGACGGTACCTCCATTCTGTCACATCTGTAAGACTTCGGGTCATCCTCGCACACACTGCCCATCTCGTCAGCAGTCGACGACACCACAGCGACAACTCCGGCCTTCAAGCTCCCAAGTTACTTCAACGCAAACAACTCCGACGACCGCACACCAAGCTTCAACGACTTCATCTGGACAACCTGCACAAGGAGCAAGAAATATTGTCAACTGCATGGTCAAGATAAACGACTCTTGCACAACAGAGTCACCACCGTACTACTCACCCGAAGATCAACTTGACAACAGCACGCCTCGCCGCGAATCTCTTCAACCGAACCCAACGTACGCCGCAATCGCTCCAAGTGAACCGTCCGGTCAAGACACCTGGTTCTTGGACAGTTGCTGCGGACAACACATGTGTTCCTCCGGGCGCTTCGTTCAACGCGAGCATCGACTCCAGCGAGAAGTAGTCATCACAGTCGCCAACAATCAGAACCTGCGCACACGAAGACAAGGAGTGGTTCAGCTTCAGTCACGAGAGACAAACGTCATATTAAACATGTCAAAGGTACTTATCGCGGAGGGACTCGGCTATAACTCACTGAGTGTTAGCCAGCTGATGGCGAAAGGAATACACTTGGAAGCCGACAGCACCACCCAGGAGTTTAAGCTGTACCACGGGAAAGGCGGCCTCTACATCGGAAAGGCGGTGTTGAAAAACAATGTCTTCGTCCTCGACTTCGTCCCCGACTTGGGCACTGCCGACAACGACGCCATCGTCAACTTCGCAGATTGGACGCATCCCTCGGATCTCGATCCCGACTTCAGCCCGGGAGGTTTCTGGTACTCACACACCATTCCTGAAGCAGAACGAACACGTGCGTTAGCAACAATTCGACAATCGGCAGCAGCAGAGACAACATCGGCAGCAGCAGAGACAACATCGACAGCAGCAGAAACATCATCGGCAGCAGCTGCACCAACTACACCAGTCATCATCGACGAAGCACCAACACCCGCACAGCAGCTGAACCCGACTCAACGAGAAGTTCACAGAAGCGCCAACCTCGTCGCCAGCTTCTACTCCAACTCCGACACGTATCAACGCTCACCCGGACATCGCGCCTCCGAAGAAACCTGGCATGCACGATTGGGACATCCAAGCAACACAGTTTTAAATAACACGATAAGAGCAGGAGTTCTTGACAAAGACTCCCTACTACTACCCGACGGCAGAGAACTCCAAAAGGCACGAGGGACTTGCCTTACATGCCCCGAAGCTGACTTACCTCATCGACCGTTCGCTCCACATCACAACCCGAGCGCACCAGCGTACGCACCACTCGAGAAGGTTTACAGCGACATCCTCTACAATCGCGAACCAGGACAAGTCACCTACAACTACACCATCACCTTCATCGACGCCGCCACGCGATATGTCTGGCATCTAAACCTACCCAGCCGCGACATGGCTCTCGCAGCGTTCGCCGCCTGGCTACCGGTAGCAGAGAGAGAATCGGGAGCAAAGCTGAAAAGTTTCCAGTCAGACGGAGGAGGAGAGTATACCTCTCAGCGCTTCAAGCAGTACCTGGCGGAAAGGGGAATCAAGCAACTCCTCTCCCTTCCCTACGCACATCAGCAGCAAGGTGTCGTAGAAAGAATGAACAGGACTCTGCAAAACAGCATGCGCAAACTGTTACGTGGCATGCGGCTACCCAACCACCAGTGGCCTGCAGCAATGGACCATGCTGTCATGCTGCACAACTTGCTGTCGTCGTCGTCACTCCCGAACAACGCATCACCGCATCTGCTGTGGACAGGGAAGCAGGGCAACACAAAAATGTTACGAGTTTTCGGGTGCATGGTACAGTACCGACCCCCAGAAGCACGAGCGGGAAGATTTTCACAACGGGCACAGTGGGGACTACACCTCGGCATCAAGAAAAATTACAACGCATGGAAAATCTTCGACGTCCACTCCAAGGAAACAGTAGCAGCACGTGACGTGATCTTCTACGAACGACTCACCCTTCAGACGTACCTCGCCAACTTGCACGAGAATCAGGACCCCACAGGTGGCTTTCGTGGTGACCGAGCCTTCGCCTCAGCAGCGGACGAAGCAGACTGGGATGAACAGAACGTTGACAATGCATCGGAGGAAGCCGGACCTCTTCCGTTCTGCTCCGTCGACGTGCCCATGGACGAAGAAAATCATCGCGAAAGTAACAACGCTGAAGTCTTCCATCACTTCGCCGACAATGGTTACGTAACACCAGCAACAGCCAACACCAACGAAGCAGAAAGGATAGGGCCAAATTTCATACCCGATCCAGAAGCGGGAGACGAAGCAGCTTATCCCGAGGACACAACACTCCCCCGCTACTCACAGACCGGACTGCAAATCCTCGGCCTCGTCACCGCCGTCCATGGCTCCCCTCTTCCTAAAGAGCCTGCGACGGTTCAACAGGCTCTGGGGGGGGAACACAGAGAGAAATGGCGTGAAGCCATGGACAGAGAACTAAAAGCACTGGAGGAACGCAACACCTGGAAGGTCGTTCCCGCAAGCGTGGCAAGGAACAAGACCATTCTCACCGGGAAGTGGGTCTTCCGCATCAAAACGAAAGCAGATGGTACAATCGAGAAGTTCAAGGCACGATGGGTCGTGCGAGGATTCGACCAGGAGCAAGGGCGAGACTTCACCGAGACATTCGCCCCAGTTAGTCGACATACCTCACTCCGAATTCTTCTCGCCGTCGCCGCCATGAAGAAGAAGAAGCTGCGACAAATTGATGTGGCCAACGCCTTCCTCTACGCACCTGTCGACGCCGACATCTTCGTCGAGCTCCCTCACGGCACCCACGGGGAACCCAACCAGGTCTGCCAGCTACTAAAGTCCCTCTACGGAATCAAGCAGGCCCCACGGCTGTGGCAACAGCACCTGCACACCCGCCTCATCCGCATCGGATTCCGTCAACTGCCCCATGACCAGGGCATGTACCGACTCACTAAAGGCGCCAACTACATCCTACTCATCGTCTACGTCGACGATCTCCTCTACATCGGTTCCACCGACGACCTCACCACTTGGTTCGAAGGGGAGCTGCAGAAAGACCTCACGCTCACGGTTTCTTCTACCGTTACGCAGTACCTCGGGCTCAACATCCGCGAAGAAGAAAACGCAATCTATCTAAGCGCCGAGAAATACGCCGACACGATCGCCAAGCGCTTCTCGCTCACACCTACCGCTATCGCCACGCCATACCGCTACACGGCAGGAAACGGCCAAGGAAACTCCGCCCTACCCAAAACTGCCGGAATACGCGACTATCAGCGAAAACTGGGCTGTCTACTCTTCGCAGCCGTCACCTGTCGCCCAGACCTGTCCTACTCCGCCAGCCAGCTCGCTACTTATCTCAAGAGGCCTGAAGTAGATCACCTGGCAGAGCTCGATTGCGCACTGCACTACCTCGTGAGCACGCCGACGATCGGCCTGACTTACTACAAGAACGAAGCTGCGTCAACGAAACTAATCGGTTATGTCGATGCCGACCATGCCGGCGATCCAGATAACAGGCGCTCTCGCACCGGCTACGTCTATCGTCTCGAGCCTATCGGACCTATCTCCTGGCAGTCGAGTAAGCAGGAACTAATCGCTCTCTCTTCAGCTGAAGCAGAATATATCGCCCTCTGCTCAGCCACCAAGGAAGGACTCTACCTTCGCGAACTGCTGGAAGAAGCAAAGTTAGCTGAGTTACCCAGCTTCACCCTGCACTGCGACAACCAATCTGCAATTCGCATCGCCAACAAAAGCGGATTCGCGAACAGAACGAAGCATATCGCTCTGCGATACTTCTTCGTGAAAGACGAGATCGAGAAAGGAAGACTCGAGTTATCCTACTGTCCCACGTCCGAGATGGCAGCCGACTATTTGACCAAGAAGCTCGGAAAACAGAAGTTCAAGTACTGCATGCTGCTGACTGGACAAGGCCACGTCACCGTCAGCGACACTCCAGAAGCGAAGGGGAGTGTTGGGAACAATAAGTCTTAAGCGCCTCTATCGTGTCGAAACTCAGGACTCAAAGCGAAGCAGTCCAAATCGAAGCATCGCGAGTCAACCCTCGGAGGTTGGGGTAACCGCCTGGAGGTTACGCGAAGGTCAAAGGTCAGTGACCTTTGACTTGACCAATACAGCGCGACAGCAAGGACACACAACCGACTCGACATTGAGCAGTTGCCCGAGTCGCACTGTATCGAATCGCAACAGCAAGACAGTTATTATATCTATTCGTATTCCTTGTACTCTTATATAAAACCTTGTATTTGCTTGTTTCAATCAACTTACTTTGCCCTCACATACCAGCGCAAGGTAGTTCAAGACCCTTTTACTCAAACGCTTCTGCTATTACAATCCTCCCAGTCTTTAACTCTACAAAGATCCTTAGGGCTTTTCAGCCCAACACACATAATTGTGACTACTCAACACACTGCCACATCAACATCCTACATACTAAGGAGAGTAAAAATAATAGATGAATGATTAGATTTGTTTGCACCCTGATTTTTAAGAGCAGTTTTTGTGAAGCACCCTTACTGAAAGAGTCAAGGCTGGGTGTTGGCCTTACGAGAAAGAGTACCCCAAATCCTATCCAGAGGCCTGGGCTGAACCCCTGATTGCAGGATTTTTGAGGCGCCTCAAAAGTCAAATCCTATCCAGAGGCCTGGGCTGAACCCCTGATTGCAGGATCAAGGAAGTTGTATGCAATGCAAGCAGTCAGTAGTGGCCATTATACAGATCGTTGTTCAGCTGTCATCAACCTTCAACTTTTTTCTTCGTTGCCCACGTTCTCCCCCCTGCTTTTGAGTCGACTCAAAAGCCCACGTTCTCCCCTGCTACGCTCGGGAGGAAGGCCAATAGCAGAGCCTGCACGCTCTCCCTTACCCTCCTTTCACTATACAGACCGCAACTAGACCACGTTCCCCCTGCCTCCACCATCAACACTCCCATCCGTGTTTGCCAAGAAGGCTGGCAGCAGCGCTTGCAAATTTCCCTCCCCTTCCTCCCCAACAGAAAGCCCAAGCCTAAACCACATTCCCACTGCCACCATCAACGCCCCCATCTGTGTCTGCCAGGAAGGCCAACAGCAGCGCCTGCACGCTCTCCCTCCGCATCTGTCTTCCACTGGAAAACCCGAGCCTACACCACATTCCCACCACCACCATCAATTTCCCCCTCTGTGTCCGCCAGGAAAGCAGAGAGCAGCGCCTGCACGCTCTCCCTCCGCATGGCGAAGAGCGTGGAGATGAAGAAGCAAGCGTGTGCGTGCCCACTATCAGACATCGCCAGCACCACCATCAATGTCCCCCTCCACATCTGCCAGGAAAGTAGAGAGCAGCGCCTGCACGCTCTCCCTCCGCATCTGTCTTCCACTGGAAAACCCAAGCCTACACCAGATGGGAGCCTACACCGCATTCCCTCCACCACCATCGATTTCCCCCTCTGTGTCCGCCAGGAAAGCAGAGAGCAGCGCCTGCACGCTCTCCCTCCGCATGGCGAAGAGCGTGGAGATGAAGAAGCGTGTGCCCTCGATCTTGAACTCCTCTAGTGGGTTCTCTCTCCCAAAGCCCTGCACGCTCACCTGCAGAAATGCAGAAGCGGGGGAACAGAGAGGTGGATGGAGAAAAGACAGGGCGTCTTTCAAAGACGAGTGCGAGAAATAGTACAGTGCATTTCGCAAATTTCTCAAAATGGGAAAACAAAGAGCTACACAGACCCAACATGCACATGGTTATGAATGACTGCAACTTGCATGCAAAGGCCTAAGAGTCCGACACACAACATTTCTGACTGCTACCTGTCAACACGCACGGTGTTCGACTTTAAGTCGACTCAAGGTGACTTTTGAGTCGGCTAGAATAAAACACACAGTTCTAAACATCAACAACCTGTCAACACGCACCACATTCCTTTTAGGGGCCTAAAAAAATTGACTCTTGTCAACACTGACCGCGTTCCTCAGCCGTGCCATGTTTGCGATGTGCACGCTCCACAGCCGGTCCAGTGTCGACAGCAGCGACTCTCTCTGATCGGAAAAAAGCAAGGAGGGCGCAGGGGGAGTCAAGAAAAGTTGGGGGGGGGGGGGGTGTGGGCAGGGGAGACGCGTCGGGGGGAGTTGGGGGCGCAGGGGAGAGATGGGGGGCGCAGGGGGGAATCAGGGCGTGCAAGGGGAAAGTTGATGGGCAGGTAGGGCCACAGGACGGTGTTACAGGTGGGAAATGGCAAGAAAGGATGGAATACCTGTGATTGCATCACATGAATTGAGAAAACACAAATCAAACAAAACACCCACCCACCCTCACATGAGTTGACCACTCTCCCACCACCGCAAAGAAATATAAGAAAGAAAGAAAGAAAGAAAGATTTGAATAAAGAAAGAAAGAAAAAACAACACACAGCTCTACGAAATTATTGTCTTTCTCACCTCGAAGAACTCCATCTGCTGAGGCGACGCAAGAAAGAGAGCGAGATGGGCCCTGTAGCATGTCACCCCCACACTGCACTGCTGGCTGGCTGGACTTGAACCATGTCTTTCTCAATAGGCGGCTCTTTACATCCCATCCCTGGCTCTTTACGTCCCATCCCTTTCTCTCACCTCAAAGAACTCCATCTGCTGGGGTGATGCAACGAAGAGAGCAAGGTGGGCCCTGTAGCTCGTGACCACCACGTCTCCCAGGTACTTGCGCAGCGCTGCCAGGTGCTTTGATGATCTGCCCCTCCTGGGGAGAGAAGCAAGGAGGGATTTGGGGTGAGGTGAAGTGAGTGCAATGATGGGTGAATAAGGATAGGGGAAGGGCATGTGATCACCACGTCTGACTTTTGAGTCGGCTCAAAAGTCACCACCACGTCTCCCAGGTACTTGCGCAGCGCTGCCAGGTGCTTTGATGACCTGCCCCTCCTGAGGATGAAGAGAGGGGCGGAGTAAGGAGGAAATAGGAAAATGATCGGAGGAGGAGTGGAGAAGAGACGCTGGGATGAAAGGAAGGAGCGAGGTGCAAAAGAAATGCTTCAGGGTGTTTTTGAGAATTCTCAAAAACACCTTGTAGCATAGTGGAGAAGAGACGCTGGGATGAAACGAGCGAGGTGCGAAAGAAATGCCTGCGGTGGCTGAGAAAGGTCCGCACAGGATAGAGACGTCCTGACAAACCTACCTACATGTCACCATCAAGCCTTACAGGTCAGACAGATGACTTTAGGGTCGGCTCGAAAGTCATCGCGTCGCGAAGAACCTACAGCTCATCTCACCACGGAGTCTTACAGGTCAGATGAGTCTTGAAGAACCTACATGTCATCATCAAGCCTTACAGGTCAGGAGAGTCACGAAGAATCTCTCTCCATCTCAGCTCCTCCCGCATTGCTTCCGCCTCTCCCCCTTCCTCCTCCTCCTCCCTCTTATTTGCACTTCCAACAGCAGCCGCACCCGCCGCACCACCGGCACCAGCAGCAGCAGCAGCACCAGCAGCAGCAGCAGCAGCAGCAGCAGCAGCAGCAGCAGCAGCAGCACCAGCACCAGCAGCAGCAGAGTTGGAGCCTACCCCAAAAGCCGGCAGCACCTCAGGCAGGGGAGGCAGGACGTGGGGGAGGTGCTTTCTGAGGTCCCAGCGGTGGCCGGCGTTCGGTGGAGGGGAGTGGGAAAGGGCGGAGCTGAGGGAGGTGGCATCCACGTACTGGGAGATGTCTGGTAGGTAGGAGGGGAGGCAGCAAGCAAGGTGCGGTGCGGTGCCAGGGAGGAAAGAGAGGAGGACAAAAGGAACGTGATTTCAAGGTGCCTCATAAGAAAGGGCGGAGCTGAGGGAGGTGGCATCCAGTGAATGCAGAGCAGAGGGAGAGAGCGACAGGCAGGCAGCAGTACCCGATTAGTGAACAAACAGTACCTATGCCAGTGGTGCGAGAAAGGCGCTTGAGCAAGGTGTCGATGGGCCATGACGCCACTGGCTGGTGTTGGTGGGAGGGGAGGGAAAGGGCGGGAGGGGAGGGGGAATGCGAGAAGGGAGGTGCAGGAAAGGCGAGAAGGGAGGTGCAGGAAAGGCGCTTCAGCAAGGAGTCGATGGGCAATGAGGAAACCGGCTGGTGTTGGGGAAGCAGTGAGGGAGCGATGAGGAATGGAATGCGAGGGATGGGGAAGAATGGAAGAGAATGCAATGGGGCACTTGAGCAGGGAGTTGATGGGCCATGACGCCACCGGCTGGTGTATAGAGACTCTCATGGGTAAGCATAGTTTTCATAAACTCTTATGAGCATCGCACACACAAATGCTTTATATGCGACCTGCATAAACCATTTATCAGGCGCCAGCCATTTTTTGAGGCGAATTTTGAGGATTTTTAGGCGCCTCACAAATCGTCTCTGTTTGCGAACTGCATAGACTCTGGTTAGCTTGCCTTGGAGGGAGAGCAGTTTTCCTTCACCACATCATCTACCACTGCTTGGATGTACCTGAACGGATGTGGAGGGACGGTTGGAAGTTTATCACACATTTATACCATTAACTAATACCAGCATTAAAAAGGCATCTTAGACATGTAGGAGCAGTATTCCTTGACCACATCATCCACCGCTGCTTGGATGCATGTAACTGTGGATGGGTGGACGGGTGGTGGAAAGGAAGATGGGGGTTGACTTTTGAGCCGACTCAAAAGTCAACGTACCTGTGGACGGGTGGACGGGTGGAAAAGAAGATGGGGGTGGGTGGGTGGATGGACAGACAGGCAGATGGATTGATTGATTGATGGATGCTCATACAAGGCGCATGTGTTTGTAAACAGTGCAGGTAACGTGGCATCCTCACATTTGCAGTGAGACTCACAGTTGTGCACGTGTGTGTCGAACTTCAGGTGACTCTTCCAGAATGGACTCTCTCAGCTCGTATACATGCTTGCGCTGCAGCTGCAGTAGGGCAGAAGGAGAGGAAGGTCAGAAAGAGAGGAAGGTCAGAAGGAGAGGAACGTCAGAAGGAAGGAGGAAGAGAAGGGCGTAAGATGTGGGTGGAAGGGAAGAGGGACAACAGCACATGGGTGATTCAATGGACAGCAGACGGTACACATGCTTGTACCGGTTTTGCAACGTCTCAGATTGAAACGCAAGCTCACACACCATAGCTGCCAACCAAGGATAGAAGTGTAGTGCACGCACATGCTCACATCCTCGCATGGTTGTGTAGAAACAAAATAGAAGCTCACCTCAAAGACCTGATCGTAGTCAAGCATTTGCCTCCGCCGCTCGAACATGGCAGCTTCGATGGTCTTCTGCGTCTGCACCAACTGGTGAAGGCAAGCAAGTGTTTTGAGGGGTGCGACACGGTGTGGTTGGGTTAAACAGGGTTGAACAAGTAGTGCAAGGAGCATTTGCCTCCGCCGCTCAAACATGGCAGCTTCGATGGTCTTCTGTGTCTGCACCAACTGGTGCGACAAGGAGTGGATGGGTTGGGTTGAAAAGAGTTGGGCAAGGAGCAGTTGCGATGGGCCGAAATGGGTCAGACAAGAGGTGGTTGGGATGAGTTGACATGGTTGCGATGAGCAGTTGCCATGAGCCACGGAGAATTATTGGGGCGTTGAGAAATGTAGGTGCTCTAGCAGTGCAAATTCTTACAGCGAGCGTGAGTCAATGCCATGTGGGGAAAGCCATGTGGGGAAAGCCCTCATCAAAGTCCCCTGCATACAGCAGCTGCTCCAGCATGGCTCAAGGATAGCTTTCAAACGAGGGGCCATTGTTAGACCACCATACTCACAGCGAGCGTGAGCGCCATGTGGGGAAAGCCCTCATCAAAGTCGCCCGTGTACAGCAGCTGTTCCGGCATGGCCCCAGAGGAGTCCCTAGAAGAATGGCATTCCTTTAACGAGGGGCCATTGTCAGACCACCATACTCACAGCGAGCGTGAGCGCCATGTGGGGAAAGCCCTCATCAAAGTCGCCCGTGTACAGCAGCTGCTCCAGCATGGCTCGAGAGGAGTCTGGCAGCACCTCCCTCATCATATCATCCTCCATGCTGAGTAGGTTTCGAAGCAGGGGGGGAAGGAGGGGGTTGTGGGCTTGAGGGAGAGGAGGAGCAGGGGAGCAGCGGCAGGCAAGAGAGGTGGCTAAAGCAGCTGCTCCAGCATGGCTCGAGAGGAGTCTGGCAGCACCTCCCTCATCATATCGTCCTCCATGCTGGTTGGGGGGGAAGGAGAGGAGGGGAGAGGACGGGGTTCAGGAGCGGAGGATCCGCGAAGAGATGTGGCCGTAACAGAGGTGGCTCGAGAGGAGTCTGCAGCACCTCCCTCATCATACCGTCCTCCATGCTGGTTGGGAGGGAGAAAGGGGAGAAGAAGATAGTAATAGATGGGGTTGACTTGAAGGGGATAGCACTGGGGTAAAGGAAGGACATGGCTCGAGAGGAGTCCGGTAGTACCTCCCTCATCATATCGTCCTCCATACTGGTTGGGAGGGAGAAAGGGGAGGAGGGAGAGGAGGGGGGTCGGGAGTGAGGCAGAGGAGGAGCAGCGAAGAGAGGTGGCCATAACAGCTGCTCCAGCATGGATGGAGAGGAGTCTGGTAGCACCTCCCCCATCATATCGTCCTCCATACTATACTGGTTGAGGCGGGCGAATCGGGGAGGGATGGGCGAATGGGGGCGTGCAGAGTACAGCGATGGGGTGAAGGACATGGAACGAGAGGAGTCTGGCAGGGAAAACGAGGGGAGAACGAACGTGGCTCAGGGGGGAAGAACGGAGGAAGGGGGTTGGGGTTGACAAATTTACTCCCAACCCAACCAACTGGCACGTGACCATACACCCTCCCTTCATCTGATTTTCGGTTGATGCTCACCATCACGTGATCCTCACCTGACTGTCACGTGATGCTCACCTGATGATAAACTGTGTTGACCCAGGGTCGCCCTGGCGACCTGCCCTGCCCCTCAACTGCCACGCACGCAAAGACACATGAGACAAACGAGACACGGCATAATACACGTGGAGATTGCAACTTTGAACAGCTGCAATGAGCATATTGCATCTTGAAATGCAAAAGCTACAAGAAATTGAGAGATGTTGCAGGGTCGCACTCTCTCTCCCCCACTCCCCAATCCAGAAACACCATCTACCTGCATCCACTGCAGTGCTGCCTCTACCACAGATCGAATAACCTAACTCACACTCACCCACCTGGTTGTCGATCCGCCTTGATTCGCTAAAAGCCTTGCCAATGACATGCGGGTCCCCGTGCGCATACTCTCTGAATTTCATTACAAACACACGAGCCAAACAGTTTTCAGAGCCTCACCTGGTTGTCGATTCTTCTAGACTCGCTCAGAGAAGTGCCCATGACATGAAGTCCCCCCAGCGAGCACACGTACTCGCCCTCCTCCTGGCAGTCCGCCTTGCAGTCCGCACTCACCCGCCCCAGCGCAGCACCCTCTCCAGAGAGCCTTCGCCACGCCATCACACCCACTTTGTTGTCAAATGCAGATCAAACAACCCTCACACCCACTGTAATGTTGCCTGCAGGCCTCACACCACCCTCACCTGATTGTCAATCCGCCTGGATTCACTGAGCGCAGTGCCGATGACATGAAGGCCCCCCAGAGAGCACACATACTCGCCCTCCTCCTGGCAGTGCGCCTTGCAATCCCCATCCCCCCCCCAGCGCTCTCTGCAATAAGCCTTCCCACACCACCACCACCCTCACCTGGTTGTCAATCCGCCTGGATTCACTGAGCGCAGTGCCGATGACATGAAGCCCCCCAGAGAGCACACATACTCCCTAATTTCATGACAAACGCGCAAGCCAAACGGTCCTCAAAATCTTACCTGATTGTCAATCCGCCTGGATTCACTGAGGGCAGTGCCGATGACATGCAGGCCTCCCAGCGAGTGCACATACTCGCCCTCCTCCTGGCAGCGCGCCTTACAGTCCGCACTCACCTGCCCCAGCGCCTGCCCCACCACTCTCACCACCATCTCCTGCATCAACCTCAGCACCGCCCGCACTCGTGCAGACGACCAAAGGAGCTGCACTCCCCAAATCCAGAACCTCCATCTCTTGCTTCACTGCGGCACCGCTGCTACCGCAGACCAAAGGACCTTCTCTCACCTGGTTGTCGATTCGCCTTGACTCGCTGAGAGCAGTGCCGATGACATGAAGCCCTCCCAGCGAGCGCACATACTCGCCCTCCTCCTGGCAGTGCGCCTTGCAGTCCGCACTCACCCTCCCCAGCGCCCGCCCCACCACTCTCACCACCATCTCCTGCATCGACCGTGGCACCGCCCGCAATCCCAGCACCCCTCCGCCTCCCCCCCACACTTCTGCATCGTCCTCATCGCTCTCGTCCCCCTCCCCCTCCCCGCTGCTGCTGCTGCTGCTGCTGAAGCCACCACTCCGGCTGCTGATACCACTACCGTTGCTGATACTGCTGCTGGTGGTGCTGTCGATTTCACCGGTCCGCCAGGGTAGAGGGCTCATTCCGGTGTCTTCTGCAGCATCTCCTCCCCACATCCCTGCGCCCGCCTCCTCCCTGCGTTCCCCCCATTCCCAACCCTCCTCCTTGCCCTCGCCAGCCCCGGGAGTGGCTGACGGCCTTAAAGCCTGTGTCTCTGCCTGCTCTAGCACAGCCTGCTGCTGCGCCTCCGACCAGTCCGCTGCCACGCTGCGCCCTGTTTCAATGACAAAAAAAGGAGAAGAGCACCCTTAAGGTATCCTTTTGGAGTTGAATAGGCCAAAACCCTTGCCTCTGCTTATGACTTATGGGAAGTCTCAAAACTCACATGAGAACTGGGCAGCGTAGAGCTCCTTTAAGGTATCCTCTTGGAGTTTAATAGGCCAGAACCCCTGCCTCTGCTTATGCCAAGAGGTGTAAAAAAAAAAAAAAAAAAAAAAAAAAAAACAAACAAACAAACAAGCAAACAAAAAAAACAGGCGGGTTGGTTGGATTAATCAGGTTAGTGGTAGTGTTTGCAACATAACGTTTATGAGTTCCTCCAGCCCAGTTCATGTTGCCCCTTTTGAAAAACCAATTTATTACCCGCTTCCCTTGAGAGGTATTGCAGAATTTAGAACAAGTTACACCCTAGTGCCTTGCCGAAGTTAGTAAAGTTCCTCCCTAGTGCATTGCGCAACAGTTAAACTTATCACTCCAGCAGCGCACGCACCGCATGTGGGCCTTTCTTGAAAGCCGAGTAGTTCCCCGCTGTGGCTGCTGGCGCTTCAAACAGTGCCCACTTCACCACCTCCTTGCTCAGGAGCTGGACATGGGAGAGGAGGAGGATGAAGGAAGGAGGAGAGGAGGAGGGGAAGATGAGGAGGGGAGAGAGAGGAGGAGGGGAGAGAGAGCCTGAGAACTTGCAAAGGTATGATTCAGAGAGTGCCCACTTGACCTTGGGACGCAGCGCACCAACCATGGGATTTCTCACCCAGCATCAATGCTTATCCCAGGCACCAACCTCGGGATTGCCGCCCAGCACAATGTGGGTGCCCCGGCCAGCCATGTTGGTGGAAATGTTGATGCCAAAGCAAACCTTTGCCGGCACCAATTCCCGGACCATCATCATCACATACTCTCCCAGCCTTCACCTCGGGATCACCTCTTTAGGCACGCACCTCGGGATTGCCGCCCAGCACAATGTCGGTGCCCCGGCCAGCCATGTTGGTTGAGATGGTGATGCCTCCAGCCTGCCCCGCACTTCCATCAATCAAGCGCCTCGTGAGAGTCCGTTTCCCAGAGAAACACTTGATTCGAATGCTGTCACCACAGCCCTCACCTCGGGACTGCCGCCCAGCACAATGTCAGTGCCCCGACCAGCCATGTTGGTTGAGTGAGACGGTGATGCCTCCAAGCCAACCCAACCTGCACCGGGCAATCAGTGATACCAAACAACAACCGGACCATAAGGCACTCACCTCGGGATTGCCGCCCAGCACAATGTCAGTGCCACGGCCAGCCATGTTGGTGGAGATGGTGATGCCTCCAAACCGCCCCGCCTGCGCTACGATCTCTGCCTCACGCGCTGCATTCTGGGGGCCAAGGGGAAGGGTGGAGGGGAGGAGGCGAGGGGGGTGAGTGTGGGAGAGGCAAGAAATTTTGAGTCGACTCAAAAGTGTTGGTGGAGATGAGATGGTGATGCCTCTAAACCGCCCAGCCTGCTCCACGATCTCCGCCTCACGCGCTGCGTGTTGGAGGGAGAAGGAGTGGGGAGGGGGGGAGTAGAGAAGGGGGAGTGCGGGAGAGGCAAGATTCTTTATTAGTCGACTCAAGAGTGTTAGAGATGCGATGCCTCTAAACCGCCCTGCCTGCGCCACAATCTCTGCCTCGCGCGCTGCGTTCTGGGGAAGAAAAAAGAGAGGTAGCGGAGGGAAAAGCCAAAGGGAGGGCAGAGCAGTAGACTTCAATTTCGCCGCCCAAACTTTGGGCCATCTCTAATTCTACATGTTCTTCGAGACAGAACGTGTTGCACAGTGCAGTGCAGTGTAGTGCAGTGTAGTGCAGTGCAGTGCAGAGCAGAGCAGTGCAGTGCACACACACATCCAATCATATTGGAAGATGGATGCTCACTTGGACCAAGCAATATCCATATGCTCACTTGCTTGGTAAAAACATCCGATAGTATCGGACCTTTCATCCGTCTCGGAGGACCCATCCAAAGAGCAATGCGACAAGGGAATGCCGATCTTACAACGAAGCTACCCAAAATTGGGAAACACGCGTTCTAACGTTTGGCCTACCCTTGTAAATGTATGTAGAATGTAACATTCGGCCTACCCTTGTAAACACGCGTTTTAACGTTGTAAGATGGGCATTCCCTTGTCGCATTGCTCTTTGAATGGGTCCTCCGTGATGGATGAAAGGTCCGATACCATCGGAAGTTATTACCGAGCAAGTGAGCATATGGATATTGCAAGTACGAGCAGAACCTATGTTACTAATGGGCGCCTTAAGCACTGTGCTCACTTCGGGCCGAGCGTTAAGAACTTGAATGTGGGCAAACCGACGAGGATGCTCCACCTGCAGCATGGCGTAGAGGCGCTCTGACTCGTCCACACTGCGTGAGGGGGAATAGGGTGGTGAAAATGACCAATTTAAGTGCCTGAATAGAGTGCATTGCATAGCATTGCACGATGGGGATGCTCCACCTGCAGCATGGCGTAGAGGCGCTCTGACCCGTCCACACTGGGTGGTGAGGAGGAGTAGGGGGGCACAACAAACGTCCGATTCAAATACATTTGAAGTGCCTGAATAGAATGCATTGCGTTGCACGATGGGCATGCTCCACCTACAGCACGGCGTATAGAGGCGCTCTGACTCGTCCACACTGCAAATAGATATGAAGATGAATAATTGGACAACACAAATTTCATGGAAGAATGTACAGCTCCTGCCACAGGTACGGAGCTTGCATGGCTGAGTCAAACCCATATGAAGGCGATGTGCCATGTGAATGTGATGTGATGTGCCATGTGGTTGTGATGTGATGTGCCATGTGGTTGTGATGTGATGCGATGTGATGTGATGTGATGTGCCACGTGGATTTGATGTGATGTACATACCTGGATGTCCCAACAAGCACAGGACGGCCGAGTTGGTTCATTTTGACAATCTCCTGAATGACATGATGCACCTTGTTGCGCGCTTGCTGTGGAGGAAAAGAAAGGGGTGGGGAGATGGGGATAAGGGGGAGAGGGGATGGAGAGGGGGAACGAGGAGGATTTTTTACTAACTCCTGTATGGCACGATGCACCTTGCTGCCCGCTTGCTGTAGGTGAGAGGGGGAACAGGGGAAGGAAGGGGGGAGAACGGGGCTTCTGAGGCGCCTGAACAGTCATTTTGACAATGTACTGGTGGATGTTGGGCCGACTGGTGGATGTTGGGCCGACTGGTGGATGTTGGGCCGACTGGTGGATGTTGGGCCGACTGGTGGATGTTGGGCCGACTGGTGGATGTTGGGCCGACTGGTGGATGTTGGGCCGACTGGTGGATGTTGGGTTGACTGGTGGATGTTGGGCCGACTGGTGGATGTTGGGCCGACTGGTGGATGTTGGGCCGACTGGTGGATGTTGGGCCGACTGGTGGATGTTGGGCCGACTGGTGGATGTTGGGCCGACTGGTGGATGTTGGGCCGACTGGTGGATGTTGGGCCGACTGGTGGATGTTGGGCCGACTGGTGGATGTTGGGCCGACTGGTGGATGTTGGGCCGACTGGTGGATGTTGGGCCGACTGGTGGATGTTGGGCCGACTGGTGGATGTTGGGCCGACTGGTGCAAGTTATCATTCCAGGAAAGTTATCATTGCGCCGACAGGTTACCAATTTTCACAGTACCAGTCTACTTTAAAGAGCGACGGGTTTCCATTCCGAGGCAACCACATTTTTCTAGTCGACTCAAAAACAGTAAGTCAAGCGCGTGATTGTTATTCTTTTCATTCTGGGAAATCTCGTGACAGCTTTCCTTGCAAGAAAAAGAAGCACGTTCGGGCCCTTTTTATGCTGGGCTGGTTGGCTAGTGACAGCAAAGCTGTTCAAGCTATCAGTAAAACTGCTGAGGCCAAGGGACCCACAAGGAAAACAACCGCATCTAGATCCTTCCTGATGTTGGGGCGCTTGGTGGGAATGATAGGCTATCACAAAGCAGGATCAGCAAGTGAGGAATTCAGTCGAGGGCAATGTATGAACTTACCAGGAAGACAACAACGTCTAGATCCTTCCTGACGTTGGGGCGGTTGGTGGGGATGATAGTGATCTTACAGCAGGTTCGGCACACCAGCAAGCAGTAGCAGGTGCAGGGAAGTTGAGAGTAACAGACTCACCAGGAAAACTACAACGTCAAGGTCCTTTCTGATGTTGGGGCGGTTGGTGGGGATGACGACCACTGGCATGCCGAATATGCGCTTGAACTCCTCCTCCTGCCATGTAGGGGAGAGGGACCAATGGGGGGAGAGGGGAGGGGAGAGGAGGTGCAAGGGGTTAAAGAGGATAGATATTGGTATGCCACGGTTGGTGGGGGTGACCACCACTGGCAAGCCAAATATGCGCTTGAACTCCTCCTCCTGTCATATAGGCGTTTGTTGAAGGGGGGGAGGAGGTGGGGGAGAAGAAGAGAAGGCAGGGAGTGTGACTGTGAGTCCAAGGAGAAAGAAGGTGGGAATGATGGCAACTTAATCCTTCGATGCCAAATGCTAGACTCTGAAATTTAAGACCCTAGAGCTTACCCCTGTAACGATCACCTCCATCCCTTCATTTTGGCGGTGCCTGTCATCCCAGAGACCTTGCTGTAGAGGCGGAAGAGCGACTGGTGGTAGGTACCCTGCATTACGTGCTTGAACACCCATCAACAACAACAAGCTCCCATCACTTGCGTTCAAACTTCTACACCCTCAACCTTCCCAGTCACAAGGCTCTCAGCGCACCTCCGTCTTGGCGGTGCCTGTCATCCCCGACACCTTGCTGTAGAGGCGGAAGAGCGACTGGTAGGGTAGGTCACCTGGGCTACATGCTTCGTCACACCCCAACAAGCCCTCCTTCACTCGAGTGATACCCTGCCCGACCACTAGGTAGGTACTCAAGCAACGCACCTCAGTCTTGGCGGTGCCTGTCATCCCAGACACCTTGCTGTAGAGGCGGAAGAGCGACTGGTAGGTCACCTGGGCAACTGTTTCTGACACGGGCTGCCGGGGGGAAAGGTGACAATGGAAAGAGGAAAGGGGGGGGGAGAGGGTGAACGAGAAGTGGAAAACCAGGGTGGAGAAGTGGAACTGGTAGGTCACTTGGGCTACGCTACTGTTTCTGACACGGGCTGCCAGAGGTGGGTGATAAGGAAGGGTGTAAAAAGGAAGGGGAACAGGGGGTTGATTTGAAGGAGATTGGGAAAAGGGTGGAAAATATGAGTATAGGGTAAGGGGAGGAGCAGATGGACTGGTAGCCCCCACTGACCTGACCTACCAGTCCTTCTCCTTGTGCTCTAAAGGAGCAGAAACTGTTTCTGACACGGGCTGCTGAATGAGGTAAGGAGGTAAGGAGGAAGGAGGTAACACGACGGATAAGCACAGTAGAGGACCAGAGCATCCTTTCTCTCACCTTAATCCTCACACACTCTCCCTCCCACTCACCTTAATTTCCACACCCTCTTTCGCCTCAACAGCCTGGTGAATGCCGTCGCTCCACCGCCGCATGTCTGCTGTTCTCCCCGTGAACTACAGACAAGACGAGGGTAAGGGGGGAAGGGGCAGAAGGAGGCAGTTGCGGCGAGTCACAACCCAGCTTGGTGATGAGGCTCCTTGCAATACAGCCTGGTGAATGCCGTCGCTCCACCGCTGCATGTCTGCTGTTCTCCCCGTGAACTGTAGGGAAGGTAGGAGGCGGGGAAGGGTTGGGAACGGTTGGAAGGGAAGGGGACAAGGAGCAAGAGCGGGAAGAGTGTTGGGGCTCCTTGCAATCAAGCCTGGTGAATGCCGTTGCTCCACCGCTGCAGGTCTGCTGTTCTCCCCGTGCACTGTGGGTGTTTGGGCGGAAGGGGTAAGGGATGTGAGGACAGGAGCAATAAGGAGGAACCGTGTGGAGGGAGGAGATGCTCCATTTCCAAAAAGGGAGGAGTTCAATCCATTTTCTCCTGGGCTGGAGTGAGATGCTCCTTTACAATCCAGCCTCGGCTAGGAAATGCGTTCACTCCACTGCTGGAGACACTGCTGTATGTATGCATGCCTGCTGTCCATCCTGTGAACTTATGGCGATGATGGATAGGGTGGGCCAAGTGGGACCAGCCAAGCTCAAGCATATCAAGAATCTCAAGAATCACTCACGTACCTCGTCCACTATAATCACGTACCTCGTCCACTATAATCACATACCTCGTCCACTATAATCACGTACCTCGTCCACTATAATTCTGTACCTCGTCCACTATAATCACATACTTCGTCCACTATAATCACGTACCTTGTCCACTATAATCACGTACCTCGTCCTCTATAATCACGTACCTCGTCCACTATAATCACGTACCTCGTCCACTATAATCACGTACCTCGTCCTCTATAATCACGTACCTCGTCCACTATAATCACGTACCTCGTCCACTACAATCACGTACTTCGTCCACTATAATCACATACCTCGTCCACTATAATCACGTACTTCGTCCACTATAATCACGTACCTCGTCCACTATAATCTACTTCGTCCACTATAATCACGTACCTCGTCCACTATAATCACGTACCTCGTCCACTATAATCACGTACCTCGTCCACTATAATCACGCACCTCGTCCACTAGAATCACGTACCTCGTCCACTAGAATCACGTACCTCGTCCACTATAATCACGTACCTCGTCCACTATAATCACGTACCTCGTCCACTATAATCACGCACCTCGTCCACTATAATCACGTACCTCGTCCACTAGAATCACGTACCTCGTCCACTAGAATCACGTACCTCGTCCACTATAATCACGTACCTCGTCCACTATAATCACGTACCTCGTCCACTATAATCACGTACCTCGTCCACGATAATCACTTGGCCGTCTTTCACAATGTAGTCCCGATCCCTCAGGTAGAACTCTTTTGCTTTGAGGGCCGTCAGCACGAACCTAGCCAGGATAAAAAGGGCAAGGGGATGGGGTGGGGAGGGTGAGGATGGGACTGCGGCATATGACGGATGAAAGAAAGAGCCATATTCCTGACAAACGAGTTGCTATTTGCAGGCAAAAAATATACCAGCAGCATGAGATGCAGCTCACTCACTGCGCAAATGAGTTGCTGCTCTCAAAGATATCATCTGAATCTGCGCCATTCCCATTCCCTCCTTCCCCCAGTTCCACCCCTTCCCCCTCTCCGTCCCCCTCTGCTGCAGCATCCTCGCTTCTCAAGCTCTCTGCCACAATCGCCACCCCCGAGTCGGTGAGCTGCACCGTGCGCAGCTTCAGGTCTGCCGTGTAGTCCTGGTGGGGTGGGGAAAGGGAAAGCCGGGATGAGTGCTGTGCTGTGGTGAGTGGAACACACTTCTCTAGCGGCCTTCCCTACCTCTGTATTGTGACGTCACAAAACCCATCATGGTTTCAATCTCTGCATCACTCGGACCGAACACGAGAGCCTTGATTGATTCGTACTCGGCTCAACCAGTTATCCCATGTACTAACCAGTAACCACCATACAAGCCTTGATACGTGCCTTGATCAAGTGAGCACTCACAATATCCCTTCTGAGGATCTCCGCCACTTGAGCAGCCACAGGGAAGCGCATGACGTACGAGGAGGACTGCACACGCAGAAAGTGAGTGAGAGGGGGAAAGAGAGGGAAAGAGAGGGGAGGATGGGGGCCCAGGGAGCACACAAATGTCAAATCCGCTATTCCAGCAGCCACATGGAAGAGCAACACGTGGGCAGGAGGGGAAAAAGGGGCACCTATAGGACAACGTGAAACCCTATAGGACAAGTTCTTAGGTGCCTCAACAACGGGCATCTATGGGGGGGAGGGGAAGAGCATGCGAGAGAGTAGGAAGGAGGGAGGCCTGAGGTGAGGCACTGAGGCCCTGAGTGACTCACCATGTTGCTGAGGCACTGAGGCCCTGAGTGACTCACCATGTTGCTGAGGCACTGAGGCCCTGAGTGACTCACCATGTTGCTGCCCTCGCGGATGAGCACGATGGAGCAGCGGGCAGAGAGGGGCACTGACGACAGTGGGGCAGGAGGCAGTGAGGCGAGGCCGTGACTCATGAGGCGAGGCCCAGGTCGAAACTGTTTTTCTGTGCTACAAGAGGCGAGGCCCTGACTCACGCTGTCCATGTTGCTGATGGATTTTGATGCAGTTTAAGAACGGACGAAGGCCCTGAGACCCTCACCATGTTGTTGAGCTGATGAGCAGGGGGTTCCTGCCCTCATCGATGAGCACGGAGTCAATCTCGTCCACGATGGAGTAGTGTTGTGCAGTGCATGGGAGGAAGGAGGCAGGCGAGACAGGAGGCACTCACCAGTGACGCACTGAACCGACAGGTTTGCGTCAGTGAGGCACTCACCATGTTGCTGAGCTGATGAGCAGGAGATTTCTGCCCTCATCGATGAGCACAGAGTCTATCTCGTCCACGATGGAGTAGTGCAGCGCATGAGAGGAAGGCAGGCAGGCAGCAGTGAGGTACGAAGGCACTCACTACGCTGTTGATGAAAGGCACTGGGGCAGTGACTCACCATGTTGCTGATGAGCAGCGGGTTCCTGCCTTCGTCAATAAGCACAGAATCAATCTCGTCCACAATGGAGTAGTGCAGCGCATGAGGGCAAGACTGGCAGGCAGGCAGAGGCATGCACTATGCTGTCAATGAAAGGCAGTGAGGCAGTTACTGACTCACCATGTTGCTGATGAGCAGCGGGTTCCTGCCCTCATCAATTAGCACAGAGTCTATCTCGTCCACGATGGAGTAGTGCAGCGCATGAGAGGAAGGCAGGCAGGCGGCAGTGAGGCATGGAGGCACTCACTACGCTGTTGATGAAAGGCACTGGGGCAGTGACTCACCATGTTGCTGATGAGCAGAGGGTTCCTGCCTTCGTCAATGAGCACAGAGTCTATCTCGTCCACGATGGAGTAGTGCAGTGCATCTGGCCACCTCAGCGTGCGCTCGCTCGGGTCCTGAACCAGATGGTCTCGCAGGTAGTCGAACCCAATCTCCTGATATGGAGGTAAGTCAGGGGAGGGGAGAGAAGGGTTTGTTCGTGCTCCAGGTGCTGACCACAGCAGTCAAATCAAACCCAGAGTTCGGGATTCAGGGCGGAAAAGGCTTTGAGACTTGTCGAAAGCCAATCTCGTCCAAGATGGAGTAGTGCAGCGCATCTGGCCACCTCAGCGTGCGCTCTCTTGGGTCCTGAACCAGATGGTCTCGCAGGTAGTCGAACCCTATTTCCTGGTATGTAGTTACAACAGTGCAGGAAGGGGGTTTGAGATGTGTCAGTGCAGGAAGGGAGTTGTGTGTGTGCCAGGAGACAATCTCGTCCAAAGTGGAGTAGTGAAGTGCATCCAGCCATCTCAGCGTGCCCTCGTTGGGGTCTTGAACCAGATGGTCCCGCAGGTAGTCATACCCGATCACGTTCACTTGACACTGCCCTACTGACACATGTTATTCCTCACTCTCGTTGTCTCTGCCCTATTAACGCATGTTACACCCCACTCACGTTGCTACTGCCATATGTTATGTTATGTCGCAAGCATAAGCCAGCTGTCTCTGAGGCGCCGTATAAGTATGCCATAAATGCGTTACAACTCACTCACTCACGTTGTTGCTGCCATATGCATTACATCATACTCATGCTGTTACTGCCGTATGTATGTTATGTCGCAAGCATAAGCCAGCTGTCTCTCCTCCTTTGCCTGGCCAGGCTGCACGAACAAAAAAGACGGTGTTATTGCCACCCACATGAGGTGTTACATCTCACTCACGTTGTTGCTGCCATAAGTAATGTCGCAAGCATAAGCTAGCTGTCTCTCCTCCTTTGTCTGACCAGGCTGCTCAAACCACAATTTCATGCAGAAAAAGACAATCGAAGGCACAGAAAGGAACAACGCATGCTGAGAAGTAAAGCAGAAGGCGCCGAAAAGGACAAAAGAAGCAAAAAGGGTCAAGAGTGCGGATAAGATGGAAATCAAAGATGCATCTGAAGAGGGCAAGTGGTGCAGAGTCGGTCGTGCGAGAGAGTGAGGAGAAAAGAGGTGTTTGCAAACTGTTCGTGAAAAGAGGGGAACACCGCAAGCAAAAGAAGTGCATTGAATCGAGTGACTCAAAAAACCATCCACATCGGATTATTCGCCTGCATCACACTCGATAGAATCACACTAATCTGAATCAGGCATTTCTGTGACTCGCTTACCTGAATGACCCCCACTGACAGCCCCAGAAAGCCGTGCACCCTGCCCATCCACTCCGCATCCCTCCTTGCTAGATAGTCATTGACCGTTACCACTGGGGTGGTGGGGGAAAGGTATGGGATGGGGGAAAGACAAGATGGCATGGGATGGCATGAAAGTCCGTGCACCCGTCCTATCCACTCCGCATCCCTCCTTGCCAATTAGTCATTGACCGTTACCACTGGGGTGGGGAGAGGAGAGGCATAGAAAGGCGGAGGGGAGAGGAAGAAGTGAAATCAAAGAGTGGCGGCACCAACTTGCAAACCATTCACTGGGAAAGGGAAAAGGAAGGGGATGGAAAGGGTGCAGATGATCCCTTACCATGCACGCCTTTGCCCACGTCAGCCATGTGGACTGCGTGAGCTGCCTTTTGAGTCGACGCAAAAGTCAACTCAGATGATCCCTTACCATGCACGCCTTTGCCCACGTCAGCCATGTGGACTGCGTGAGCTGCAGTCGCGAAGTAACTTTTAGCAAAAGAAAGACAGTAGTACTAATCTGTATGTTGTACCCTGCTAAGTGCCAAGAAAATCTAGAAATCCGAACTCTCGAATCGACTAAAGAGATTAAAACGCAAACATGTTTCGGCTGACTGGGACAGGCAACGCGTCAAACCTTCATCAGTGCTAGCGGGAGAGGTGCAGATAATCCCTTACCATGCACGCCTTTGCCCACGAGGGCGTTAAGGTAAGCTGCGAGCGTGGACACAAGCGTCTTCCCCTCTCCTGTCTTCATCTCGGCTATCGCCCCTGCATGCAGCACTGCCCCTCCCACGACCTGCAAGAAAGTGGAGAGGTGCGGTGCGGAGAGGAGTGAGGGAGGATGGGACAGAAGAGGGGAGAAGTGGAGTGAGTGCATTAAGTCATGTAACTCATCATCCATGACTGCTGGTGCATATACACCCATCCATCCACCCATCCACCGACCCACATACACACACCCATCCACCCACACACAAACACACAAACACACACCTGCACATCGAAGTGGCGCATGCTGAGGGTGCGCTGAGCCGCCTCTCGCACCACAGCAAAGGCCTCTGAGGAAGGCTTGCCGGTCTGGATTCTAGTACCCCCGCCCATCCCCCCCTCACCTCCCCCACCCCACCCACACACACACCTGCACATCAAAGTGGCGCATGCTGAGGGTGCGCTGAGCCGCCTCTCGCACCACAGCAAAGGCCTCTGCGGGGCCAAGGGCAGGCAGATAGGGGCGCAGGAGCGGCGCATGAGAAAGCAGTCCAAAAAAGAGACACGGCTAAATTGGGAGTTTTAGGAAAAGGGTGATCGCAGGGTGACCAGGCAAGTGCCTTTTGAGTCGACTCAAAAGTCACCTTGGTGACCAGGCAAGTGCACGCGTTCGAAAAGCAGATGCCATGATTTATAACGTGTGAGTATTGTTTGAACAAGCTATTCAATTCAAGAAGCAAAACGATCAATGATGCAGTGTAGAGCCAAAGGAAAGGGGAGGGGCGAAAACATCAGCAGCACCTTAAAGCAACTAGCACAGGATATAGAACAGGTAACAGCTTGCACCGCACACAAACGAATCCTACCTGCCTGTATGTCATCCAGCGTCTCTCCCTGCTTCAACCGCTTCTTGAACTCGCGTGTCTTGCGCCGCAACTGCAGCACAATCAGAGCGAGAGAAGACAGACAGGGGACCAATGTCCGCCAGTGACAGAGAGGGTTATCACAAGGTCTGGTCTGCTGGCTGACTCAAGAAACTCCTGGGTGAAACTGCTGGTTATCCCAGGGCCTTCTGATCTGAGTCGGAATTTGAAAGGAACCTTAGAACTGCTGGTATTCCTTTTGTGACTATCGCATGGCCAGCAACCGGTTGGAATCGGAGTGTTGCTGTTCCTGTGACCACAGCGTGCACTGCAGATGTGAGCGACCTACCACATAATCACACAGTTACAGTCACACAGGTCGCGTCACGTATAATATGCTTGCTTGCACTCTCGCCTCATCATTATGCACGTGTTTGTTCGCCGGTGCACTGCTGGCTCCAGAGCCATGACGAGGGCAAGCAACCCATACAGTTACACAGTCACACCTGTACACTCACACTCCTGCCTTCCTGTAACATATCTGTTTGTCCGTCAGTGCCTGAATTTCCAGTCCCAGCGTGATAGCCTAGTTTTGACTCCACTCAAAACTAGGTCCGTCAGTGACTTTTGAGGCGCCTCAAAAGTCGCCTCAAAAGTTGAGTCGACTCAAAACTAGGTCCGTCAGTGCCTGGATCTCCAGCCCCAGCGTGATAACCTCGGCCACGAGGTGGCGAGAGTGGTGCACCGCCCACACAGTTACATACACGGTACACACGACACCGGATATGCGCACCTGCTTATCAGAAAGTGCCTGCATCGCTGGCTCCAAAGCGTTGACTTGAGCCACGAGGTGCCGGAAGTGGTGTACCACCCAGGTGTTGAGAGAGAAAATGCCCAGCTTCTCGCTCTTTATCATGTCTAACGTGCTCTGAAGAAGAGGGGGGAGAGGGATAGGCGGTAAGAGGAGGGAAGGGTGTTCGTTTGTGCCACGAGGTGCCGGAAGTGGTGTACCACCCAGGTTCCTTGCCATGTCATCGTGATTCGTACCATCCTTGCCAGGTCATGTTACCATCCTTCTTATGTCATGGTACCATCCGTGTCATGTCATAAGACCAGACCACCCTTGCCGTGTCATGATACCATCCTTCTTATGTCATGGTACCATCCGTGTCATGTCATAAGACCAGACCATTTTTGTAATTATAAATGATACCCATCCTTCCTTGCCATATCATGATACCATACCTCGGACTGCTCTCTGTCAGAACCTCTTTTCACTGCATTCTTTCCTCTACAAACTCTATCGCCTCTCCTCCCTTCACACATTCTCTCTCCTCTCTTCCTTTACAAATTCTCTCCCCACTCCTCCCTTCCCATAGTCTCCCCCCTTGTCCTCCTAGTTGCACCTAACCCCATCACCTTACCCTGTGTAGTGCAGCCTGCTGCGCGTTATTCTTTCGCCCAACGGGTGCGTTCCCAGATCCTTCGTCAACCGGGTTACCAGCTGTAACAGCAGCGCGAGTCACTGGTAACACCACCCTCTTCTTCCCGCTGCCTTCTCTCCCTGCCTTGACACTCCTTGGCTGAGATTCATGGTCCAAACTACCCCCATCCTGCAAATTTCCTTTAGGAAACGAGCAACGCGTAGCCCCCGGCCTGGATGTAGCTCTATAACGGAGTTGCGCGAGACCGTACCGAGGATCGGATAGGCAAGGGACACGGCGGAGCTGGCCAGTTGAAGGGAAGAGAGACGTGGAGGATCCTGATTGGCGAAGCAAAGAAGGGATTTCTCCGTGAAGCGGCGACAGAATCGTTGACCGTGTCATGGTGATCCTTCTAGAAGCGCTGGCTTTTTCAGTGATGCGATGCAGCGAGTGTCTATGTCTCTTGAACAGCACTACGTACTAGAAACACCCTCGTGTGTCCAATCCCTGGACTTGCCTGCCTGCATCACTTCAAAGGTACGACAAAGAAACGCGCTTCGTAAGTATAATGCTCCGTCAACTGCGGCTCCGTCATCTGCGGTTCCTCTGCCAGCACTCCTCCAGGTTACGACCAAGACACGCACGCTGCAATTTTCAGGCAGCTCTCAGTTACATGGTTACTTCCAACCTAGGGACTCCGTGCAGATTTACCTCGGGACAATGCCAGCAACTGCATAACGGCCCGATTGCACCAGGAGACAAACCCCCTAACAATTTGGTTCAGATCAACGCACACGGTTAAGTTCGGCTCCTCAAGCTTCAGCCTGGTTCTTGCAATCAGGCACTTGGAATTACAATTTGTGGAACAAAATTTCCGAGAATCACTCGAACTGAGGTGCACATTGCTCAGCCTTGTGTCAGGTTCGCTGATTCCGAGGAGGACACTGGATACAGTAGTTTGCAAGTAAACGCGTTTTGTCGCGAAACAAAGTGGGTTTGGCCGACTGAAATCACTTGTGTGAAGTTGAGGCGAACCGAAACTGAACCGCAGACAAGCTCTTAAGCGAGGATTGAGGAGCGGGAAAAGCAGTCTTTACATTGTTCATGATCTCAGAAGCCTAATTCAAATGCACAATCTACTTGCTAGTTTGAACTTAGTTCTAAGAGCAGCTGTAACAATCACTGAAAATAAAGCATGACTTCACAATTTCTATAAACAGACACCAATTCCATCCAAACCTTTCCACCACCTAAAACCCCCCTCTAGGCAGCAGCAGGCTCGGGAGTGTACCAGCCGAGAGAAACCAGCGTAGCGCGCTTGGCCCGGGAGAGCCGAGCCTTGCGGCGCGCGCCCTTGTTCTCATGAATGGCGTTGACCTTCACCGACCGGTCGATGATGGAGAATGCCTCCGAGATGAGCTTCTCTGCTGCCAGTAGCTGCTCCTCCGATGGCGACGCACTCTTGCGCAGCTCCTCCAGAGCAAGGAAGGCCTGAGGCACAAGGGGGCAAACGAATAACACGAACATGTCAAACATTTGAGGCTGCACGAGGTGAGCTTCTCTGCTACCAGTAGCTGCTCCTCCGATGGCGACGCACTCTTGCGCAGCTCCTCCAGAGCAAGGAAGGCCTGAGGCACAAGGGGGCAAACGAATAACACGAACATGTCAAACATTTGAGGCTGCACGAGGTGAGCTTCTCTGCTACCAGTAGCTGCTCCTCCGATGGCGACGCACTCTTGCGCAGCTCCTCCAGAGCAAGGAAGGCCTGAGGCACAAGGGGGCAAACGAATAACACGAACATGTCAAACATTTGAGGCTGCACGAGGTGAGCTTCTCTGCTGCCAGCAGCTGCTCCTCTGATGGCGACGCACTCTTGCGCAGCTCCTCCAGGGCCAGGAACGCCTGTGGCAGGAGGAAGACAGGGGCGTATGCGAACAACACAAGCATGCCAAACGTTAGGGTTGCAAGAGATGAGCTTCTCTGCTACCAGCAGCTGCTCCTCCGACAGGGACTCTCTCTTGCGCAGCTCCTCCAGGGCCAGGAACGCCTGAGGCAGGAAGGAAGGAGGGGGAGAGAAGGGGAGGCGTGATATGAGCTCCTCTGCTGCAACCGACTTCTCTTCCGATGAGGACGAGCTCTCGTAAAAAGCACAGCCATTGGTCAATCGCCATGCTCCCCACTTCCTCTGCTTCACACTCTGCCTGCTGCTGTACACCCTCCCTTCCTCTTCCCTCCCCCCCCCCCCTCCTTTTCTCTCCTTACCCTCCCCGCCTTGTGCTCTCCGTCGCTGCTAAGCACTGGCCTGTCTGACACCGCCCCTTTTTCCCACAAAGCGCCCACAAGAGACGGAGACTGGCAGTTGCACCAGGGACTCTAGGGAAGATCAGCCCCTCCCTGACATTCCTCAGAAATCCGTGCTGACACGGATTGGTAAAAGTTATACCCGGACCCCTCCCTGACATTCCTCAGAAATCCGTGCTGACACGGATTGGTAAAAGTTATACCCGGACCCCTCCCTGACATTTCTCAGAAATCCGTGCTGACACGGATTGGTAAAAGTTATACCCGGACCCCTCCCTGACATTCCTCAGAGATCCGTGCTGACACGGATTGGTAAAAGTTATACCCGGACCCCTCCCTGACATTCCTCAGAAATCCGTGCTGACACGGATTGGTAAAAGTTATACCCGGACCCCTCCCTGACATTCCTCAGAAATCCGTGCTGACACGGATTGGTAAAAGTTATACCCGGACCCCTCCCTGACATTCCTCAGAAATCCGTGCTGACACGGATTGGTAAAAGTTATACCCGGACCCCTCCCTGACATTCCTCAGAAATCCGTGCCGACACGGATTGGTAAAAGTTATACCTGGACCCCTCCCTGACATCTGACGATCCGACGACCCCTTGACTGAATCACTCAACCATCACCGTGCTTCAGTCGGTTATCACTCTGCTTCAGTGGATTGCCACTTTGCGTAAGTCTGTTACCACTCTGCTTCGGACTGTAACCACGTGACATTGCATCATCTCCAGTTGCCAATGTGCTGACTCAAGGCTCAACGCTAGGCCGCCCTGTCTGTCCCTCCTCCCTCCACCTCCACTCTCTCCATCTCTCTCCTTCCTCGAGCCGCACCTGCCCCTCTCTCAATGTCACTTCATTTGTCCCGCTCCTCCTTCCCCGTCTCTGATTCGCCCTCTCTCCCTCGCTCTCACCGTCTCTGATTCGCCCTCTCTCCCTCGCTGTCACCGTCTCTGATTCGCCCTCTCTCCCTCGCTCTCACCGTCTCTGACTCCGCCCTCGTTCCCTCGCTCTCACCGTCTCTCACTCCGCCCTCGTTCCCTCGCTCTCACCGTCTCTGACTCCGCCCTCGTTCCCTCGCTCTCACCGTCTCTCACTCCGCCCTCGTTCCCTCGCTCTCACCGTCTCTGACTCCGCCCTCGTTCCCTCGCTCTCACCGTCTCTGACTCCGTCCTCGTTCCCTCGCTCTCACCGTCTCTGACTCCGTCCTCGTTCCCTCGCTCTCACCGTCTCTGACTCCGTCCTCGTTCCCTCGCTCTCACCGTCTCTGACTCCGCCCTCGTTCCCTCGCTCTCACCGTCTCTGACTCCGCCCTCGTTCCCTCGCTCTCACCGTCTCTGACTCCGTCCTCGTTCCCTCGCTCTCACCGTCTCTGACTCCGCCCTCGTTCCCTCGCTCTCACCGTCTCTGACTCCGTCCTCGTTCCCTCGCTCTCACCGTCTCTGACTCCGCCCTCGTTCCCTCGCTCTCACCGTCTCTGACTCCGCCCTCGTTCCCTCGCTCTCACCGTCTCTGACTCCGCCCTCGTTCCCTCGCTCTCACCGTCTCTGACTCCGCCCTCGTTCCCTCGCTCTCACCGTCTCTGACTCCGCCCTCTCCCCCACCCCCTTCCCCGCCTCTCAATCACGCTCTGTTCCTCACTGCCTAGAACGCCTCCCCCTCCCTCCTCCGTAGAAAGCAGCATCTTCGCTTTCCGCTCCATAAAAAATCCCTTGCTTAATATCTCCACCGTATGCCCTGCATATCCCCATATCCCCCCTGCTTGCTCCCCCCCATTTATCCCCTTCTTCCTGCAGCTGCCGCAACTCCTGCCTCTCCAGTTCCTTCCGCCTCCCCTCTTCCGCCTCCCCAGTTCCACCTCCCCGTTTCCTCCTCTCCTTGTCTGCTCGCCCCCTGTTTCCGCATCCAAACCACCCTTGCCCCGCGTACCCCAACTTTCCTCCCGCCCCTCCCCTTCCCTCCCCTCGCTCCCCTCACTCCTTCCCCTCCTCCGTCCCTTCCCACCCTCCTTCGCTGTTTTCGCACCCCGTCCGATCTGATTCCTTCGCTTTCCGGGCTAGCTTACTGGAGCACCAATCGGCCCACTTTCTAATCCAGGTGCGTATGCTTGCGCACCTGAATAGCGCCTCTGAATTCCAAAAAATGCGCCCCCTATCCATGCGCGTGCTCATCTCCGTCTTCCGCAAATTTCGTTCTACGCCCGCCGCGCCTCCGCCTGCTTCGCGCGCTTCTGCGAATTCTCAAAAACACCCTGCTGCAAAACGCACCTTCTTCATGCGCGTGCTCATCTCCATCTTCCGCGACTTGTAGTACACCCGCCGCCTGCTCGGCGCGCTTCTGAGGATTCTAAGAAAAAAAAACGCCTCGCAAAACGCACCTTCTTCATGCGCGTGCTCATCTCCGTCTTCCGCGACTTGTTGTACACCCGCCGCGCCTCCGCCTGCTTGGCGCGCTTCACGGCCGAGTCCACCTTCTTCTTCGGCTTGCCCTTAGCGGCGGCGGCAGCGACGGCGGGAGTGGCGGCGGCGCCGGCGACAACGGCGGGACACCTGGCCGCGGCGACGACAGCAGATGGTCGGGTAGCAGCTGCGAAGGATGGGAGAAGCGGCCGGGCAGGGAGAGGGTGGATAGAAGGAGGGGGAGCGGGAGGAAGAAAGGAGGGGGGGAGGGGGGGGGGGGGGGGGGAAGAGGGTGTGGTGAGTGGGGAAGAGGGGGGTGCAGGTGGTGGGGGAGGTGTTGGAGAGGGATGAACAACGGTTGAAAGGAGCGCTGGTTGGGTTGTGCACTGATTTAGCCACAGCCTGCTTGTTGCGCATCACCATCGAGCCCCCGTGTTCGGCGGGAGTGCTGGCGGCGACCACGGCGGGACTCCTGCTGGCAGCGATGACAACAGATGGTCGGGTGGCAGCTGCGAATGATGGTAGTTGACTTTTGAGTCAACTCATAAGTCAAAAGTCATTCTGAGTCGACTCAAAAGTCAACTCCTGCTGGCAGCGGTGACAACAGATGGTCGGGTAGCAGCTGCGAATGATGGGAGAAGAGATCCGAGAGGGCAGGAAAGGGGAAAGAGGGGAAAGGGGAGGAAGGAAGGAGGAAGTGGTCGGGAGGGGAAGGGGACGGGGAGATTGTTGACGAGGAGAGGGGAGGGGAGTGGGTGTGACGGGAAATCAATATAAACAAAAAGGGGGGCTTCGGAGAGCTGCAATGCGGGTTTGTGTCGCTCAAGAGAACAGCCCAGAAACACCGAAAGCGACTGGGACAGGGAAACTGGTTTGGCAATCGGGAAACGAGAATAACCGAGAACAGCTACGGCTGATCCGTAGGTGATCAGCAACTCAAACACCTGCGGCAGACCCTTAGGCTGTAGGTAACTAGGAAATCTTCTACGGCTTCCAAGGCAACAGCTCGAGCCCGATCAGATCATGAACTTTCACGCTCTACCTCTGCCTAAGTGCTCGCTCCTTGGCATTGCGTCCGACCAGTGCACGATGTTTCACATTCCATCTGATGAGTGCACATTTCTTCACAATAAAACGTGCACGCTCCGTCTCATTCCACGCTCCTTCGCATTGCTAAAAAGCGCGCATTCTTTCTCATTCCATCTGATAAGCGCACTACGCAGGGAATATCTCACTCAAAGCAACTAATCGTCGAAATCCCAATAACGTACCAACGAGCCGGCAGCCGGGGATTGAAACCCTAAGCGAGTCTCTAAGCGTTTCCTAACGCGGTTAATACCCGCACTTGAAGTACAGGATAACTATGCGTCCAAAATCAATCACAAGCGTACCAGCGAGCCGGCAGCCGCGGAAGCTCGAAACCCTAAGTGAGTCTCCGAGCGACACTCTGCTGGACGAGGCCGATAGTTGATGGGAAGAGAGAGACAGCGACCCCAGGGCCTGCGCGGCTGCTTGAATGCTCAAAGAAGCCATGACTGGTTGCTCTAGCACCAAGCACAGAGCTGCTAGAGGTCCTTAGGAGACGGTAGGGCAAGAAGGGGCTTAGGATTAGGTGAAGGGGCTAAGGACTCTCAGAAAAATGTTCCGATCTCAAGGTCGCCCAGCGGAATGAGTTTCAATTCAAGTTTCAAGTGTAGTTCGATACAATCTGGTGTGCTGTGAAGGTGGTCAGCGAACTAGGGTTACCATCACCAGTGACTTCGTTACCTGACTCCGTGAACTCAAACATACAAGGGTTTGGCAGGACATGTGGCAAGGGCTGACGTGCTCCGCGTGGCGTGGCGTCCTCTGATTGCTGTTGACGTTGAGGCCGACGTGGCCTCATCCGAGGATTCGAGGTGTTTCGATCGTACTTCTGGGAGTTGTGAAAACCGGTCTTCCAAGAAATTTGTAAGTTCAAATCAGCATCTGATACCTAGTGATAAGTCTCCCATTTCCCATTATGGATGGAAATCTATAGCTGATAGCTAGTAATGGAAAAACATGATTATGAACTTAATGTTATCGATCATCAAAATTGAAAATAATTTACACACACCGTCTCTAGACCTTCTCACCGGTAAGGTTTTCGGATATAACGGGCTGATGGCTTAAACCTAACCTTGAAAGTTGATGTAGAAGCCGCTTGAGGGGACAAACAAGCACCAGGGGATGAAATATCTGTTAACGCTGAATACATTTCCAATCCAGATCTACACGTATACATACCTTTCTATTGTTGGGCTGAGATAGCCCCTTAGGATCTTTGCAAGGGATAACTCTAGGTGAAGTAGTTGTAATAGCGGAAGCGTTTAGTGAAGAATTTGAACCGACCTTGCACTGGTGTGTGAGAGCAAAGTTGATTGAATTAAACAAGCAAATACAAGGATTTATATAAGAGTACAGGGAATAGATAGATAACTGTATTGCTGTTGCGGTTCGATGTAGCGCGACTCGGGCAACTGCTCTGTAACGAGTCAGTTGTGTGTCCTTAACTGTCGCGCTGTAATTGTCGAGTCAAAGGTCAGCGACCTTTGACTTTCTCGTAACCTCCAGGCGGTTACCCTAACCTCCGAGGTTGACTCGATGCTTCGATTGGGACTGCTTCGCTTGGTACCTTGGATTTTGATACGACAGAAGCGCACTTAGGACTTATTGTTTCCAACATCTATAACGTAACCCAACATACTTCACCGCATTGAGAAAGTTTGTGACTATTTT